GCCAACACCTCCGATTGGCACGGTTGGCTACACACGGTGCGAAAGAAGTTCAACGTGCATACGAACACGCACTTAAGCACACACTTATGTCGTAAAAAAAACCCCATAGTACTTGTGCAGACCAGGACACACATGATGCGACTCTGTATACATCACTGACGAAGTGTCATGGGTTGTGTGAGCAGCAATCTGCAGAGTATGACATTATCACTGTGCATCTGCTGCCAAATGCGTAGTAAGAATGACATGTGCTTCGGAGATCATGAGTAATACTCCAGTACTGTAATAACAATAATTTACAGCTCTCCTGCAATCCACTGCTGGATGAAGACCTCCCCATGCCATATTGGTCACTGGAGATTGTTTAGCCATGCTTCGCCACACTGGTTGGTGAAGTAGTACGCGTTAAATGTGAGTGTTTAAATATATTCTTTCAATTGCTTACCTCGATTTATAATAACAAAATACTATTCACATTCCCAGCTGCCCTTGCCTTGCCATTACTCGGTGTCCCCTTGAGTTGGTAGGCTGGTCCAGATGTCTTGTGACCCTCTATTTAATTCTCTAAAACTTAACATTTTAACAGTGAGGTTTGTTTTAAAAACAGAAATGAATGTAAACAAAAAATGTTAGGGAGCAATTGATTGTGGGGGGGGGGGGGGGTCAGAATACACCTGGACCATTCTGTACAATTATTGCATTTTAACGCTATCTGGAAACGGAATTGTATTATAGAATCCATTGTGGCAGCTTGGGAAGGCCTTCATCTAGCAGTGGATTGATGATGGCTGATGATGGCATACCAAATTAAGACTGGAACATAACATTCACGTGGGATGTCTGTTGCGGGTAACCGAAAACGGATGGAGGCACGCCCGTGTTTATGCCTCACGGTTTAAAAATTTACAGGCAAATCTGAGCTCGATTGTCTGATACACACACGTGTCTGTACTCGGTACAGCAAAGTACCGTTTTTGTATTTCGATTTCTCTAGAATTTTGTTCCAAAAATATTCATGAAACTTGATTGAATAAAGATGTCAACATAAGCTTTAAATGAAGATGTGGGCCCTAACCAGGCCACCCGACACCCAACACGAATGATCTGTGCCTGCCTCTCACCCTTCCCTTTAGGCTCTGTGTGCCAGATTCCAAGAGGTTATCCCTGGCATCTTGGGTCAGTGAGACCAGCACACGCGATAGGCTGTTTTCCTATGCCAGCCCGTGTACTGGATGACTTACAATAGATGCCATATGTTGTAATGCCAGATTTCGGGCAAGGGTGTTAATCCAATGGAGGTTACGCTACCGGTGTTATGTGCCAGTGGCATTAGCGCTCATGCCAGTACATTGAAATCTAGCACTACAGTCTTCACTTCTGTCAGAAAATCAACCTGTACAAAGGGATTTAACTCGGCAAGTTTATACATTGACGGATACTGCCGGGGTGTAATGTTTAGCACACTGGGCATGGAATCCAGAGGTTACCAGTTCAGCTTCCCAGTGCTGCAGTTGGACGTTTCTGAGTCCCCCTACCCCTGTACACCCAGCAGTATGATACGCCATAGTCAATCTGCAGGTTGCGTCTGGTGGGGTAAAGTGTGAGAACCCCCACATTTTCCAAGATGTTTGACCAGCGTGGAAGAGTAGACTAAAATACTCGGTTAAGGAGCTCTCTCGAGCTATCTCGAGCAGAAGAGGCATTTCCACCACGTGGCAAGAGCAATAAATTACCGGGCAGCTTATTTTGTTTATTTAAACATCACCAGTGGGAGGTGTTTTCGGCAGAGCACTTGACTCACAGCATTCTGTTTGCGAGTTGAAATCCACTCCGACTCATCATCCCTCCGGGGTTGATAAAATAAGAACGAAAAAGTTGTTCTCTGAAGAGACTGGCTTCTCTCTGTAGCAGCGGTCGGCAACCCGTGGCAGTTTAAGGACTGCTTAATGACGTTATTTATTAATGAGCACCGTCTCGTATTCACGTGAATTACAGCTCTTAAAATAGGTGGGTTTTTTTTCTCCCGAATTCGAAAAACAAGTCTGTTCTTGTTATTTTGGTTGGCCGACCCCTGCTCTATAATATGGGAAGATTGTGATATTTCCAGCATTAGCTCCGGGTCATCAATAAAAAAAATAAGCATCGCCTCACACTTCTCTGAGCAGACAAGACACTTTACACAGGGTTCCCTCGCTTTATGCGTTAAAAAAGCGGGCGCACTAAGCGAAATCGCAAGCATAGACCGCAGTCACTCAACCGCATAGCCACGTATGGGATAATTCAAACCGCGTGCCGCGAATTTTGGGTAGAGATAGGTTAACCGAACCCGCATAAAGCGAGGGAAACCCGTCTTCTGACTGGCACTTTTTCCAGTCGTTTCTCTTGGTTGTCATTGACATTCCCCCCCCACCTCTGCTCTATACCTGTTTCTCAACTCCAGCCCTCACAACCGTAAGCCCATGGCGCAGCTTTTCGCGATTACCCAACAATGAGAAGGAAGCGTTCAGCCATCCGCGAGAATAAGCAACACGAATTTGTGCAGCGCCGAGTAAGAGGTGGACAGTTGCTACACACGAATGCATGGCATTTTTGTTAAGATATATATATTTTTATGGCCGGGGCTGAAATGTATCTCATACCTCAAAGATAAAGCATAGTAACAAATAAACACAAACGTGGCAAGAATTACACGAAGCGTACATTTGCAACATTACGAAAGTACCAGTAATTCTTGGGAAGAACACCCTTCTGAATGGAGAGCATGGCTCGGGTAATTGAATACGGGCAAGGTTTTAGCTGCACGGATGACTGGGGGCCATTCGGGTGTGGCCACACATGATGATGGATTCCGTGGGCTCAAGCTAGGATCACTGCAATCGCTGCAGTGGTTTTATTCGCCAAGTACTCTGTGCAAGTTGATGCAGTGTATGACAGAAGCAGAAGTCATGCGCATGTGATCTCCACCGTTGAAATCTCATGATCTCAGCTTTGTGGAATGGCAAGTGACAGTGAAAGTGTTACGCAGTCGGCATAATTTTCTCGGTGCCGTTTATATATATTTTTTATAATCACAGACAGGGCCAGACATGATTCAAGGGCAGTTATATAAAACAAACTGCAACAAGTAATGTATAAATTTTTATTTAAAGCTTTCGTGACTGCAGGGATTCATATTCTTGGTTCTTTCGGTAAAGTCACGTAGAAGGGAAACAATAAAAAAATTGGTTCCCTTCTACGTGACTTTACCGAAAGAACCAAGAATATGAATAAGTAATGTATATTCATGTAGTTTGAGCGATAGCAAATATATTTTTTAAAAACCTAGTAATTGTACGTTCTCGGTTGCTTGCAGGAATTTTAAAACTGGAAAGCTAGGGAACTTAAGGATCCTCCATTTTGTAATGGGTTTGACTATGTAAGGAATTTTGTGCCTAGAAATACGTGAATGTAGACTTAACACGTGCTTCCATCCACACACATACACGTCTTGCCTTTGGATGTATACGCTTGTGCTCACACTCTCAAGTACTTAAACACTTACATTAAGTGTTCGTGTAAACACGTGACATGGATTGATGGACATTGCAATTTCTGGGCATGGCAAAGTAACCGAAATGACTTACTTGAAAAATATGGTACTGCATGGGGCGCTTGCAGTGGTTTAATATAACTATTTACAGTACATAGCACACGCTTCGTTAGTAATTTTATTTAAATTATGATTCTTGGAATGGCTCATGCCAGGACACATCTGTGGGTTTTGCTGGCTGAAGTTTTGGAATCCTTCACAGATTATGATTCATTGCCTTTTTATAGTTTCTCCTCCTAGGGCGTTACTAATACGATCAATTAATATTCGGTACGGCATATGTGTTGTGTGCGTTGTCTATGCAAGTTGCTTGGTACTGCCCATCGAACAAAGAGGGTCAATGTCGCATTCCTTCAGATGCGCGTCTGCGGCCGTCTGGAACGCTCTTCCGCCCGATATTAGGAAGCCACTGGAGCTATGCACTTTTAAATCGAGTACGAAAACTAATTTCTTGAGAACCGCTTTTTCTGTTTAGTTTGTTGCCCTTCTATTCGCACGGTTGCTACGTACGGTGCGAAAGACGTTCAATATATACATGACAATTTCTATGCCAAAATGACATTTAATAATCTCACATTTCCAACCAAACCCCATGTTTTTCGGAAAACTATATTACTGTTTAATTATTATTTGACTATATTTTAAGTCAAACGTTAATTTTGTTCTAGACCCATTTCTAAGCCTTGCACAATCTGGCGTTGAACTTTCAACGACAATTGAGCAATACAGAATTACAATTTCAGGAGGCATAAGCTGTAGTTCGCATCGCTTCATACCGCTCAATAACCATTTAGCTACCTTACGGAGGATGACAAGTCTCCCTTTGTTTCCATCATGCACGTCTGGAAGTGACTTCACACAATTCATACATTTATCTTGCCAAATCAAATATATTACACTGGAGCAATTCGGAACTTGCATACTTACATCGCATGAATGATAAAAGGAGACAAAACGGACCCCAAAAGTGTTGAGAACGTTTGCTTTTACAGCGATCAAAAACAATAGTGCATGGGAATTGACACAACTCACGTTGCCATAAAGTTAATGATCTATTTAAAAAAAACTGTCAAATTGAAAATACAACATAGCCGTTCAAACATTTTAAATGGCACGTAGACAGTATACTGGTAATAATATTATTTTAAAGAGAGGCTGATATATTGAAATGAAGGGGAGCGTGTTTTTTTTCCATAACCACATAGCTGGATGACACCGAGCTAAACACGTAAAGTTCCCTCGACAAGCAAGCATGGACATGCAAGGCATCTTGGCTCAACGCTTTCCACGCTTGTCGATGTTGTTACTCTGATGCCACTTCATACTGTTTCAGTGTTTTTCAGCAATTCCTCCGCAACTCAGCAGTTATTTCAAAAAGTGCGTGTTAATGGCAACGAATCTTATCCTTTGCATATTTTGATGAGAGATGTGTTATTTGTGTGGTTATTAACAAATTGTTAAGATTTAATTGACAAATCTTGGAATCACTACATTTGTAGAGTTTAACAGGCTATTATGAATGGTCGTATCTTCTAAAAATGCAAATACAGTACTCTGTAAACGGCAAACACGTGATTAAAAACAAGGGAAACATAATAACGGTTTATTAAAAAAACACATTCAAGTGTGACATGTGCTAACTGCATTTAACTACATTTTAATGATTCCGTGTTTTGTACGTCCACATCACCATTTGTAAAAACAGCATTACATCACCAAACCCTCCATGGTAGCACTTCCAACCTAAATAGACAATCCGAATGTTGAATCTTTTACACCAAAATGTTATGTACGTTACCGCAATACTGGCATTTAGCTACACTTGATCAGTGCAGTTCAACCATTCAGCACTACCAGAAGCTGTTGCGTGGCTTTCAAACTTGCATGTTGATATTTAAGATGCTATTCGCTGCCACAGGTATTTATATAGCAGGCATATAAGACGTACAATTTTTAAAGAATCCTTTCGTTTTATGATCTGCAGAAATATATTCGGACTGTAAAAACACAATGACAAAATGGCAATCGATGCAATGCATCAATATACAGGTAATGGCCATGATTGTTTTTTAATGCGATTAATTTGCAAATGGGAAACCCAATTGTAAAAAGAAAAGGGAATCTCATGCTTTTTTGCAGATAAAGACAACATATGTTCACATGGAAAAGCAATGAAGTTAATAAAAAGTGTTTTTATATATAACAGGGATATACAACAGGGATGTATGTATGGTTGGTGAAGCATTTTTTGGGTATGAATTTCAGCTCTGTGCTTCGTGCCATAGCATCTAGATCCTATGTGGCCTAGTTGAAAGCAAGCCTGAAGCATGTGATGCATGCAACCAACATGAAAATATGCCGGCTTACTTGGCCCAACATCCAGCCCACATGAGGACAGATTGCATGCACACGCCAACGATGTCTTGGCACAATAAAATACATCTGCCTCAATGGTGAAATCACCTTTTGAGGTGGATTAGATTATTGCACGAGTAAACATGACTTGGGTATTTTCTCCAAGAGTACATGTTGCATGAGACAAAGTAAATTCGCCATTCATCATCAGGCAGTCAATCCACTGCTCAATGAAGGCCTCCTAGATCCACTGCCATCCCTCGCGATTCCCGTGATGTGACAATTCACCAAGAAACATCATTCCTTGCACTTCGGTATTTAGAAAATGTGCAGTAAAATTACGTAGTGTACATATACTGTACTTTGGAAGACATCTCTCACCAAGCAACCCCAAAATCGTGTTGTTTTTTTTCAAATTTACTCGACACAAAATGAAATATGGCCACAATAATGAACAATGGATTAGACATATGAAACAAGCCCTGAACCATGTTTTTTTAAACATGCATACTATGATAACCATGGAGGTATTTTTTTATATAACATATCACGACAGAAAAATATATAAAATATCAACTTACATTGTATAAAGAAATTATTCTCTGAATGTGTATTGTGGTGCATAACATGTCCTACACACGATAGTTATGTATTGCATGGTATGCATCCCAACATACTGTAGTTATGCACGGGCCAGTCAAATTCACCTCCTCAGTGCGGTCTGTTACACGTTTGATTCAATACTGGTATTGTATCATTATACTAATATATGGCATTTTGTATATCCTCTTGCAATGATTGTTGATTATAGTAGCTCCATTAACTTGACAAACTTTGGTACATGTTTTTGGTACTGTTCTTAGGTAGACATGCTTTCACACACCACTGGTAACCAAACCCTTAATCTCCTGAGCTTCAAAAAGGCAATATTATACTGCTGTTGGCAAATACCACAACAACTGTGGCTTGATTGTATACCTGAATGAAAAGCATATAAACATCCAAAATGAAAAAAACTAATTGCAACATTAGTTGTCTGTAAATGTGTTTTTTTTGTGAAGGCCTCAAAAACAGACTAAGTAGGGAAATCTGTCAATGCCCTCAATGTTTTCACTCGCATTCACGTAAATCACAAGATATTAGATTGAAGCATGATGCATATAGTTTGGTGCCACAGTTCTATGAAAGGCGCTTCACTGTATATTCAGAAAGCTATGTACATAGCCCATTAAATGAAAATGTCAATACTGTTTTTCCTTTTTTTCGAGTAAGTTAAATGCAAGTCTAATTTCTAGGCACTCCAAAGCTTTACAATTCCTAAACCAAACTCTATGGGGAAAACTAATAACATCTGGTGATCCAGCAGCATTTGTTTAGCAAGTTTGACTCTGCTGATGAGACCCAGAAGGTTGAAACCAGTCCAGTGTCCTTTCTTAAATAAATGCTGCTGGATAATATTGGTCTGGAAAGCCAATAGGCCTGTGGACCAATTCACCTATACATACAGAGAGACACACTGCTTTTCTATGGCGAAAGTATATATTGGGTAAGATTTCAGTTGACAGTTTTGTACCAAACATTCTGTATTTAAAATAAGGCACTCAGGCATGTTTCAATCTACCACTGCCATCACTACAGCTACAAAGGGCAGTGTGTGTGTGGTCAGCTGCAGTGAGCTATATCATTGGTCCGAGCACCCACACACTACACGCAATCTCAGCTAATTGCACCGAGTCTACAGGAGGGTCTGGCTAGCTGCTGCAAATTAACTGATTGGTCCAAACACATGACTTGGCCATATTTACAATGCAGTCAATCATAGTTTCATCAAATGCTCGACATGCACATCTTAGCCAGTATGCTCCTCTATAGCCATATTGATGACAGTGTTACATAAAACAGCCTACACATCAGAATATATGCACATGCAATATTTTAACATTTTACAATTCTAATATATTTGTAATGAATATCTAAAGCCTCTAATTAAATGAAACATGATTCAGTAAATAATACAAGATGTCGTGGTGCTTATGTCAGCACCATCTGTGTTTAGCTGTGGCGTATCTTCTGCCAAAGTTCAGTGGAGTCCATTATACAGAAGCAGCTGAAACACAATTAAATCCTCATTAGTATAACATGAACTTGTTTAAAAAATGTTGCCACAACTAGTGGTTTAAACAATTCATCTGGAGAATTATATCAACAAAATTATGGACAGCTTTCTTAAGTGATAACTGCAACTGCCTGCTTTCTACATGGCAGACTTGAAAATGTTGAATCATGTGCTAAAATGTATCACATATATACAACGTTTGCAGGTGTCTGTCCGTCCATACATTCGTTATGCTCTGGATCTCGCAAATGATACATCGGAGGGAGACGTACATAAAACCGAACAACTCAGTTGCCGAGGACACCCGAGAAATGTGTTAAAGGTGTGCAAAATAGACGTAACATTGCATTATCCTTTTAAATGTGCACGCTGAAACAGGCAAAACATTATAATCTTAGCTCTTTCGGTAAAGTCACGTTGAAGGGAAACAATAAAATATATATAAAACAATTTATATATATATATATTTTATTATTTTATTGCATCCCTTCAACGTGACTTTACCGAAAGAGCTAAGAATATGAATTACTGCAGTCACGAAAGCTTTAAATCAAAAGGCAAAACATTGTTTACATATGAGTCAATGCTCGTGTCCACCCAGCATGTGCTCAGGCCGAGTTGGAATGGTCTAGATTTGGTCGGGAAATGTGTCGGTGCCAGCTTTCCTTGCAAGAGCCGTCGTTGTGGTTATAGCTGCGATTATAATGTGGTGCTGACGGTTGTGGTTATATTGTGGCTGCTGTGGTTATGTGGTAGTAATGATTGTGGTTAATGGTTGTGGTTATATTGTCGCTGTTGTGGTTATTATATTCAAGTTGTGATTGTGGTTATAATGTGGTGGTTATTGTTGTGGCTATAATGTGGTAGTTATGATTGTTATGTGGTTATGGTGGTGATTATGCAGTTGTGGTAATGCAGTTGTGGTTAAAATGTGGCTGTTGTGGTTAAAATGTGGCAGTTGAGGCTACAGTTGTCATTATGGCTGTGGTTATATTGTGCCTTCAGTTGCGATTGTAAAATAGTTGTATAGCTGTCTTGGTAACGTTTATACACGTAATGTGGATTATTAATATTAATATTGATAGTTTGTTTATGGTGTTATGTCAAATTGTCGTTTATATGAACAATATTGTTGATGTAAACATGTCACATTATTGATGTTGGCAATTGTTGTTGTTATTTCTTATCGTTGGGTGTTGAGAATACGGTTGTTGATTTAAAGTAGCTCAGCAAGAAATGCCCATTACTTGCAATTCACGAAAGTTACATCTCGCACAAATGCACGGAGGCAGTGCTCGTTATCACCAGCTCTGCAACGCAGAGTTTTGTTCTTCATTGCAATATACGTTAAGACTTGAATGCGGCAATTATGGAAATGCACGCATCCATACTTCAAGTGCAGGAACGACGGGAATGTAACTGAGAAATAAACTTGTTGTTAGAGTTTGTGTAAGAGACCGCACTTTGCCCACATTCGTCATTAAAAGGTCACGGTGACATTTTGCTAACAAATTAGACATTCATGCAATTCTGTCATGTGCACACTCACTTGGAGCAGCAGGCATGCGCCAGGTCCTATAAGTGATCCACGCACCAAAACCGTAAGCTCCAGTTGCCAGAAAACCAAAGATCTGTATTTGAGAAGAAACAACACCAGTATGGACGAGGGATGCATATCTAAAATAGGATAACATCACGTAAAAAATACAATCGTAACAAGTAATTGGCTGTGTCTGGTGGAGGCAGGTTTAATGACGCATTGATATTTATACGATCTAACCCAAAAACCTATATTAAGGATAATATTGGTCGTGATTACCGACGTGTTAAAATAATTGTAACAAGTACTGCCAAGAGACACCTGTTTCTTGAATGGATCAAATGACTGGTGCCTCTATGGCAAGTACCTTAGAGCTTCTACATTTATTTATGTATTCATCACCCTCGTTTTTAAACGAGGCTGGCATTGGAAAGACGGGTTGTAGACAGAGAGACTAACATTAAACACAGGTCAACAGGACAAGCTCACAGTTTCATGCCACTGAACTTATCATAAGCAACTAGTACCGTTGAATGGATATTTTCAATATTGCTGTATATATTATAAAAAGCCCATCGCACGTTGCCCTACTATATGTATATTTTTTTCTACACATTTAAACAAAAAATTACGGAAATTATTGCAGCAATTATGGTGTGTTTGACAATGAAACTATAACATTGACGCAAATTCACTTGAGTAGCCAATTGCATTCGAAATGTGTCACTGTCAGGAGGCTGTAAAGGAGTAACATTATTAGCTAAGTGTAGTTAAGTATGGATTTACTCACGAACAACCGTAAGTAATTAATTTGAACATCACAATGTTGAACGAAAAATGTGTAGCTTTGGGTGTGGTCACTTTTCCACAAGAGGTGTAATACTGTAAATGACTCAGAGGGTGTGGCAATGAAATCTGGGAAGTGGGAGCAAAACTAGAGAATGTAGTCGACATGCCCTCTTTGGGCCACGTCTTTATGTATTTGAAATAATTAAAAGTCTCTTTGCAGTCACTTAAGTTTCCCTTTCTATGAAACCACCAAGATCAGTAACGCCACCTAGAATACAGTGGTACTCTTATAGTCTGTTCATACCCAATGTAGAAAACAATCTGAGATACTTGTAGCCACATTATTTGTGCGTTATCACATTGCCTAGACTGACTGAAATTTCCCTTGGACGGAATGCCATTATACAGCACTAATTGCAGACTGCATGCTGGCACAGGGAGGGAAACAGACAGAACACGTACCGTTCCGACAATTAGGCTGCCAATGCTGGAGGCATTAGCAGCTACTGTGATGGAAGCTATCAGCAGCAGGATGAACGAAATGGCATAATGGATGAGCTCCTAGAATGACAAGGGGAAACACATTTTGGTTTTAAGAGAATCATGTAAGCACCAGAGAAATAATAAACCAACAATAATATCTGTAGCGAGTAGATTGCAGATTCAATATAGCGTGTCAAAATACCAGGCTAATTCAGGGGTGTGGTGACCGAGTAAATGTTTCCTTAAAAAAACCCCGAAATTTCCATTAATAAAAAAAAATTGCCTATTTACAGATTGTAATGCTATTTGTAAAAACCCATTGGTATTCATGGTGCTATAAAATATAAATAAACAAACCCCACCATTGAAATCGATGAAAATCGCAGGTTAATTCTGGGACGCACAACCCAATAAGGTTGTTACCGTACATGACGGTACTAATAGGGAGGCTGGTGTGTGACGTTTCTGTGCGGTGTGGAAACGCGGCTAGCACCCCAAAGTCAGTACTGCTTTTGATGCGTTTCAATTGAGAGAACAACTTTTTTTCTCCATCTCATTTAAAGGTTTAGAGGTCCTTTTTATAAACTGCCATTAGATGCGAGAAACGGTGTATCAACCCTCACACTATATTGAGGACAACTGCAGTATATACCATTGCATGTTATAACACACTATCAAAAGCAAATGTGCATAGTTTTCGTTAACTTTTTTTTATAAGCCAATGATGGTATGATAAGGGTCATTTTGGTAGTCTTGTGAAACCAGACACGTTAAAAAGCAATTATAGAAAATGTGAGATTCAATTATACAATAACATATGCAAGATGGAACAAGAATGCAGTTCTGTTATATTTATCTTAAAAACACAATTACGCTGCAGACAAAACTTTATAAAGCTTACCACATTCTCCGAGAATTTGCCTATTTTGTGTTTGTCAACACTGTAGTGCCTTTTTCAGCTTGTTTAAATTCTTCATTTGCAATGAACGAGTGCTCTTTTATCAGCAACGTTGTGTTTCTATCCTGGCAAGATTTGACCCACATTTACTGCACTCATGGTCTAAGCTTCATTTGCAAGACCCAATCACAGCTAACAGAATGAACTACTACACAAGATTTCCGTAAGCCCATACCCTAAAATAACTCGTGTGTATTCCATTCATTTCTCTACTTAAAAATTCTACCAATACATGCAAAGTTTGGCCATGTTGATTATGTGACTGGTTCATCTTTCATTACAAATCACAATAAATATACTTCCAGTGTCTATTGGTTAATAAATATATCAAACTAACCTTTTGTTTGTTTCATTATACAGTATGTTCCAGGCTATAAGTAGGTAAAACAAATTGAAAGTATCCTTCCTACCTTTACACTTCTTAAACACACCGTTAAAGATTTTCCTGGATTATAATCATTATAGTTTGTGTAAGAACCACTCCTGCATTTAACCGTGTAATGTTACACATGTTGTTTAGTATAAACAGAATATTCAGTATTTTAACATGTCTAGAACATTTACAGGTGTGTTAAATCTATAATGATCTGAACGTGTAGAAACTAAAAACATCAAATTTGCACGTTAAAGCATGTCCACTTTTACACAATGCATGGCATATATGCATAGTGATGCGACAAGAACAGAGGTCACGTAATACTTACAGTGAGGGGCCAGTGGATGAAGGTGATGCGTTTATTCAGGCGGAATAAGAAAATGATGAACAGAATGAGGACCGTAAAGAAGAACCACAGGGTGGTGGTCTCAAAGTAGCGGAGGGCCGAGTAGTTTGTCCAAATTTTAGAACAGCTTATGCACAAGAAGGCCACAAACACTAGGACCTGTGGGGGAGAAACACAAATACATCACTGCATGGATATATACAAAAATAATAATAATTATGCGATTTATTGCACAAATGAGCACCGAGGCAGTGCTCATCTCCTCTTTACAGCCATGCAAAGTGGACGAAATTACACATTTGTATTGCCGGGGTGCGTTTATCCATAGGACGCCACGGGAGCGAGATGTAAACTACCTCGCCTGGTATACAGGAGGTCGTGGGTTCGACCCTGACCCCTGTCACCTGCATATTTGAAGTATGCATGTCTCTCTCCCCGTGGTCATGTGGATTTTTGTCCGGGTCCTCCGGTTTTTCCCTCCACATTTAAAATTATCATGAGTTACAAGTATATGGCTGCAATAAATTTCCACACGATAAGCCACTTTGTTGAACTATCATTTGTGGCCAGGTCGCTTCTGAAAAAGAGCTATATAACTCAGTGGGCCTTACCTGGTAAAATAAAAATAGTTTAGCTTATATTTTAGTTTAGAGTTCCTCCAAAAGTGGTATTTTATATAATTTTACCGACCCTGGGATTTCACCTTGCAACTGCGAGCTATATGGACAGTTAGAAGTGTACTGTACTGTAATTGTATGTAGGAATATTGACTACAGCATAACAGAATGCATATTATTTTATTCCAGATTTGAAAGGAAAAAACCCCATCACAATTCCAAAGGCAATAAATGGTTGAGTCTCTAAACTTGGCAGTACTGTACCTTAAGCTCATAAAAATAGGTAAATGTATGAGAAAAAATACTATAATTCTACATACTTCACTAGCTTTATCTTTGTTCCATTCACGTCTTCTGTCCAATAAGTCACAACATATGTTTGTTAATACTGTACACTACTCTACTGTATATATCAATTAAACGAGTAAGGTACACTTTGCAAACGACTTAGAAAAAATTATATATTGGTACACCGACTCTGGATTTCATAATTCACTGTTTCAAATTACACCTTTTAAAATTTACAGTAGTACCACTCAACTATTAGGTGGGGGATAGTATTCGCCTGCTATGAAATAGCACTGATGCACTCACCAGGTCGCTTTTAGTCAAGCTATATTGGCCAAGTCAATATTGTATTTTAGGTTAAAGCAGGTTGCGAGATCCTGTGATTTATTGGAAGCCTTCGTGACTCCCTGCCACGCCCTGTACCGCTCAACAGCGCAAAAATACTTTCCATGCCCATGAATGAAAAACACGCAGCTGCTGTACACTGGTCATAAATGCTGAATGCAGTACAAACAAATACCAGTGAAGGCTGTGAGAAGCCAAATGAATGGATTGCGATGCCTCGTTTGTTGTATAACTCAACCGTGCAAGACAATTATTTTGGTTCAGTACATTTTGTAGGGGGTGCACAGTATTTGTTTGGAGCATTTCCCGCAGTAGGTAACGTTACATAAGAATTAATAAGTAATATCGAGAGAAGGCAATTACCATTTTTTTACATTTGGCAAGTAATCCACATCCCACGTATGGCCAATTTGCAGCAACATTTAATTGGTGAAGATATTAATGGTAACAAATAAAGTACAGTACTTCTACATGGAACGCAACCATAATGCATCTCAAAAGCATTACATCGACTAATATTAAGCAATATTAATCAATATTAATGAATAAAACAAATCACAATCGTGATGTTTTAGTATACCCCACTCTACAGTAAGACAGTTCTGTTCTTTATTCAGTGTATTGTAAACACAAAAACCTATTTCTTTGCAGGCATTCATGTAACGTAGCCAGGAAAAGCATAGGCTGTGTACAAAGTGGCCACTGTGATATTTTAGTTTCCTGGAACTGGTTGTGGGATCTACGGATGAAATGCCCCTTACAAATTAAAATTATTCGTAGCAATGTCGTGGCACTGATAACCTGCAATGCTGCAACATGATTAGGAGGCTAAAAAGATAAACGTGGAGAATCTAAGGATACAATACATTTTCTAGCTAGCATATTATTTGGCGATCCCGCTCACTGACGGTCACTGCATCGCGCGCTTTCAGATGGGCTTCTGTGGCCGTCTGGAACGTTCTTCTTTCCGATATTAGGAAGCCACTGGAGCTACAGACTTTTAAATCATCTTTATTGAAACCGCATTTATTTATAACTGATTTTTGTTTGTTGTCCTTCCTCCCACGCTTCCAATTCACATGGTTGGCTACGTACGGTGCGAAAGAAGTTCAACATACAGTACATACGTATCCAACTACTATAAAGTACAATATGAACCAAACAACACAGTTAAAGCCAATTTGGGTAAGTGTGACATTGTAATGCATACTTGTACAGTACTAATGAAATCATGTTGAAGTTACTTATACCGGTACATACAAAATACAGCCTCAACACGAGTACAGTAAGGGCAGAAAGCAAAATAAACATTTACAAACCGCAGTAATCTGAAATCAGTCTGCACAGACCATTTTCAAATTAATTGGCCTTCTTGCCAAATCAGACGCCTGCATGTGCAATGGGGCTGATACGCCTTCAGCTATCACCTCCATATAACCCCCAACGATCCAAAACAGTGTGGTGATGAATAATGCTGCACTGAACTCGTCTGAAACCTTCACACTAAAATGTTCCTCGAGCCACGCTTTACGCGGCGTTATTTGCACGGGGATTGTGTCACTTTGATGTCAGGTTAAAAAAAAGCCCACGAATATAGGGCTGGACCAGATGCCCTCGCATACCGGACTGTTTTCGTCTTATCCGAACATCTCTGCAGGTCAAAACATACCTCGCGGCTACTCAGAGAGCCCATCCCTTGTACCGCTTCCACTTTTGAATTCCCAATTCCCACCCTGTTTCCTTATCAACAACCTTTGTTCAACCCAAGACGTCTTTACAGTCGTATCATCTGCAACTTTAACTTTGCCGTTTGTATGCTTGGTGGTTTTGGGGGGGGGGCCCGTGCTCTCTCAGTAACTGCGATATATATGAAATACAAAATATGTGATCGCATGAAAAAAGCATGGCCATTCGCCGACTTTGGCAGCTGGAACAAACCAAAAAAAATTGGCGCACAATGTTCCAGTTCCTTGAATGGAAACATCTTAGTACTTGTCCCGTATACATCGCGCAATCCATAGTGAAAGTAACAATCCATAGTGTTATTTTCACCATGGATTATTTTCAATCCTTTATTTTGAATAAACCATCCAGTGCGTTAATGTACCTTAGCTACAAACGACCCCATCATACGGGGTGCTGTATATGCAAAAATGTAGTGCAGCACGGCGTTTCACCAATGCAGGATTGACGTGTGTTGTGTTTAGAAGCGTCTAAACTCTAAAGAATGATCGCTGTCGGTTTACTCCCTCCGAAACAATCCTGGCGAAAAATGCCCAACAATAAACGTACTATTGTAACGCACTGCAATGTACACCAGACTGCACCACTGTTACGATCCAGACCGCAGACACTTAATACGTCACATTACTCAACACTTGCTACTCGGTAACGATTTGCAGAGCAGAATTACGAAAAGGGCAAGAGTTAAACACGTTGCTAACAATTTCTCGTGGAATCACACCGCCCACGATTTAACGACATGAAACCCACATTTCTGCATTTTCGTTTCTTTACAACACAAAACAAAAACCTTCCCCCACCCCACCCCAAAGTTGTAACCGTCTGAAACGTGCAAACACAAGCGGATAATGCATTCCACTTTGGAACAGCTACTGTCCAATAAAGGCACGGCGGGGGTATGCCCAAACGTGCATCATTTACCATTCAACTCCCACTTTACGTGATCAAACTTCTAAAGTCCGCAACAACTTTAAACACAACGTTCGCTGTCCATCGAGAACCACACCCCTACACACCCCCCCAATAGCAAAGCGCTGCTGCTGAAAGCTGTGGCGAAGTTCGCCGCTCGACTATGAAGGGGAAGGTCTAGGCCCTCCCAACGCTTGCTGCTGCTGCTGCCAAATATAGGAAGGCACACAACCACGCCAAGGAATGGCAACGTGGGTACCAGAGTGTGGGGGGGGGGCACAGTTATATCGTGGATTATACTTCACGTGTTTGACAAGACGATTACATGAACCAACATCATTAACGATGGCCTTTGCTCAGAGAGAGAGAGTCCCCGTAGTGTTATCGTGCAGCATTATTCTAGCACCGCTACGGCAGACGGCCCTTTTTGTTTGCTGGTTCGCATATCGCTTTACACACGTGTGTGTGTGTGTAAAGCGATATTGCGGTTCGTGACACTTCTCGAAACAATAGGATACAAATGTAAAAGTGTGAGTGGGGAAATCACAAGACTCACAAGTACTGCTTGCGCGTGTGTCGGTAGGTGCAAGTCGCGGTGCTTACCATCTGCACTATTTTTAACAGCCCAGAGAAGGTCCTGGGGTAATCTTTGTCCACCAGGCCAGGACTCTGGCTCCCCGACGCCGCCGTGGTGGTGGGAGTGTAAGCTGCGCTATCTGACATCTTGACTGCGCAGAGAGAGAGAGGGAGGGGGAAGAAAAAACCCTAAACCCAACACACGCACGCACACACACAAAACCCCACGGTGAAACTTATTCCACTCGATCACTCCACTCAACAAGAACGCCGTCACGAATGACCCACAAACAGTACGTTCCCAAGCTCCGCCAAAACAACAATAACAACAAAAACAACAAAACGTTTGCCTGCTTGCTAACTTGTCCAGCCGAGAGAAAGGACAGACGACAACGACGTCTCCCGGGTTTGTCCGTGTCCGTGTTCGACGAGAGAAGAAACGCCTTACCGCAGCCACTATTCGAATCGCAGCAAGGCCTCGCGTGGGTCAGGCACCACGACAGCGAAGTTGTCGCTTTGCTGGCTTGCTACTGCTGCTGCTACCTCTCTCCCCGGCACGCTCTGGGCTACCTTCCCCCTACCACCACCACCACGGCACCACCCACGTGCACGTCATAGTACAGACCACACCCGTGCAAAGACACAGATGGCCCCTGTAGCCTTGGCGGACTTTTGGGGGCAAGTGCTGTTGGCAGCAAAAGGCCACCCCAGACACAACGCCACCCGTGTTTGTATAGCTTTAACAGAACGTGTGTTTTGTATTGTTTGCATGCTGACTTTCTTGGGTGGCCAACCGTGCTCATTGGAGGTGCGGGGGAAGGGTTACAGACCAAACACAAAACGCAGTGCTAATGCAATGAGCTTTCAATGTAATAAAATGAATACGTTTCAATCTAGCAAGTGCTATATTCTTGGTTCTTTCGGTAAAGTCACGTAGAAGGGAAACAATAAAACAAATTCTTGCTGTGGGTTTTACACCTGATGATGGTTGCTTGTGTTGCAGTCGAAACGTCGTGAGAATTTTATTGTTTTATATTTTTATTATTTTATTGTTTCCCTTTTACGTGACTTTACCGAAAGAACCAAGAATATGAATCCCTGCAGTCACGAAAGCTTTAAATCAAAATCTAGCAAAGTGCTGTTAGAGAGTACCTCTATGAAGGCCGTCACGGCACACGAAGGGGTGTGGGTGTCCGGCACCACGCCCGGCCGCTTTTGTCTCCCCAGTGGCGATATTTATACACCGCACCATATACTCATTTGAGGCTGAGTCGACCTAGGAGAGGCCCAAGGACCGGTTCAGATAAATCGTCACTGGCGTTGGTCGGAAGCGGGAGTCGAACCGTGGTGGCCGGGTTCGTAGCGCGCCAGTACACACACACACACTATCAGATTCCTGCTCACAAAATCATAATCTTTAGCTCGGGCAGTGGATACTATAACTAAAAAACACGGTAAAGTCCACTGATGAAAAAAAAGTATAATAAATACTCTTGGTTCTTTCGGTAAATTCACGTAGAAGGGAAATCATAAAAAGAAAACAAAATTATCACGACGTTTCGATTGCAACACAAGCAATCATCATCAGGTGTGAAACCCACAGCAAGAAAATTTTGAAAATAAAATATTTTGCTGTGGTTTTCACACCTGATGATGATTGCTTGTGTTGCAGTCGAAATGTCATGAGAATTGTATTGTTTTATATTTGTATTATTTTATTGTTTCCCTTCTCCGTAACTTTACCGAAAGAACCAAGAATATGAATCCCTGCAGTCACGAAAGCTTTGAATCGAAAAATAATATATACATTTCACAACCCATCTACCGCACGGCATTCTGAGTGCATTTCAGCAGCATTGATTCGAGACACGCAAAACTCTGGATCGGTATTGACATACAAGTGTCTCATCAGCAGTCAGGCTTTGCATCTTGAATCAATGCTGGTGAACTCCCTACATGGGCACCACTGTCAAAGCTGGCCCAGAGTTTTGATCGCCCTTGAACCAATGCTGTTGAATAATGCCACTGCGAAGAAGGTCGTGGTGGCCGAAGAGGCGTTTCAAAATAAAATATTGAGTAACGGATATCTGTAGGAGACATGTCGCATGCCTACTCACAGGGTGGCCGATTCAAACGTTGGAGTGTTCCACGTTGTTTTTGTTGCGGGTACCACGCGTATGGTTTCTGCTGATCTTGTCTGTCGAGCGGATTTACCGGATTCTATACGCGGTGGTCCAGATGTCTTGTGAACCCGCAATTAATTGACCCCGAACATTTGTTTTCCTTTCCGTGTTCATTTATGTTTGATATGCGATGTACTTAAAAATATTACGTTTCAGAGATGTTGCACAATGTAAGAAGCCTGCAGTGGGTGACGGTTTGTGTAAAATAATTTTATTGGTACGGACGCACTGTGTGTAATTGTCGTGTTACCTGCTCTGCTGCCCTCACTTTCTGGAATCCCTGTCCCCCTGCCACCCGTGATGTTACTCCCAGCCACTTGCCCCCTGTTCAAGCGACCCTTGACCAAATAAACACCGCCTACTCACTGTATGTCCGGGGTGGTCCAGATGTATTGTGACCCCCATTTAATTCTCTAAACTTAATATATATGCTTATTTAAAACAGAAATGAATATGCCAATGAAAGAAATATTAAGGGTAATTTTATTGGTGGGGGGGGGGGGAGTCACAAGACATCTGGACCAACATTTCCAGCATTTTAAAATGCGGTCGCAGTTTTAAGCTACGTAAGTCCAGATTTTATTGTAAGGCAGACATCAAGATTGTGGACTTCGTTCCCCTGGTGCAGTCATTCCAGGAGGGATGAAGATTGCTCATGCTTATTCTGTGTGAACATAAGTGACTATATATATGACGATAATAGTGGGTCGTATATTCTTGGTTCTTTCGGTAAAGTCACGTAGGGAAATAATAAAATAATGAAAATAAAACTAAATAAAATTCTCACGACGTTTCGGCCACAACGCAAGCAGCCGTCCTCAGGTGAAGAAACAGAGCTGTCGGAAAGACAGCGTCCTAATGAACACTGCTAAGGATGACAAAACACATTCCATTATTCTGACTCCGTTACCCTGTGAACGTGAAACGTTGGACTAACATTGGGCCAGCGTTCCATGTTGTTGCATGTTTACTCGACATTTACCGAATGCTACCTTGGCAGTTGTGCACAGGCTCAAATAACAACAGCAAAGCCTCAACACATTGGCCAATAACATTGCCTTAAAAGTAACAATATATAAGCGGCGACGTTTGAGGCAACTGGCCCTTCACCGCAGCACATGCGCTCGGATGAAGGACGATGTCCCGAAACGTCGCCCATTGTACGCGCGTTATTGCCGAACGCGTGTAGTTTCTCGTCATTTACCGGGAGACTCACTTGACACCACTTGCCCATTGTCATCTCACCCTACCCTCACCACTCACCAGCTCATTGCAATGAATGCCCCCCCCCGGCTATCAACCAACTCTCCAACGACAATCGTCCACCCATTGTATGATTATTGCAACGGCTGCCTTAAATCGAAACTGTGTTGACAATAGACGTGTTCGTCTATTGTCAACGCAGTTTGTGAAACTGGATTTGACGGTGGTGAGCAAAAGCACAAAAACAACACAAACTCAACAAATTTCGATTTAAAGCTTTCGTGACTGCAGGGATTCATATTCTTGGTTCCCTTCTACGTGACTTTACCGAAAGAACCAAGAATACAAACTCAACACATTGGTTAATTAACGCTGGCTTTAAAAGGAAAGTATATAATAGGCGACGTTTCGGGCAATGGCCCATCAAAAGCACGGGACAGAGAGAGGCCTTCACGGCACATCGGCCAATTACCGCTATCTCTCTAGCCTCTCCGTGTGCTATGAAGGCTCGTTGTCCGAAACGTCGCCCCGTTATATAATTTAAAAACAGTTATATTGACGAATGTTTGCTTTAAATTCTAATTGGTAGAGCGGTTAAGCATAGCTAGGACCAACCGAATAATTGTCAGGTAAATTGCGTCTTAGTGACTTCCGACCCCACGCATGAACTGCATAACCACAACGAACTTTCAAATAACGCTCATTCATTGACATTGGTGGAGTGAACACACGCGTTCTCTACAAACAGCCGCTTATACTGTAGTTTAAATATATTTACTGGTGTTTATTTTGCGATTAAAACAATTATGCAGCTAACATGTGAAAGAGCTCACTTTATTTAAGTTTAGGAATACTGTACTTTGTTCGCCAAACTCGTTTAATGGCCTTTTGTTTTTGGTGTTTGGAGTTGGGCCCGCAAACAAAATGAGGACATTGAGCAAATCCCCTATCTCCTTCAGACTCGATCAACCATAACGTTCCTGTTGCGTAAAGCGAAACCTCTACCTCTGTAGAACAAATAACAAAAAGAAAGACACAGACTAGAGAACATACTCACGTTGTAGGTTAAACACAATAATTAAAACCCTTGAGAACATTTAAAATGGGCTTAGGCAGGAGGCCATGTCTCCAATTCCATTTGCTAAACTTTGGTTAAAAGTAATTCCACGTTTCCGGAATACCCTTCCCTCTCATCTACAGGATCGTCCAGATGTCTTGTGACCCGACATTAATTCACTCCTAACACTTTTTCCCTTTGCATATTTATTTTGTTTTAAATAAACCTTACTTTAAATATAGTAACTTTTAGAAAACTAAATGGGGGTCACAAGACATATGGACCATCCTATACAGCTTGGTTCCCTCCCTTCTCCCCATATTTATTTCCCTATTAAACCAAAACATAGAGCTTACTTTGACATGCACCTAAAGTAATTCTGACGCTTCTTGCTCTGATGTTTATTCATTTTCTTGCATTCTAGTGCCTGTCACGTATGACCGTTAAATACCACGTTAAGCGTGCAATATTTATATTTAACTTAAAGCTTTCGTGACTGCAGGAATTCATATTCTTTGGGTCTTTCGGTAAAGTCACGTAGATAGGTTCAAATTAATACAAATAAACAAATCCTGATGACGATCGCTTGTGTTGCGATCAAAACATCGTAGTTGACGATTGCTTGTGTTGTGATCGAAACTTCGTAGTTTTTTTGTTTATTTTATTATTTTTATTAATTTGAACCGTAGCTACGTGACTTTACCGAAAGACCAAAATAATCTATTTATATTTTTTTGTCTTTTTATTTCCGTAGCTGTGTTCACGCACTACGGATCTCTTATAAAATAGCAGGGAAATGGCTAAACGGGATCATCCGTGTAACAAACCGAAATGAATTAAAACTAGATGGAATGATAATAATGGCCTGATAGTCAGGAATAGTGATGAAAGTGTCGGCCAAGGAATGGAACGCGTCCCACCGAGAGAGCACGACAGCGAGTAGAGACGGAGCGGTGAAATCGGTTCGTGTGAAAGGAAGTGACAGGGGCGAGGACTTAATTTCTATTGCAAGCTTTCGTGATTGTGGGGATTCACATTCTTGGTTCTTTCGGTAAAGTCACGTAGAAGGGAAATAATACAAATAAAACAATAAAATTCTCACGACGTTTCGATTGCAGCACAAGCAATCATCATCAGGTGTGAAAACCATCAGGTGTGAAAACCTGATGATGACTGCTTGTGCCGCAATCGAAACGTCGTGAGAATTTTATTGTTTTATTTATTACTATTGTATTATTTCTCCTTCCACGTGACTTTACCGAAAGAACCAAGAATAGGGGTGAGGACTGTTGGCATTGCGAGATCGCAAGAGGCGCCAGGCGGCTTTGGGGAGGCAAATCATTCAGCAGTGAATTGACCAATTCTGTATTAACTATTTAACACCAGCAAGGTTTTGACAGGTGGCAGTCGTTCGAGAAAGGGCCGCCACCATAAACTCTCCTGTGCACTTGCGTATACGTAGTTGTTGATTATACTGGGCTGAACTATTACCCTTAATACAACAATAACTTGGAATGTATTACACGGTTGTTACGCCTCAGTAAAACATGTGGAGATGTATAACGGGCACGAACAAAACCCCAATTTAATTCTCCAAAATATAATGTTTTAAGTAAGGTTTACTTAAAACAGAAATCAATGTGCAAAATATGTGTTTAGGGGTCAATTAATTGGGGGCGGGGTCACAAGATATTTGGACCACCCTGTACAGTATTATGAGCACGTACATGTACAAAGCCAAACTTGTACATTAGCATATACAAGTTTGGTTTTGTTTCTACACCGCCACCTTGTGTTTAAATACTACATGGCGTAGAAAATGTCGTTGCAAATATGTGATGCTTTCTATGTTTTCCTTTTCTTTCATAGTGAACCCAGATTTGTAGTCGAATCAATTCAGTTCTTCAATAATGTCATGTTTTGTAATTCACTTTCATTGATTGGTTATGGCCAAATAGAAATTTTAGATAATACTTTCTATAATTCATGAACGTACATTTTCTGGAAACATCAAGTCTTCGTGAACAATTTTTGGGAAAGAACATCTAATTGCCTGAATTCATAATATGTATTACACATTATTTCATTGCATTTTGTTGTAAATATAATGCAGGTATATAGTTTCATTTCTTAATGTAGTTTTATTTTGGCCTTGGTTTGTGTTTGGATGGCCGCATCAAAGCTCATCATGTCAAATGCCATTTAATTCTCTACACAGGCTAGGCATTAAGTGATTACGGTATATATTTATTTTCTCACAGTATCCTATTGATAGGATATTTATGCGTACTAACCCCAAAAAAACCTCTAATATGGATATTGGTCGCAAAAGCCTACGTGTGAAACTGAGTATGAGGGTGTATACATGCTTTAAAATGAATGTACACCCAGGGTAATTATTGAAGGCAGTCTAGGATTGAAAAACTACATAAAAAATATGCAATTGGAGTGGTTTTGGAAAGCTGAACGTGATAATGATGTATTAATTAATTTATTGGTGAATGGGTTCAGGGGATGGCATATGCTGCCTATAACATCTGTTACTTCACCAACATTGAATTCAAGCAAAGCCCGACTCAAGCTGATGAGACACAGTGTGTTGAAACCGGTCCTGTTGTACGTTTAGCAACACGCGTTGAAGTTTATCTGGCCGCTATAAATGTCCACATGATAGACCACTTCGTTGAGCTATCTATTGTGGCCAGGACGCTTCTGAAAATAACTAATAGCTCGGTGAGCTTTACCTGGTAAAATTAAAATAGTTTCGATTATTTATAGTGATTTACTTTGCCCTCCTATGTCTTTTTTTAATCGTTTGTTGTTTTAACTTTCTTACCCGCCCCTACTGGACATCTGTGAAAAAGGGTTTTACAGCCAGTGGCGGCTCGTGACATTTCCACTAGGTGGTGCTGTTGGGGGTCGTCCATAAATGACGTCACGCACCTGGGGGGGGTCAGAAATTGGTGACGATGTGTGACGAGGAGGGGGGGGGGTGAGAAATGTGACGTCACATCAAAATGCGCAACTTTAAATATAGACAACACGTTCTACTTATTTAAATATACTTTTTAAGAAATGTTTTCTCCTACAACATCAGAGTGCAGCGGCAGATTAAATACGCACTACAATGATAATAGTTTCAAGCGATTTGTAGCATGTTTTATATTTTTTTTGGGGGGGGCAGAGCTTTGTGACGTCATATATGAGGGGGGGGTCTGACTTTTTGTGACGCCGTTTGACGAGGGGTGTTAAAATCGTCCAAAATCGCGTGACGTCATTTATGGACGGCCCCTTGTGAGTGACCTCTGAAAATGTGGTTGTTCTAATTAAGAAACACCTCGCCATGTTATTGTTCTTCCCGTGAAAGTGGTATAAGTCTTATCTACCAACGGTGAGGCATTCCTACACAATACGAAACAACAAAGCCCACTCAAATACTATCCTCATGACCCTCAAAACCACATTACACAACCCATTTGACACTGCCATAAGCCGTGAGCTGCTATATTTATTTGCACAGTGCAACCTAGCGTTGTGACATCGTCACCGCCCTGACTGGGTCTCAAACGGCGGCGTGGCTAAAATGCGAAGCTAATCGAAATTAACGAAGGGAGATATCCTCTCACTTAAGGACGCCTCCCAGACAGACGTACACATCAGACTGCAGCGGTTTCTAATATGAGCACCTTAAAATGTTATCTTCGTTAGGCAATTGACGCCGAAGGAATCATGTTTTAACGTTTTTAAACGTAACAAAACTATCTCGGGGCGTATTTCTTCTCCAGAAGATTGTGATTCTGAATCAATTCCGCTGAAATGATTCACTCCACTAAGACCATGGCGAGTGACTCGGGGATGTATCAAAAATACTTTTATAACTATTTACTTTGGAGACACGAATATGTTATCTGCTCGCGTACTTGATAACTTTTAAATTAATAAAAAAACATTAATACATTAGTAAATACCACGGTGTGGCCTAAAAAAAACACATGCAATATGCGACGTTTCGGGAACAGGCCCTTCCTCAGAGCACATCAACAGAGACCGGGAGGGAATTACATTATCATTTGTTTTCTGAAAAAGTAGTTCTTTTTTAAATTTGAACATGTAGCTACCTAATTGTAGACGTTGAGTAACGGACAAGTCCTATCAATAATAAAAAAAAACTGTTAAATAAACGAAATGCATATTCATATCCTTAGCTCTTTCGGTAAAGTCACGTTGTTTGTGTTATGGTCGAAACGTCGTGAGAATTTTTATTGTTATATATATTATTATTTTATTGTTTCCTTTCAACGTGACTTTACCGAAAGAGCTAAGAATATGAATTACTGCAGTCACGAAAGCTTTAAATCAAAAGAAATGCGTATTTACATAAATGTTTATTTTGCAACTTTTAAATCGGATCTCGCCGTCACCATGGCGACGGCGTTACCCGCACGTCACTACCTGTATCAAGACCCCAAACGTGATAACCAACGCGATGCCAGTTTTTTTGTATTTAAATTCCTGCGAAACATAAATCCCGCTGTCACTAATATAATGGAAAAAAAGAGCAAATATATTTGTTATATCAATACAGCCGTTTCTATTTATATATATTTTTTACAAACATCGAAATTAAAAAATATTAATCCACGGAACTCGATGGGGTCCGTTCGCGTTGCTTTGCCCGCCTGCCGCCTTGCCGTGGTCTCCGCGGACACCTCGGGAGGGGTCCTTCGCGCACAGCGCGGTTAAAGCGAACGGCTTCGGCGGGATTTTTTTTGTTGCTTTGCGATCCTCGCGGCCGAATCGGAGCGACTACAACAACAAGGGGGGGGGAGGGAGTAAACACAAATAAAAAGAGGAGAGTTCACTAATAAATGCGCAACTTACTTATACACCTCGGTAGCTAACGCACGGTAAAAAACCCCCCTCACGAGCAGACCGACGCCGCTGCTGCGGGCGGCATGGATGTACCGTCGCTCGTAAAAAAACTGGGTGAGATATATTTTTTTCAACAACAAAAAGTGTGTCGCGGCTTTACCCCTCTGTCGTTAAGAGCGTGCGGGGGTTCTTGTGTTGTTGCGTGGAACCGGTCCTGGGCCTCCCCAAGGTCGACTCGGCCTCAAACGAGTGCCTCATGCCACTGTGTGCAGTTAAACATCGTCCCTGGGGGAGACAAAGACGGTCGGGCGTGGTGCTGACCTCCCACAAACTCGCTCGCGTTGCTCGCCAACAACACTTGCCTCAACAGTCTGTTAAGGCTATACGGGGGGGGGGGATCTTTGTGGGGTGCGGCGGTTCGCGTGCTGATTTTAACACGGCGACCAAAAAGTTAGATTTTCGTTGAGGGCCAGCATCGGTGGCGAATACCTTGAGTCGGTCGGGGTCCCGGGCCTCCTGTGCTAGGTCGACCCGGCCTTCAATAATGAGCCCTGTAGCTGGTGTGCCTGGTGTACACATTACATCGGTGCTGGGGGTCAGACGGGCATGCCGCATGGCCGTGATGTTAACCAACCACTTGGTGCGCAGTTTCAGTCTGCTTTGGCGCCAACAGCCCTGTGCTGCAGCAGTCGTGTGTACGGTACAGGGGTTGTGCAGTTGTGCATCTGCCAGCACCGACTGAGCCTTCGCACACTTCACGTAAATAGCATTCAAAGTGCACCTAGCCTGGCACAAGCGCTGTGGCGACTTCGCCGCCACGTACGTTGCGGATAGCGGCTGTTGGGGTTTATCCGCCCCCGTTAATTTCCTTGTGGACGAACGCCTCTCCAAGCCGATAACATTTCTCATGACCCTGCCGCTGTTGACAAACCACCTAGCACCTCCGATTAGCACGGTTGGCTACGTACGTGCTGTGTACGTGCTGTGGCGCTGTTGAATTTCTTTCGCACCGTACGTAGCCAACCGTGCTAATCGTAAGTGTCGGGGGAAGGACAAGCAGATGCACAGCGGCTGATTTCATACATCGCTGCATTGTTTAAATGGTGCCATCCCCCTTGGCTGCCACCCGGATCACCTGGCCATCAGCCCTTCTTGACACCTGTCAACCAATACGGTTTACCCGAATTCTTGTAAGGGAAATTGAGTTTTCAGGTTCATACGGCATACAGCCGTGTGTCTGTGTGTTTCTCTCTCTGTGTCTCTCTCTGTGTGTCTCTGTGTTATCTCTCTCTGCTTATGTGTCTGTCTTTGTGTCTCCGTGTCTGTGTTTTGTCTCGCTCTCAAATTTAGCAATCTTTGGAAGAACGTAATGAACCAGGTGGGGTGTTGGCTGTTGTGTTAGCCGACTCTATGTGTTGTATTGCATTATATTTCTAGTTTACTATGTTTTTTCTCTCTTTCATTTGTACCTGATGATGATTGCTTGTGTTGCAATCGAAACGTATGCTGTTGTTTAATTTATTTTTCTTTCTACGTGACTTTACCGAAAGAACAAAAATATATAGTTTTTGTCTATATGTTTGTGCTTCTCCCTTGTGATGAGACTTTGTAGGATGAACGTTCAGATTTATAAGGGCACGGGGTGACCTATACGGCTTGAATTGGTCTATAATAAGGTAGGCACTGATAAGAGGTTGACAGGTATGCTTCTTGCGAAGTGCCCTGCTTAACCCACTCACATTTTTAACTTGGTAATCGACGAAGAAAATGTGACAAGCTGAAAAGTGAGGAGCTTATATATGTAATGCCAAGTTCGTCAGTAAAGACAAGCACTACATCCTTGGGTTGTGTTATCTAATCATGGGCCGTCCTGTACAACAGACGAACACAATCCTTGAAAGAGAATTTAAATGGTACAAATAACGCGTTATGTCAATGTTAGACGCCACGACTGTTATGAATTGAGCGCCTCGCTAGTTTTCAAATCTTTAAGCTGCCAACTCGTTTCGGACAGCCCACAATGAGCACCCCCGGGTGTGTAAATACTCGTGTCTTTTTGAATTGTGCTCTTCCTTTGATGGTAATATCACCGTAACGATGGATTTATTGCTTTCATTAATGCCAATACTTTTTTGCTTAAGAAAGAAACCCTGCTCGGAATTGTATCGCCACTTTAGGAGCAAGTATGTTTTGTTGTTGGGGAACAAAAACCCCTAGTGCCCTGTTAAAATTAAATTTACGCATGTCATCTATGTGCTGTACTGCACATTGTATTATTTCTTCGAGATGGGTGTCGCATGCACAACGGATTTATCTTTACGTGGTTCACCAACTCCGCTTCTAAATGTATGGATTACAGGCCTCTATGATAGATGTATAGATTTAATTGGTCGTGTAGATTAGTCGTGCTGTACATGGCTGATGATATCTAATGAGGTTGAAACCGGCATCTCCTGTACGACTGGACATCTTGTGACCCATTTTACTTCTCTGAAAAAGAGCTTTGTAGCTCATCGGATTCCTCCAGTATAAATAAAGATTATGATATACTGTAGTTGTCGATTTGCTTTCATGAGACGTTTCAAATGCTCTTGCCCTGTGGCCGTATCTTGGCTGGCTGTATACACGCCCTCTGTTGAGCCGTAAAGGAATTTCAATGGAGTCTATAACACTGCTTAAAATAAATATATATACGTACAGGCACTGTCTATAATAAGCGATGTTGCGGGCATTGGATTGCCCTTAACACATTAGGAAGGGCCAAACGTCATCTAGTTTTAATATATTTTTGTATTTTAAGGCAGTATTAATGAGGAATTGTGTTTTCTGCACCACTACCAAGAGCAACATTACTAAATAATTCGTGAAGGAAATATTGGTTTTCTATTCAACAAAAATTGTGTTTCTAAAAATGTGCATTTACAAAGCGTGTATGTATATTAGAAACCATTATAATATTGTAATAGTTCGTTGAGAGTACAGGGCAGAGTAAAGTTCGTAAAGAAGCATGGTGCAATGCACGCAGGTAATTATACTGCTAGACAGATAAGTAGCAAGTGAGATTGGGCAGGACGCACCCTTCGAACATGCCCGAAATGATGGACACCAACAGGGGATTGTGTACAATGCAACACTTCAAAGATTCTGTTCAAGTAGGGGGAACATGCACATTTAGAGGGTTAAGGAGGGAGAAAGGAAATGAAAAAATAAGCATTTGGTGAGATTGTTTTTTTTTTACAATTTTTGGAGGTGGTAGCCGGCTGTAAGGTCCAGATGAAGACAATAGTGAACAGCCAGATGCTCCGCTACAGTTTTTTTTAACATGCTGTTTTTCCCTGTGACAAATTAATTCCTGTAGGCCACCATCTGGAGGAGATACGTGTGCGGGCGCTCAAGAATCTACTGCTCAAGCTGGAGCATGGCTTGCTGGCTGAGGCGGACCTGGTGCAGGAAAAGCGCTTGCTTGTCCGCATGCTTGAGTGGTTCAACTTCCCTTCTGTGCCCATGCAGAAAGAAGTGCTGGGGTTGCTGCACAAGCTTTCCCAGGTGGGGATATGTATTGCATATGGGATTATGGCATCATCGTCCTAAGTGTACTAAGAATCTTTAAGTTTTTGTTTGGTCTTCATTGTTTTGATTGTGTTTAGCTTTGTTAATTGTTTATGGCTGCTTCATCTATAATAGAGGTTTTTTTTGGGTTAGATCGTGTAAATATATAAATGTGTCATTAAAACCCGCCACCCAACATAGCTAACAAGTAAGGGTTGTCATGTAAACAGAACATGCCAATTCGTTACGAGTACAGCACACCGATGTGTTGGAGAGCGAAGCCACAACATTTACAATCTTGAGTACGACGTTTCGCCAGTAATTACAACTAGCTTCATCAAGCGACAACCAGATTTGTGGAGAAGTCCACCTGTTTCGTTCCTTATATAGAGGTGTAGATGTGGTGACCACACTTCTGCGCTCTTGTGCAAAGTGGGGGGGGGTTACTGAGGCAACGTACATTATGCATGCGCATTATGCGAGCCTTTTGATCTTGTCCTTCCTGTCCATTGTGTGTATTAATATAGCCGTACCAACGGTAATCCCTTTTGAATGATGGTGCCTTGTATAGGCATGCATTTAAACAATGTATATTTGATGATTCGCTTACGTGTTAAACTGGCTGCTTAATTTTGTTATAAAGCTTTCGTGACTTTACCGAAAGAACCAAGAATATGGCTGCTTCATGTTTGTTTCTGCAAATTTAATTTGTAAGTCAAAATGCTGTTATTAGATGGGGTTTGGTACGTGCCTCTTTAAGGATAGTACACTTTAAGGCTTGTTGTTGTCCTTCCCCCACACCTCCGATTAGCACGGTTGGCTAGGTATGGTGCGAAATAAGTTCAACATACATATACATCAGTATTTTTAAGGATGAATTTATCATTGAGGATTGTGTCTCTACATTTGCCTGTATATTTGTTTTGCTTGCGACACCCCGTGACAGCACTCTTCTGCAGCGGGGTTACTAGTCGAAATTGGAGCACTTGAGTTCCTGGCGCAGCTGCGGCCTAACGTGCAGGCGTCACTGCAGGCACCTGTGGACAGCATCATGGACTGCCTACTGCGCCTCCCAACAGTGCAGCCCGAGACCCCCTCTGTGATGTACTCTGCCAATTCCCCACCAGAGGACACTCACCAGCAAGGTAATACTAGTATGCTCATCTATATTGTTGCCTTGTGCATTATTTAAAAATAGTTTGGCTCATAGACCTGCTGATATAAAATTTGGCTGTAATTATTAGTTAAAAATGTTGCCTCTGTCTAGTGATGAAATGGGAAATTAATTAACAATAGTGCCAATTATATACCCTGAAAAGCCTCACTGTTTCTCATATTTCTTTCATTAAGGTCCTTAATTGTGATGCTTGGAAAATCCCATTAATTAGTGTTTAGTGTCATGTGGCAGGAAACTAGGGTACCTGGAGAAACCCACAAATATAACAGATGAAACAAAACATTGCCATCTCCTGGTCATCCCGCAGCCTCACATCCATAAAACCTCACTGAAGCCCTGTTGGTCATCTATCCAAATACGAACCAGGATAAAATTTTGCTAAACCAGCTCAAATTTTGCTAAGTATTTTGGCTAATTTGGGTGTCGGCCAATATACTCGTGGATATTAGAGATAGAGTGAGTGACTGTGACTTCATAACATAATTTGAGTGTCTTGTGCTGCATATGAAGAAAGTGTGATTGGGCAAATGTGATATCATTTTTTGAAAGTGGAACTTCTATGTTTAATCTACACTTGCTTATTTTGGTCAGGTTCTCTTGCTTTGAAACCGATGCAGGCAGATGGAAACACGGGCTATTTTATACACAGCAAGAAGGAAAAGGACATTCCAAAAAACAACATAATCTTGCCAGGTACGTGTCATGAAAACTCACTTTTTCAAGTATGGTAATGTTTTTTGAAAAGTATTTAATTGGCTGGAATAATGTTTAATTTTCAAGTCGCACAACTACACAGCATGTGATGTGTGACATCACGATATGCCTGTGATACGCTGTTCGGGAGCGTAGAAGGAAGGGAGGTGGTGTTCTTTAAGCACTGTGTTTTCTCTCCAGTTTTGAGGAATCCTTTGATAAATTTTACTGGTTTTCTATCAGGTAAGTTCTTAATATAGAATTTGAATGTAATTACAGTTGTCCCTCACTATAACGCGGTTCACCTTTCGCGGCCTCGCTGTTTCGCGGATTTTTTTTAGTGTAATTTTGCATGCTTTTTTTTTCCTGCGTACAGTATGAACGCGCATTGTGTTCGGCGTCCTGATTGGCTAAGGGAGAACCGCACATGTGTTCTGCGTCCTGATTAGCTAAGGGAGTACAGAATGCGTTCGGCTAGCCAGATTTACAAAAATGTTTGGGCTTGAAAACAGGTTTTGATCTTTGGTTTCATTTACTAATATTGTACTTATTTTTTTTAATCTGCGAAAGTTTGAACTTTGAGAGTGTTTAAATAAGAGAGAAATGTGAGAAAATGTTAATGCCTGTCTGAGAAAAGTGTATAAAAGTGTGTGGTTAGGGGTTTTACGGCCTTAAAACATGTATAATAATTGTAAAAAATAAAGCTGATTACTTCGCGGATTTCGTCTATTGCGGGTTATTTTTAGAACGTATCCCCGCGATAAAGGAGGGACCACTGTATTACTTTAAATGTTGCTTCTATTGAATGATGAAATGGGAAATTAGTTAACAATAATGGCAATAATTTACCCTGTTTATATTAGATAATCTGTTTTTATGAGTGTTTAGGCATCCCCGCATTACAGACAGATGGGAATAATTTATGCGTTCACACTTTCAACCTTGGCTGGAAAACATTAAAAAGGGTGGATGGATGGTGTAATTTTGTATCAAGCAAAAGTATCCTTGACAGCAATCAATGGATGGGGGCAGGAAAGAAATGTGTGAGTCCATAATAACTTTTTTTGGGTTAGATTGTGTAAATTGATGTGTTATACACGAACCTCCACCCAGCACAGCCAGTTAGTAACGTACTAATTGGACAATGCACACATTATCAAAGCATATTTATTTGAATGTTTTGCCACAAGTTTGAGTGGTTAATGTGGACTTGATGCTTTGGAATAGGTGTCTATTTTGTGTTTTAACATCTTAACACCTGTGTTTTATCACCTTTTCTTACTTTTTATACCATCCTAAATACTGGCAAAAAGGTCCCATAGATGTCGCTGGAAATAAATTGTTACTGCTGCATCGATGAAAGACTGATTGTAAATACGACAAAATGTTGTTTCCTTTTGTTTCAGTAAATGATGTTGTGAAGTGTTTAAAGTTTTCTACATTCCCATGGCTCTCCCTAACTCCAAATGATAAGCATGTTCTGACTTCGACGGAAAGGTAAAGTTATTCCTGCTTGGTACAAATTCATTTTTGGTTCAGTATGAAAAGCTGGCTAGACGTAATTCTCTCAAGCAATAAAGTCTAGCCTTGAATGCATAATGCAGATAATACTGTACATGCAGAATCAGGAAATGTATAACATGGACGACTTTTATAATTTAATACAACTCTCAGCTATAAAAATGGCTTGCCACTGTGCCTAAATCAGAGTTGCTTTTTTTACTGCTGAAATTGAAAGTTCAAGAAATAATGGAAACCATTGCAATTCAACATGATTAAAATAAATAATCTCTCTGGTGTGCTACTTTTGTTTCCAGGTCCTTACGGAGTAAGAATGCCAGCCTGATTAGAAGTTCCTGCGACTTTTTATTGGATGTGATGATGTGTGATTTTCCTGCTGAAACATTCTTACAGCGGCCAAATATAGTAGAGGTAATTTTTTAAACCCCATGTTTTATTTGTGATAATATTCGTTCATTCTATCGTCATATTCAAGTTTAGGATTATTTCCTCTGCTGTGTTGCATATATTAAATCAGTTGTTAAACATCTGTTAAACATTTAAAACAGTCTGCCCTCAGCAGCAGACCATGCTTTCCCACCTGATGATGGACGCTTGTGTTGCACCCGAAACGTCGTGAATTATTTTATTTTATACCTACGTGACTTTACCGAAAGAACCAAAGGGTATGGATTCCTGCAGTCACGAAAGCTTCAAATCAAGATTGTTAAACATCTGTCAAATGCCTACAAATGACTGGTAATTCATAATACAATTGGATGATCACAGTTTCGTCCTTTTATAAGTTAGTTGTTTGGTACAAACTGTTCTATTCGTTATTCTAATTATCCTCTGTGATGTTTTATTGGAATCATTAGGACAGTGGTATTTAATATAATAATTCCAATCATGGTAACTTTTGAAAATGATCTAAGAGATGCATGTATGTAGCATTACAACGGATGTGTGTGTAATCATAAGTGTAAATTTATTCTAAGTGTGTACAACTGCGGAATCATACTTTCAGGTTTTAGTGTATGATAAAGAAATGTGGAATAACAGGTTTGACTGTTTTTTTCAGAATGAGATGTAATAATCACTTGCCAGGAACAGTTCCCTCTTCAGCTCTGAAAAAAAAAATTCAACCTGTATATTAAATTTTTAATACGAAAACTATGCAATAAGTGATATATTTGCATTCGCAGGAAAATTACAAATGTGTGATATATGGTAGCATATATTACAGAATAGTTCAATCTACTGTATTTTGATATTTAAAAAAAAACAGTGTTTTCAATTTAATTGATAAATCATTCATACGAGGGTCGCCAAGAAAGTAGTGCCCCACTTTTTTCCCCGGGCCAAAATGTATTGAGGAAAAGTGAAACCTACCCATAGAATTAGCAAATGTATTGATTGTATGTGCATTCATTTTCCACATAATCCCCTTCTACCTCAATGGTTTTGCACCATTGAGACAAGAGAGCATGTATTTCTTGCCAGTGAGGCATAACTTTCTGGGGGATCCTTGTAGAATAAATGTAAAAAAAATCCATATGATACCCAGCATGATTGTAAATGTCTCATTGTTTACAGAACCTGTTGCTGCTATTGAGGCTGGCCGGAGGAGCAGATGGGACCCACCAGCTGGCTTTGCATGCGCTGCGTTGCCTACACCACCTGTGCCGAAACCTCACCAGCCGACTTTGCTTTCACAGGGATCCTGCGTTTTTTTCCACCAAGCCAGGTGCTTGCGGCTGAGCAGGCAGTTGCCCACAATTACTTTTCTCGCATCGCTGTTCATTTTAGCTCTGCATGTTATAGCAAAATCAAATCCTGAATTTGTAAAAGTACCTCCGATTAGCATGGTTGGCGACGTACAGTGCGAATGAAGTTCAACATACACACTTACAAATGTCAATGCGCACAATCAGCTGATTGCATTTTCACTTATTTGTTAATACTAACGAGTTACAGATTTTTGTTACCTTATTTGTGTAGTTTCCATCGAAAGTCATTTCATTGTTTTGTGTTCCAATAATGCTCCATTACCTACAGAGGGCACTATGTGCTTAAACACTGGTATTGTAAAGCAACCCAAACATGCAATATCTGATTATATTGAACATGTCTAAAGTAGATATACATACCTGAAATCCAGAAACGTGGAAGCAGGATTAGTGGATCGCCGAGGGGTAGCATCTGAAATAGACCAATCCACAGGACAACAAAGTGACTGCGGGAGGCAGTACATAGAGGATGATATTGAAGTTTGAGTATTATGCCTTTGTAGTCATGATTTTCTTCTGGGTACACTAGTTCAGAAAACAAATGTACGTATTAAATTTTGATTTAAAGCTTTCGTGACTGCAGGGATTCATATTCTTGGCTCTTTTGGTAAAGTCACGTAGAAGGGAAACAAAATAATACAAATATAAAACAAAATTCTCACGACGTTTCGACTACAACACAAGTAATAATCATCCGGTGTGAAAACCACAGCAAGTGAATTTGAAAAACGTGGCAGTTTTTTTTTTAACGTTAGCACCACGGAGAGTGATTTGGCAGTTATTCAGATGGACGAGGCCATCTATGTTCAGAAAAGAGGAGGGGGGAGACGAAAATAATGGATGCGGTCTGTAAGCCACCGTAAGCGTGAACAATCAATTAAGACCCGAAATGGTTTATCAAATTCTTCCAATGATTGCTAAGCCAGAATCCATCTTCTCGGTTGAATTTGTGTGTTTGTGTATGTGGATAGCCTCATGAACGAATCTCTCATGGTAGCCAGATGGCTTGCAAAGAACCTCTGTCTTGGAGAAGTCAATGTCATGTGAGCCTACTGAATTATAACAGTGATCTGCCACGGCGGAGGTGTTGGTCCTACCGTGTTTTAGGTCTGCTTTGTGTTCATGAATGCGGTCCGAGACATGTCGTTTGGTTTCTCCAATGCAACTACTACCACAGAGGCAACTTAGTTTGTAGACGCCAGGGTACTGTATGTTGAACTTATTTTGCACCGTACGTAGCCAACCGTGCTAATCGGAGGTGTGGGGGGAAGGACAATAAACTAAACACAAAAAAGTTCTAAAGAAATAAGTTTTGAATCGTGATTTAAAAGTGCGAAGTGCATACAAGATTCATTGGGGCTTTCTTGGGTAATCAAAAAAAGTAGTTTGTTACAAATACAGTGCTCTTCCTATGATTTTCAGATGTGGACTATCAGAACTCATCAGTATCCAGTTCAGGCACCTCAGTGGAATCGAATGAGCGATCAGCTACCGCTGCTGCCACCAGCCCTCGCCCTTCTACTCAGGGTCACAGGGACCAGCGGCCACGTGGGGACGGCAGGGACGGCGACCTTTCTTCCTCTGCCTCCAGGTCTCACTCCTGTCCTGTTTTGGTGTGCTGACGATTTGATTAAATTATGGATTTCTTGATTTTCTTCAGACAACAACTTTAAATATAAATACTTATTGATGCAATGCATTATAGAAACGGTGCAAAGTAATCAGCAACTTATTACTAAAACAGTGTTAAAGGGTAGGTTTATTAATTAAATTTTAATGAAATTCAATCTGAAGCATAATTTTTCTTAGTGAGAAAAGCATCAATCAGATATTGGAGTGTGCAAGCATATAATTGTATATGATACAGATTATGGCTTTTTGGGGATTTTTATGTAAATGTCAACAATTTATATCCCTTTTAAAATCCACTGCTGGATGAAGACCTCCCCACACCTTCTCGGGTTATCGTCCGTGAAGTTTGGTGAAGGGCGAGGCTCAGCACCAGCTTCAGAATCTTTATTTAGACTGGAGGAATCCGATGAGTTGTGAAGCTCTTTTTCACAGATGTCCAGTATTGGCAGGTTAGGACCAGACCAGGTATTGCCCACCACTGATGTTACCCGTAGCTGGGAATCAAACCGGGATATCAGGTTCATCGTGTAATGCGCTAAGCATTGCCCAGGCATGGTAGGGGAGATAGGGATTTCATGGGGAGGAAATGTTATTTGAAAAACACAATATCCTCTTATACGAAAACAAATATGTATTTTGCTCATATGTGATATGGGAAAACATAGGGGAAATTAAACATACTGTCACCTAAAATACATTATGCATAGCATTACACTTTTTTAGTTGTCATGGTGCTTACCTTTTAGCTTGGTGATTTAGTGTCTTTTTTTCTCAGCCTCATTTGTATTCCATGATGTTTTTAGTTACTTAAAATATTGTTGGAGCAATAAAGAATACTAATCGTAGTGGCTATAATGCAGAAAATGATTTAAAGCCTTTGTATGTATAACTTTTCAGGAATACTTTTATAAAAAGTATATAATTAATTCTTGCATGCAATGCACAAAAAACAAATGCAAAAGTTACTGTTACAGCTAAATTACATGCAACTTAAGAAAAGTTTGCATGACATTTTATGTTTAAACTTTGGAACTGGAGTTTGTAAATCATGTCAATGAAGGCGATTTTCATTTTTCACAGCCTCATTTAATTGGGGTTCAATTGAGAAAATATTACGTTGCGTAACCTACTGTGGATATGGATTTAAATGTAATTTATTTTAACATGTGGTTATGATTCCTGGGTCCGTTGATGGGCAGCACCGGTTCATCTGAAGGCCACAATGAGACCTCAAGTCGCGCCACACCATCCCCACTGGAACTGGGCACGATGGGAGGTGAACTGGATGCAGACTTAACTCTGGAGTTGCAGCTCCAGCAGTGGGGGCTACCCAACTTCTGTCTGATGGCAATGCAACCAGCCATTGATATGCTTAAAACAGGTATGGATGGGTGAGGTGAACTTACAAGGTGTCGCCGTGGCAAGATGTTAACTCCCTCGCCTGGTATGCAGAGGGTTCGTGTGTTCGATCCCGACCCTGACGCCTGTATATTTGGGGTTTGCATGTTTTCCCCATGGTCGTGTGGATTTTTCTCTGGGGTTTTTCGGTTTTTTCCCTCCACATCTTGAAACATGCATTTAGAGTATTTTGTGGCTTTAAATTTCCACATGATGTACCACTTTTGTTGAGCTATCAATTGTGGCAGGTCACTTCTGAATAAGAGCTATATAGCTCAGTGGGCCTTTCCTGGTAATATTAAAATAGTATTTATGATTCATGAATATTTGGCTGAAGCTGAAAAATGACACAAAACGATTTATCCAAGCGTAGTTTCTCGGGAATAGTGGCATATTCCATAACTTTAATCCCAATTCCATTGATATTCATCCTGTGGCTGCAGAATCTCAGCATAGACATGCAAACAAAAGTGTCTTTACTACCATCATTGCCATGTGGCTATAAAAAGTATGTATGAAACTATAAATTTGACCAATAGCCTTTCAAAATATTTGTATTTTTTTCTATTTATATGACAGTATTTGGGATTAATATCACGCTACTTAGGGTTATGCTCTAAACACCCCTGCCCACGCAGTTGCTAAAAATGTATGAATATAAACCAATAGCAACTTATCAATGCTTAGATGTGACTAATCACTGGTTCACCATACCTATCTATCAGCAGTGCCATGGGTTTAAGTAGTTTGCATGCTATAGGGATGATTTAAAATTCCTTTTTGCCTGTTTAAATATAAATGTTTTATGAGGATAGTTCCCAGTGGAAAAAACCCACTTCTTTACACAAATTATATGAAACAAAAATAAGATTATATGAGTGTTTTTGTTAACAATAATATACTGTTTTTCAATGTATTCAATGATTGCACAACACCATTGCAGTTCTATAATTTATTGGATTGTAGAAAAATTGGAAATGTAATGTGGTTGGTTATTTTAAGAGTCCTAAAAATTACATGGAGTCATGCTTGTAATCATCGTATAAATTTTAAACATTTTGGTCATGTTTGCTACAATAAGCGTACGAGTTTGCCCAAAAAATGGAGAGGATGCTCTAATTCTAATGCCGTTGCTCAGTTGCCAAAGACAGATTTCCAATACTGATCGCTTGGTTGTAGGCGTTAAGAACTGAGGTGCATGAGAATCAATTACAGCACTCCACCGCTGAATGCAAAATAATGTGGTAAAATAGTAAGATTAAAAACTGTTACTTTCTTTGTGGCTTGATGGTTACAACACCATTTTATTTTGGGCTTCCATAACATTTTCTGAATAATTGAGTCATTAATCAATTCACTATTTGACAGCGTTAATAAATCACGTCGTGTGATTCTATTCCAAAGTGACATCTCGCTTGAGCACACGTGAACACTTACTATAAGTCTGGCAAAATAACGTTCGTCGAGTTTTTGCGTTCACTTGCTAGATAGGGCCTTTGAATTGTAATGGCACTGTGCTGCAGGGAGCAGCTGTGATGTCCTCGGTGTGCTGGAGCTGCTTGCGCCGGTGAGCTCGCTGCTGTCCGAGTCTCTAACGTCGGATGTTTGGCAGGACAACAGCTTGATCGGTCGGGACCTGGTAAGGGGTTTTGCGACGAATGTGCTGAATGTTAAAAAGGGCATTTTAATCTGCTTCTGTATATATCCTTGAATCTTACCCCCCTCAATATATTGAATGCATTTTAAAGTGGTATGACTGATTTGAAAAGTATTTTTTTTCTGTTTAAAATAAATGATTTTGTTTGAGTACTTAAGACAGAATTGTCTGAAAAAAATCAATGAAATCTAGTTGTTGTGAAGAGCACTTGCATTGCCATTGTAGTTTGATCTTGTTGCACGCACACAATGGAATTGGATTTGTCTTTCGAAAGAGCTTATTTTGGCTAGTAAGAGTTGTAAAAATTAAAAAGCAAAGCCAGGCTAGTGCTGTCTAAATCTCCAGGCAAAATCGATGTTTAATGATTAAGGAGTGGGTGAATGGTAGGTTCATGGGTCATGACGTGACTGTTATGAAATAAGTGCTGTCCTTTCCCTTCCTCAACCAGATAGGAATAACAAGTTGCTATCCTTGGTTTAACAGAGGTGTATAAGTGTAAGCATGTTAAGGCTTTTAAATGTAACCAGGCTTGACCAGATTAGAGGTTAATTGGCTTGTCTGGAAATTGTAAAGGTTACCCTTGCACAGTGTGGTTTACACCACCGTAGGAGAGGGCAGTCTACTCTTCATATTGGACAGACAGATTGGGATACATTGCTAGACCTGCACTTTACCCCGTCACTCGAAATACAGATAGTCCTTGACTTTTGGCGACCTGCCGCAATTACGGCGGATCACCATTTACCACCCTTGTTATTACTTATGCTGGTCAGACCCAAACTTACGGCATGACTTTGACTCGGGCACCGGTTCTTCGCACAAATCTACGGTATGTCGCCCAGTCAGTCTGCCTCCCCGATGCACTCCGGTGCTACATTTCTGTGCGTTTTCGTAATTTTTTTACCATTTTTATTAATTATTTCAGTTTTAAAAATGACATAAAAAGGTCAGTGCTCTAGTGATGGTGCTGGAAAAGAACGTAGCAGAAAGGCCATGACTGTAGTCAGTCCAAATAAGCCAGGAATTATGAAGACTCAAGGCAATACACTTTCTATACACTATTATTGTACTTTATATATGATTGGTAGTTGATTAAAAATGCTATTTGTCTTCATCATATATAAAAAGTTGCATTTCGTGCTCTCAGTTGGGAACATAACTCCCGATTATATCATGGTTTCTCTGGGAAAATCGCTCTCCATTTTGAGCGGCGATGGAGACGGCAGTGGATAAATTATCTTGCAGGAACTTTGTGTCCAATTGATTGGACTGTAAACCTGATGTGTGAATAAGCAGCCTAACTGATTTACCTTTGCTTATCACTCCATAGGCTGAGCGGATGTCGGGCATCCTAGAAAGCCTGGCGGAGGTGTTGTCTTACCACTACACAAACCGTGTTGCGGAAGGGCAGCCTGAGCCGCTGCGTGCACACCATCGCCTCGCCTTCAACGGCTGTGGCCTAGCATTCCTACGGCTGGTGCAAATGCTGGTGCCTCTAGAGCAGGTGAGATATCCCAGAATTCCAACCCTGAGCCTTAGTTTATGTAATTTTAGGTATCGTAAAAAAATATAGAGGCCTCCAATAAAGGCATAAAAAATACAAAAGCAATTATAATTCAATCTCTTGTATCTTAATGTATGTAAGTGTGGAATGTAAAATGCAAGCAGATCCTGTTATTATTCTGATGCTCTTAATACATTTATGTGACCCAAAATATGCACCAGTAATTTCAGGGGCCATTGACTCGTGCGTGTTTTGACCCGTATGACCAAGTATACATATTAGCATGAGTGGAATGTATAAAAGACACCCAACACATGTAGTTTGACCAGAACCTAACCTACCTAACATGGACCATTCTCCTGGGTATTTCATGGGATCCCCCTTGCCAGTATCAAAATATAAGAATAGGTTTTACCCTATTATGTAGCTGCTCACCCCGAGCTCTTAATGTCCTGATAGTGCATTGTCTCTGTGCTGTATGCCTTATGGCATCCTCTGGTCTAACACTGTTTGAGACTAGGCTCTAAAGAAAGCTGTCTCTGGTGTGGATCAATCAGTTTCAATGACTGCATATACTGCCAGAGCATGTTTTTTGTTTGCATGTTCACCGCAAGTATATGTGGTTAATGCAGATGTATTTCCTTCCAAAACGTTTCTGTTTGGTGTTTTAACATCTTAACACCTGGAAAGACGTTAAAAACCATTTCGGTTCTTAATTGATTGTATTTTATGGTGACTTTCAGACCGCAGTCCATTCGCTGGCACTGCCTCTTAATACCTTTCACACGACGGTCAATAGTATGGTTTATAGCATGTTATATAATAATAACTAGTATCGTAATTACAGAGTGAATATACAGCAGTGTGGTATACTGTAGGGTTGGTAGAATAATACATAGTGTAATATTACAAGTCTAATATTTTACAGTCTAAAGTATAGGGTAGTGTATAGTAACGCATTGTATAATTCAAGGGTGGGTTTGTCCATGGCGCAGTGTATATTACGGTGTATAGTCGTGTAATGTAGAAAAAAGTTTAGTTGGAGACATATCAATATAATGCATAATGTTAGAGCTTACATTGGGCTGTGTATACGATATTATACAATGTAGTTTTGATTGGAAGGTATAACATTGCAATGTATAGTAGTCTAGTTTATAACATAGTTGTAACGCAACACAGGACAGAGCAGCGCATCGTGGCTGTTTCTCCCCCCTCCTCCGTTCCGAGCATAGATGGACTCGTCCGTCTGAACAAAGCTCGTCGCTTTCCGTGGTGCTAACGTTGAAAAGAAAAAAATGCCACCCTTTTTTCGACATAGAATTGTAATGTATAACGACTTATTGTTAGTAGCTCAGCTGATTGGAGAGTATATTGAGTTTATTGATAACATTGATGCTCTTTGGTTTTATTCAGTAAAGTCACGTAGATAAATTAAAATAAAATAATTAAATCACGACGTTTCGGAGGCAACACAAGCTTCCGTCTTCAGGTGGAAAAGTCAACGCAGAATATCTGTGTCAGGAGCACAGTTCAGAGACAACCGGGATTATATACAGGTTAAGGGAGGGGGGAGGAGTCAGTAAGGGGCCGTGGGTGGGAGGGCTGGGTTAAGCAGCCTTTTGATAGGCTGCTGCGGGTAACAACCACTTCGCACTGCACGGGAGTGGGTAAAAAACCTACCTTTTGTTATGCTGAGTGTGGGGTCAGGGAGATTTTGGAAGCGGGTGCAAAACGGCTGATGCTGCGTGATGCTGCATGGGGGGTCGGGGGGATTTTGATTTTGAAAGCGGGTGCAAACGGCTGAAGCTGCGTGGGGGCCGTTTGCACCCGCTTTCAAAATCCCCCCGACCCCCACACTCAGCATAACAAAAGGTGGGTTTTTTACCCACTCCCGTGCTGTACGAAGTGGTTGTTACTCGCAGCAGCCTATCAAAAGGCTGCTTAACCTAGCCCTCCCACCCACCCATGCCCCCTTACTGACTCCTCCCCCCTTCCTTAACCTGTATATAATCCCAGTTGTCCCTGAACTGTGCTCCTGACACAGATATTCTGCGTTGACTTTTCCACCTGAAGACGGAAGCTTGTGTTGCCTCCGAAACGTCGTGATTTAATTATTTTCTTTTATTTTGTTTTATTTTATCTCCGTGACTTTACCGAATAAAACCAAAGAGTATGAATCCTTGCAGTCACGAAAGCTTCAAATCTAGAACGTTGATGCAGTTTATATTTTAATTTTTTTCAGTTTACTATATGGTATTCATTATATAGTGTAGTGTATACCCAGTTACTTTATGTTAATAGCTCAACTTATTGAAGAATATATTGAGTACATTTATTATATTGATGTAGTTTATACTTAGTTTTTTCACATCGGTTTATTGTATGATAGTTGGGTAGTTGCAGTCCTTTAATGTCAATATACTAAATGCATCTGTTGATATGTAAACTCTGACTTTAACATAGCTATTTCCATGACCAGTTACATGCTAATCCCTCACATTAACATCATGCTAATCTCCCAGTTACATGCTAATTTCTGACTTTAAAACCCTGCTAATCCAACACTTTAACACAGCTATTTCAATGCTAAATTCTCCTGTTGATATATAAACTCCTTTGTCAAGGCGCTCTGCTCCTCCCACCTAGCTTGAAAGACGCTGCGAAGTTTAGTGTTCATTGAAGCACTGTCGTGCTGACAGTTCTGTTCCTTCACCTGAAGAAGGCTACTTGTGTTGTGGCCAAAACGTCGTGAGAATTTTATTTTATTATGTTTTATTTTTATTATTTTATTTCCATTCTACGTGACTTTACCGAAAGAACCAACAAGATCTTAACATCTGTTTTATTGCCAATTCCTATATAGTCTGGGTAGTGATTTCTTCCAACTGGTGTGACTTGATGCAGGCAGGCACCATTCTACCTGGGAGTGTGGTGTCGGCACTGAGCATGATTTCGCTGGACGTCCCATTCTGTCGCACTTTCCCGGCCGCCTGCGATGCGGCTTGGTCCTTCCTGGAGCAGGCGAGCTCCGAGTGTCACTTGCTGAGTACACGCGTTGCCTCCGTTACCCAGTCGATGGAGTGCACCTGCACTTTTATGCGAGAATTCACCAACCAGGTATGAATTTGAAGGGTGCTGTGGGCACGTGCGTTCTGTAGTAAAACGTATGAAGAGTCTCACTATGCAGGGATGTGTGCAAAACTAATAGCACGCTTAAGTTGTCAAAATAACACCTTTTTTATGGATTGATTGTTTTATAATTGTCCCAGCAAGACTTGCATATACTCCCCACAAGCTTCCTTGCCAGTGTTTTAATTATGTGATTCTTGGTTGTTTTGTCTTGGAACAACAAAGGACGATGGAAATATGTTGGAGCTGATAGAACTGGCTGACCAAGCTGTGGAAAGTATACCGTACCACCTGCACCTGCCCTTCATTCAACACTTCATAAGCCTGTGTTCCAAAATGTGAGTGTTCAAAAGCACCTATTTTTACATTGAATACAGTGTGTTATTCACCACAATGTGTAAGGCACAATTGCTATGGCAATAACATGTTCATTATTTTATTTTTGTTTTAGACACAAGACATTGCAACCTAGCCCAACTGCAGCTGGTGAAAGCAGAAAAGTCTTGCTAAAGCTCTTGTCACACCCAGTGAATGTGATTCGAGCTAATGTCTACAGCAACTGTCTTAACATAGTCCAGGTATTATCAGTCGTGACCTTTGAAAGCCGAGATTCTTAAACCTGACATTTGCGCCTTATCATTATACACATTTTTCCATGTTAACTGGTCAGAAAATATTGAATGTCAATCTTAATTGTTGCCTAATTATTATTGGTGAACAGCTAAGCTACATAAATATAACTTGTGTAAATATATCTTGATGTTTACATAGTTTGTGTGTGAATTACAAACTTGCAAATGGTGAAAATATTCCTGTGGTGGTTCAAAGGATTTGAATGTGAAAGTATAAATTTGTGCAATGTCGAAAAGACACCACTTTGATATTGACTAAATAAACGTATCTTCAGGAAACATCCGCTTCTCATTAGGTCTTTGATATTATTCATAATGAAGGTTTTTGGGTTAGATCGCGTTATTTATAATGTGTCGTAACCCTCCACCACCCGACACGGCCAATCAGCAAAAAAGTTTCACGTTGACTAAAGACAAATAGTTCACATGCATGGAAATGCATATCTGCTAGTGTTAAACATTTTTTTTTTATTTGAATAACAATTGCTTCTGACCATGACGGGTAACTGACAACAACCTATATTTCGATTTAAAGCTTTCGTGACTGCAAGGATTCATCTTCTTTGGTTCTTTCGGTAAAGTCACGTAGAATGAGATTAAAATAAAATAAGACAATAAAATTCTCACGACGTTTCGGCCACAACACAAGTAGCCTTCATCAGGTGAAAGAACAGAACTGTCGGGACGACAGTGCTCCAACATTGGAGCACTGTCGTGCTACTTGTGTTGTGGTCGAAACGTCGTGAGAATTTTATTGTCTTATTTTATTATTTTATTCTCATTCTACGTGACTTTACCGAAAGAACCAAAGAAGAGCAACCTATATATTTTATTAAAACGACCAGGTATGTTCCTGTTGCAGACAATTCTGAAAAATAAGCTAATGCCTCAGTAAGATATAAGCTAATGCCTAGTAAGATAAAACATAGTTTAGTTTTATTTGTATATATATTTAGAGTGATTTGTTTACCTTGCCTATAATTTCCACTCCTATTGTGTTTTGTATTATTTTTTGTAACGTTCTGACCTGCTCCTACTGGGCATCTGTGAAAAATAGCTTTCTAGCTCATTCGATTCCTCCATTATAAATAAATATTCTGATTCTGAATTAAACTTAACTGTGATTGACATAGTGGTTTGATTTATTTCCTTTAACTTGGTGGGCAGGGCATCGACAGAATTTGTAGGGTTGTATAAACAATTTTTTTTTATGCTGTATCATATCCAGCTTCACGATACTGTATTTGCGTCTCTTTAGAAAATGTGGTTCTTAAACATGTTTTTTTCTCACCACCTTGTGTTTGACCAGGAATCATTAGGCATTCACAATGTGACAAAGTCAGTGTCCACAGCCTGCCTCGGAGTACGCTTCTTGCTGCACAGTCGGGTGCTGTACGAATTGTGTGCCTTTGGCCTCCAGGATTCCCACAAAGAGGTCAGGGGGTAGCATTTGATTGTATGGGGTGCTTGTCTGCCCTTACCCATATCATTATTTTAAATGATCATATTCCACTATATTCCAAAAATACCACTTCTTTGAAATATGCGTGTGAAACATGGGTACTGGACATCTGTGAAAAAGTGCTTTATTATAGCTCATCGGATTCCACCAGTATAAATAAATATTCTGATATCCTTTGAGTAAATAGTCCATAATTACACGGACATCCTCTACCCACATGGGTATAATTAAATTTTATGAATAACGGTACATTTACCCATACTTGTATGTTTGTCAATATAAACATTATTGCGTGCATATATTGAATGCCAGGACATGTTACTGCATACAGATAAGATTTATGATTTATACCCTGCTCCACAGCATTGTACTTTGTGGCACTGCAAAGCTATCGATTGACCTATAACCTACAGGACAGTGCTACCATCCTACTAGTATCAGTCATAGATTAATAATAATTAGCCCTGGATAAAGGCCTCCGCATTTCTGTGTCAGTTGTGGGGATTGTTTGACCATACTTCACCATGCTGATCACTGTTGGGGTTAATAAAAGGGGACCTTAATACTTGATTCAGGCTGAGTCAACTTGGGGGATACATGGGACAAGTTCACATTATATGTCACTGATGTTATCCATGGCCAGGTCTTTAACATGGGTCAGTGGGCTGACATGGTGCACTAAATTGAATAGCGGCAATATATTTGTTTTAAACATGTTTTAACCAACCTATGACATATACATATAGTAATTCCAGGCACATGCTTATTGTTTTGAATGTGAAGGTGTTCTTGGCAGCCCGGGCTATTGTGCTGTACCTGCTGCAGAGCCGGTTGCTCATGTGCGCTGCTACCTGGGGACAGCTTTTGGAGGCCCTCACTCCTGTACTGCCTGTTCTGCAGGTCTGTCCCAATGTTCTCTGCATCAAATGTTTTATTTCCAGCACACTTAACTGGTTGATGATGGATTGTTTCTGTCAAAAATGAACAATACTTCTTTTTTTCACAATATTAGTCATGTGAAAGTGAGATTTTCATTACTCCATCCTTTCCCCCAAAATGCTCACCAGGACCAGGTACAAATGCGATTGGCATGCTGTGTGTTTCCTGTGATGCTGCTTTGTAGATGTAATCATGGGACTTCTGTAACCACCGTGTGTGATCTGGCCAGGGTTTTGCAGGAGAGGAGGGAGCTCTCGGCTCTGCGATCGTAAACCTAAGTGAGACGGAGAGCCAGAGTGGTGAGGGTCCCATCCCGCGGACCGATCGTCTCCGTGCCTCCCTCCGTCTGCTCATGGCCAAGCAGCTTCCGTAATGCCGCCCCTAATACCTTTCTCTAACACATTGACCACCTCCGCTGCTTCTCTGTATTACCCTAACAGCTTCAGCATTCATTCACAATCAACACTCTGCATAGCTTTAAGGCCGCCACTGTATTTCACAAGTCTTGCGACTGCATGCAACAGTTTTTATGCACTAGTAATGACAGCATCTATAATATGACAGCTGTACAGAAAATGGCATCTTTGTTGAACCAGTGGCCACTGCTCTTAAATTATTTCGTGAAGGTGAAAGGAATAAAACCATACAGCTGCAACAAATATCGTGACTTGACTATAAAATGTCACATTTGCAGCAGCTTGTCAAACAGTGTTAGTAATGCTTTTACCTATAATTCCCTTTGGTATGGCAGTGGCAATTCAAGTGTGACGTGAAAATAAATACAACGTTATAAAGTACATGGCCGATTTCCTAAAAGTAATGTGTATTTGTACCTTCAGAGCTTTTGTTAATATAATTACTATTCTTATTTATGCTGATGAGCCAACATAGTAACCAAACTGACCAGTCTTTTTCTGTGGGAGATATATTCATATGTAAACCAAACTGTTTTATTTGTCCGAGGTTCAACGGTTCAGATAACCAATGTTCTTGGTTTATTATCTCGTGAATATGACCTTGTGATATTTGTTAGACATGACCTAATCATTTATGTTTCACTGCCTCTTTGAAATATGATACAGAGTGTTGTCAGCTGCAGCCTATTATTGAGCTCATTACTGAGTATGTGACAATGGCATTTCACCATAAGGACAAAGTGAAGGCCTTTTTAAGTTCATCCAATTTTGTACTTCTGTTAACTTATTACCTCTTATAGGCCAGTAAATTACAAAATATTTGAAGTTACTAGTTTTATTTGACCAGGTAAGGCCAACTGAGCTTTGTAGCTTTTTTTTCAGAAGCGACTTGGTCACAAATTTTATAGCTAGAGAGAAGTGGCTAATCATGTGGAAATGTATTGCAGCCAAATACTCTAAACACATGTCGATAATAAATGTGGAGGGAAATACCGGAGGACCCGGAGAAAAATACACGGGGAGAGAGAACATGCAAACTCTAAATATACAGGTGTCAGGGTTGGAATCGAACCCACGACTTTCATACTAGGTCAGGGAGTTAACATAAGGCCACAAAATATTACGAAGTGCAATTTTCGTTTCTCTTTTGCTGCTTGTGTATTGCTCCTAGTGATTTTATAAAATTGCAATGGATTTTTTTCTGATGTACGATAATAGGAAACGTCACAAAACCAGTGATCGATAAAATGGGGCTCAGTGTTATGGATTATTGACTTATGATACCATAGCTAGTGCTATACGTAGAATGAAAAATGGATGTAATGTAATAAATATATCAGTTCAAATACATTTATTGAATGAACATAAATATATATATAAAATTGTATGTCTACATGCTCACAGATATTACTTATGCATGAACTGTATATCTACAGAAGCATGTAAAATGTGTGCAGCAGGGTGGCAGAGTTGTAACTCTTGTGCCTAAAACTATGAACTAAACTTTAAACCTTTTATTTTTATATTCTTGGTTCTTTCGGTAAAGTCACGTAGAAGGGAAACAATAAAATAATAAAAATATAAAACAATACAATTCTCACGACGTTTCGACTGCAACACAAGCAATCATCATCAGGTGTGAAAACCACGGCAAGAAAATTTGAAAAAGTGGCGTTTTTTTAACGTTAGCACCACGGGAGAGCAATTTGGCAGTTATTCAGATGGACGAGTCCATCTATGTTCGGAAATGAGAAGGGGGGAGACGAAAATAATGGATGCGGTCTGAAAGCCACCGTAAGCGTGAACAATCAATTAAGACCCGAAATGGTTCATCAAATCCTTCCAATGATTGCTTAGCCAGAATCCATCTTCTCGGTTGAAATTGTCTCTGTGTTTGTATATGTGAATAGCCTCATGAACGAATCTCTAATGGTAGCCAGATGGCTTGCAGAGAACCTCTGTTTTGGAGAAGTCAATGTCATGTGAGCCTACTGAATTATAACGGTGATCTGCCAAGTAAAGCCCACTGAGCTTTCTAGACACTTTTCAGACGTAACCTGTCCGCAAATGATAGCTCAGTGAAGTGGCTTATCATGTGGAAATTTCAAACAGCCCTATACTCTAAAGGCATGTTTCTAAATGTGGAGGGAAAAACTGGAGGGCCCGGAGAAAAATCCACGTAACCACGGTGAGAGCATGCAAACTCCAGATATACAGGTGTCAGAGTCGGGATCACACCCACGACCTGCATGCTAGGCAAGCGAGTGAACATCTCGCCACTGTGGCGCCTCACAGCAAATGTTCTAGATTGGGTTCCCGACTCGGGTGCCTATTTTTATTGCATGTCTATTCTCGCCCTATTCCATGTGGATTTCCTCCAGATTCTCCGTATTCCTCCAATAGTTTTCAAAACAGAGAATTAACTGATATTGGCCAAATATCCTAATGCTGAAAGATCACCTACAAATTAGTCATTTGAAATTAAATGTAGAAAATTCTTCCCCCCAATTTGCAGCTTGGCAGGGCCCTCCTGAAAACGAGTCTTGGGACTCAGGCTTTTCTGCGCAAACAGGCATACGTAAATCCGTATGTTAAAATATTGTGCGAACGCTCGATAAAGTGTACAATTGATGAATCTAATTGTCGCAGTTACATTGGTGCGCTCTTTACTGCAACGTCCCCAAACTCTGGGTGTGTAGTGTTCGCTCGGCTGGAGTGCAGCAGCTCGCTTGGCACCTGGTGACCGAGGAGCAGGCAGGACAAAAGCGGCCCCACTTGCCCGGCACCGTGCTGGCTGGGGAACCCAACCTGCTCATCCCAGACGTGCCGCTGTGCCTGGACACCAAGGGCATCGGCAAATCGGTGTTCAAGGTGCATGTTTGCATTCCTTTGTAATGAAATAGTTTGAGCTATTTATCGGTTTATTGACGCGATGACTGCTGCATTGTGTCAGCAGTTGCGTTTGGCTATTGTAAAATGTTGATCCAACGTGTAGAATTCATAGAGAAGAAAAACTATTTTATTGTGGAGCCTTTATATTTCTCCTACTAATATCAATACACTTCTTGAATACGTTAACACCCTATTTGACACACTGTGTCCAACACAACATTGCATTCACAACATTCAGTCACCTTTTCAGAAGAAAGTAACAGGTGTCATTAGAAATCAGTATGATATCTATAAATGAATCACCCTGCAATTTAAATTGAGTAAATATAGGGACAAATATTTGACCAACGCCTCATTAAACAACAGGAAATAAAGTGCTTACGTGTTCTCAAAGTATGCACAAATACAGTACATATATTGAAAAGGGTATTTAAAACAAAGGAATTAAACGAGTTCATACTTAGGAAATAGAGTTGAAAGTATTAAAAAGTAGTACAAGTAAACAAAATAAAAAAACAATAATATCCAGCTGAGTACTTGACAGAGGTCAAATTTATAGATTGCACAGAGTGCTGACTGCAATTCAGCCGTCTTTATTGTTTCTCAATAGGTGTTCCTGGCGAGCAGATTGCTTCTGAGGCTGACATAAACCAATCATATATATACTGTTACTGATCATCTATGTGCCCAGACTAAAAATGTCACTTGTTGATACCACCTGAGATGGGGAAAAAAAACTTGCATTGTACTCACTTCTTGAAATTGTCATTACAACAAATTTGCAATAATTTTGTTAAATAAGTATGTTATCACAAAATCTACTTTTCTTAGCCTATTCAGAAACTGGTATAGTTAATATATGTGCCACCTCCAGTGGTACCAAATTCTGCTTTGTGCCATGGACTGTGATACCATTAAAACCTAAATTGAAGTGAGAACATTCTAGCTCATTTTGTCAGTTTATTTTTGTTTCTGTAAATCACACTCTGTAATACATTACCTGAAGGAATGTTAACCTTAAGTAGATAGGCTATGCATTTCTGTTCTTAATCGTAATTTGATTAAATTACATTTTAACAAAGTATTTTTTCTTTTGCATTTATTCAAATATGCATTTACAGCGATGGTTAAACTTTCAACCACAACATAATTCAGGAATTAAGCACATTTGTTTCGGTGATGAAGCATGCTACTGTTAAAACTAAGCGGTCTTAACCAAGAGCAGCTGTTCATGCTTAATAAGAAGATTTCTTGGCTGAGGTGATAGCCGAGTTTAGTTAAGTATTCATACTCTGCATATGCTCAGAAGAGCAACATTTGAATACCACTTTCAACGTGTCTCTGTTATCAGGAGGACGCAGTGTGCAAGGTCTATGGGATTTTTATGTCCGAGGCGGTGGACCTCGCTGTAAAGAAGTCTGCAGCTGAACAGCTTACCATTATGATGCAAGGTAAGCTCTGCAAAACCTGCAGCCTGTAGCACTTGCATATCGCTATCCCTTTGCCACAGTGGGCAACCGGCTGGCCATTTGTATTACGTTCCGATTACAATGGTCTGTGTGTTGGCCTAACTTTTAATATTGGCAAAATTTTATTACTGCTGCAACTCGAGAAACTTTTTTTGGTGAAATGGTAGTTGAATTTTACATAGCAACCGATCGTAAAATCCCCCTTGTCACTGTAGATTAGTGCCACCATCTCCACAAAATTAAATGTGAAGGCACGCTGCCATTGTACCTGGCTGCCAGTAAATTGTAGTTTCAGTGACTGATAGTACAGTGATATTTTAGAGAACAGTGTGGCATAGAATTGTGTGTTTTGGGACTATAGTGAAATTAATATTTGTTATAGAGAATTTTTAAATAGCCACACTAATTAATATATGTAATGAAATATTAAATATTGGTAACTACTGTGTTAATTTTAACAGTCTTTCTCGACCATTTTTGTGATTCATACCGATGTGCTGAAGCAAAAGACATTGTGAATTAGCAATGCATCCTTTAAATATCCGTCACATGTGAAGGAGACATTGTTTATTTCCTTTGTTATTTATATTTTCCCCGGTAAAGCTCATGATTATTTTGAGTTATGCAATAGACATTGGTTGTTTTTTTTAATGCGAAAACTTTATTGAGTTGACTGCGGCGTGGGGAGGAGGGTGATTGATTTGACCCAAAAATCTATTATGAATTGTACTGCATTCAATCAAAATAACAACTTGTTTCTGACTTTCAGACACAATTCTGCACGGTGTATTAAAAAAGCAAGGTGCAGTGGAGAAGGTGATTTCACTGCTGCATCAAGCTGCGCATAAAGATGGAAGGGTATGTTATTGTAATTTTGTTCACATACGCCTATGCACAACCGAAGATGACACTTAAAACCTTTGCCATTGTACCGATGAAGTGAGTTGGAAGAGGGTTATGGGTGACCAGCGGAATGCATTCCAGGGCCTTTGTCCTTGTTAAGCGAAGCAACAAAATGCAGACTGAGGAGCTTGTCTTTGTGATAGAGGTCAACTCAAATGCTCTCGGACATAATTTAGCATTTAAACAAATATATACTGTGTATTTCAATATGTGCATGTATATACACAAATACACAGATATATAAGCAATGGATCCTAGGCAGCTGTCCTTTTACAGCACCTCCGATTAGCGTGCTTGGCTATGTACAGTGCAAAAGAAGTTCAACATATATGTATGTAAAAAAAAAGTTACTTGCAAATATTTTCACATGGTATATGGCAGGGGCTGGAATGCATGGTGAGGCCATGCTTGACGTTGCTGAGGCGTCTCGTGTACCACGATCCGTGTTTACGACATCGCTTGGCTTACCAGCCCACTCTGCTGCTTTCTTTGCTCCGAGGTGAGTTCCTAATGTTGTGGTGTAGGATGCCAAATTGTGGCATTCTAGCATAAATCTCTTAATCTCTACCTTAAACACAGAGGAAACTGTTTTTTTTATTTTTGGTGGTGAAACTTAAGGATGCTCAGCTATAAACGTTTTGGCTTACTAAATGGATGTGTGAACATTGTTAGATGTCATTTATCTGGCTAAATCCCAGCAAACAGTGACAATGTAAAAAATAAAACACGCTGCCACATTTTACAACAGAGCTGCCCGAGTAGAGCTTGGTTCTGAACCAAAACATGTCTAACCGTCCATACAATATGACCATTACTAGTTTCCTTGAATTTTAGATAAGGAAAAGCAATCTTAAATGTAATATTTTGAATAATTTCTGTTCATGAATTTGTGCACAATTTGTTTTCTATTTTTTTAATTTAAAAAATAGCTATTTAAATTTTTGCTGTGTGCTGTTTTGTTAATTGAAAGCAGCCTTTTCACGATTAATGCTGTGCATATGAGAATGGAAGTAATTAAATGCCCACCAGAAGCTCAAATAAGCATGTCTGTGTGTGTGTGGTTTTTCAACAGTGTTGCTGGTTTATCAGTCAGAAGCCGTGGTGCAGTTGGAGGTTTCTGTTCTGATGTCTCTCCTGTTGTTTGATGAAGTGGCCCACATAGAGAAATGGCAAGCATTTGAGCGATAAACATTTTTTTGCGAGTGAAATTCCAAATAAAGCCGTGTTAATCCAGTGATAGGCATAATGTGAAGCCGTTTTGACATGTTACAAGAAGTTGAAATACGTTCATTGTTTTGATGTTAAGCATTACTGTTGCATTTTTTAGTTTTAATTAGTATGTAAAATGATATTGGATCATTGTCTCAACAGTTTGTACGTTATATGTAAACTGCTCACACGACTCTCTGCAGTGCATCATTCATTGGCATTAAATATTAAATTAGAAATGTGTTTATTCTAGAAATGTAAGGAATATGTTTTTGTGAATTTTATTTTGAGGCATTGAATAGTTTGTTGATTAACTTTATTTATCGGCAGGTCTGATTCATATCCATTGGATGGCTGTGATCCTCAGCCATTGAGTCTGCCTCTTGTTGTAGAACAACGGTAAGGGTTAATTTCTCTTCCATTGGAATAATTTTTTTAATGAATACATCTCAGTTCACATTCACATGTGGTTTATTGTGCCTTTACACCTGATTATTTATTATGTTTTATGAATATCCCCTATTGCTAGGAATTGGGAAAATTGTCAAGGTGATGTCTTTCATTAATTTAATCATGCTGTGACTCTTGTCTTTTATGTGTTGGAACAATGGCATGGAGGAAAAGTTATGTGTTACAATTGAAACTCGGTGAACGAAGATGCTATCCAGTTTTTTCATTCTTTTAAATGTTGGCAAGATAATGGCACGCGCGCGTGCTTGTGCGTGTGCAGATTTCATCTTCCGCTTGTAATGGCAACGCACCACGTGGTGAGCCCACACAGAGTGATTCCTCCACCGCCGTCCGATCCCTTGGTTGCTCCGCCCGCCAGAGATGCCATCAGACTTGGCTGGAACCTCGCATGGCACCAGGGTGTGGAGGCCATGCTGCAGGCACATGCTGCGTCACAGCTGGAAGCAACAAACCAAGGGTGAACGACTGTTTTCAAAAACCTCGTGCACTCGATCCGTTTGTCGTGTCAGTTGTTGTGAACCACAGAAAGCGATTCCCTCTGGTTGGTGAGAAGGATTTAGTTTGCTTATTACATATACGGTGATTTGACATAGTAAATAACAACGTTGCATCGAATTTGCATAATTTCAATTGATTGTTTGCCTATTCATTTTTATCAGACACATGGGATATATTTTTGATTTAAAGCTTTCGTGACTGCAGGGATTCATATTCTTGGTTCTTTCGGTAAAGTCACGTAGAAGGGAAACAATAAAATAATAAAAATATAAAACAATAAAATTCTCACGACGTTTCGACTGCAACACAAGCAATCATCATCAGGTTTGAAAACCACATCAAGAAAATTTGAAAAAAGTGGCGTTTTTTTAACGTTAGCACCACGGATAGCGATTTGGCAGTTATTCAGATGGACGAGTCCATCTATGTTTGGAAAAGAGGGAGGGGGGAGACGAAAATAATGGATGCGGTCTGTAAGCCACCGTAAGCGTGAACAATCAATTAAGACCCGAAATGGTTTATCAAATCCTTCCAATGATTGCTAAGCCAGAATCCATCTTCTCGGTTGAAATTGTCTCTGTGTTTGTATATGTGGATTGCCTCATGAACGAATCTCTCATGGTAGCCAGATGGCTTGCAAAGAACCTCTGTCTTGGAGAAGTCAATGTCATGTGAGCCTACTGAATTATAACAGTGATCTGCCACGGCCGAGGTGTTGGTCCTACCGTGTTTTAGGTCTGCTTTGTGTTCACGAATGCGGTCCGGGACATGTCATTTGGTTTCTCCAATGTAACTACTACCACAGAGGCAAATTAGTTTGTAGACGCCAGGGTACTGTATGTCTGGAATCACATCTTTTACAGACGGAACCAGATCACGGATTTTATGTAATGTGTTGAATCGGACCTGGATCTTGTGTTTATTCAAGATTTTGGAGATCTTTTTTGTGATTACATAAAATCCGTGATCTGGTTTCGTCTGTAAAATATGTGATTCCAGACATACAGTACCCTGGCGTCTGCAAACTAACTTGCCTCTGTGGTAGTAGTTGCATTGGAGAAACCAAACGACATGTCTCGGACCGCATTCGTGAACACAAAGCAGACCTAAAACACGGTAGGACCAACACCTCGGCCGTGGCAGATCACTGTTATAATTCAATAGGCTCACATGACATTGACTTCTCCAAGACAGAGGTTCTTTGCAAGCCATCTGGCTACCATGAGAGATTCGTTCATGAGGCAATCCACATATACAAACACAGAGACAATTTCAACCGAGAAGATGGATTCTGGCTTAGCAATCATTGGAAGGATTTGATAAACCATTTCGGGTCTTAATTGATTGTTCACGCTTACGGTGGCTTACAGACCGCATCCATTATTTTCGTCTCCCCCCTCCCTCTTTTCCAAACATAGATGGACTCGTCCATCTGAATAACTGCCAAATCGCTATCCGTGGTGCTAACGTTAAAAAAACGCCACTTTTTTCAAATTTTCTTGATGTGGTTTTCAAACCTGATGATGATTGCTTGTGTTGCAGTCGAAACGTCGTGAGAATTTTATTGTTTTATATTTTTATTATTTTATTGTTTCCCTTTCTACGTGACTTTACTGAAAGAACCAATAATACATGGGATATATTTACACAAATATGTATGCACGTTTTTGCAAAATATTACGTATGTATATGTGTACGTTGTATTTATGTATCACTCATTGGTAAGGTTATGATATTGGCACAGATGTCACAGTTGTCACAGAAAGCATGAGTTTGAATATATATATTATTACATTTGAATAAAATGTGAAATCTTCGAAAAAGCTGTAGAAACACAATGGTAGGTGAGACACTACCCCACATTATTCTGTGATCATTCTCTGATCATTCTGTGAAGTAATTCTTTTCTGCAGCTTGGCTGCATACATATTATAAAAATTACCTTGTCAAAATTGTAGCCTTACTCATATTTAATGTATTATCTTTGGGACCTTTTTGCCAATTTTAAAAGTAATAAATAAGAATAGGTTTTACCTAATCTGGAAATAAAACAGGTGTTAAGATGTTTAAACACCTAATATATATCTTTTGCAAGTCATCAAGTCTGACGCATAAATACAACGTATACCAGAGAGACAGCCTTCTGTAGGCTAATCAGTTTAAAAGACAATGCATATATTAGAGCATGTTTGCATGTTTTGTCACAAGTATGTGTGGTTGATGTAGACTTGACGCCTTGCAAAAGGTATCTATTTGGTATTTGAGCATCTTAACACCTGTTTTATTACTTTTTGGTTCTTTCGGTATGGATCCCTGCAGTCACGAAAACTTTAAACCTGTTTTATTGCCAGAAATGGCAATGCCTATTATATCTTTCATCAGTTAATGTATTTGTTATTTTCTTTCAACCTATCTATGTGACTTTACCGAAAGACCCAAAGAATATTCGTAAAGCGTTGGTTAGATTCTCAAATTTTTATTTATTTGGATTATAATTTTATTCTTTTTTGTAATGTTACTTGAGATGTGCTTGGATTAAGATGCTGTACACATTGACATAATAGTTATTTTGCTTCTTCAATGGTAAACATTTAAGAATTTTGCATGGGCAAAAATCTTAGCAGGTGTAAATAAACGAAACGAATGTGCTCTGCTGATAGCCTGCTGGCAAGGAAATTAGAAGTAGATGTCAGCATATTTGCACAAACAAAAAGTGCACTCCGACAACCTGAGACAACTTTTACAGGACATGACCTTACAGTTTTAACAGCGTTTGCCCACTTTAAAAATACATTCATGAATTAGGTATTAATGGCATCAATAATATAACAACTTCTAATGCTGCTTCGTTTGATTGTGGCTCTTTGAAAGGTTTCCTGAACTGCTGCGAATGAATGGGAGCGACGTGATGGGGCTGCGATTAACGCACTTGCCCAGCAGCCTGCAGCTGTGCCTGGAGGCGGTGAGCCGAGCGGCCTCTCACGGCGAGGCAAAGCTGGCCCTGCTGCGTCTTCGCCTGCAGCTGCTCAATGATGCTCTGCTTCCCCAGCCGGGAGCAGAGAGCAAAGCTGCACAGATGCTCCTCAGCATGGACTGGCGCTCCACACTCAAACGGTGAGTGCATTGGGGCTTGGATGAGTGTCCGCCTTGCATGCCTAAAACCCGAAGTGAGTATGATAGAGGTCTTTGTCTGCAAATTACGCATGTTTTAGAAGTTGGCTGTAATCTGGATTTGCACTTTTTATATTATTACAAAATTAATTTGTGGCAAAGTTCACATGGAAGCAAGCACTTCACCTGACAAAGACATAGATCCCCCATAGAGACTTACCATAGGTATTCACATGATTAAATATTCACACACATGCACATACATATACATGCACATGTAGATACACACATACTATCTAGTGCAGACACAAGCACATGCACACACTCATATATATACGTACTCTTGCATAGTCACACAACTCCAAAAGCCTGTATACATACACATAGTCTTCCATACAACTGTAGCAACATGATTAAGTCATTCAATGATTCGATACATGTTGAAGTGATCACACCAGATTACAAAATAATACAATACCGCTCAATCAGGTATAGCACAGTGAAACATCAATACAACTGATTACATGGCACTATGACGACGCAAAGGTGTGTCTGTGTGGTGATAGCCTGCTGTGGGGTTACATCCCATTGTGCTGAAATTGCATGGTATATAAGAGCTTCTCATGTGGTGTAAAGGTTGCTTAGACATTGCAAGAAGCTATCCCATTTTGTGAGAAGTCTGAGAGGCTGTTGCAGGTATAGATATAATAACCCTTTTGCAAGATGACCGATTAGCACGTTTGGCTTCGTATGGTTCGAAATAAGTTCAACATACATACGAGGTATATACAAACTATAACTTATAGTTATACTTGGGACGGCTCATCGGTGTGTTTGTGTGCAGCTTCTTGGTGGTTCGTCCAGTGAGCAATGCAGATGAGAAGTTGCTGGGGGAAGTGCTCGCCTTCCTGCAGGCCCTGTTACATGCTCAAGGAGACATTCCAGACCATAGCATGCTGCAGTGGATACTGCTGCTCCTCAAAGAGGTGATGGAACTTTTACCTTCTTTTGAGCCATCTTGTCAAAGCCAAGCTTGATCTCTTGTTCTCCTGATGATGTTATTCACATAGCCATTTTTGTGGATATGTCCCATGATATTCTACCCATTGCTAGGAATTGGTATGCTGATGTTATTTCCAAATTTTGAAAGTGAATTATTACTGCTATTTTTACTGAATGCTTCTATGTGTCATATATTCCTATACAAGTTTAGGAGATGTTCTGTGGGCTTTGCTTCTTTAATGCAATACTACCACATGCTGGTGATAGATTTTTAAATTTAGTATTTGTGATTTCTATCAATACTCTGCTTATTGACATTGTATGGAAATCATATTTACATACTTCTGTCTATTCACCTACAACTCTTTATTATTGTATATTATGTGTTCAACATTGGTCGTAAGCTTGTAAAGGTGTTGATTATGTCATGAACTGTAATGCATATTAATGTTGTATCCATGTAAAGCCTTTAGCAAGGATACACTTAAATCTTTTGCTTTCTTGTTTTCCGAGCAGTAAATCATGTGCTGTCAATATTGTGAAAGTAAATACACGAATAAGGAAAAACTTAATTGATTTAAGTATGAAAACCATTGATGTTATGTCTGTAATAAAAATGTGTTTAATTTTTTTTTATAACAGGAATCAAATCATCTTCTTGATCTGCTCAACAAGTCAAATACCCAGGTTGATGCACGTCACACTGTGACTGAATCTCCCACTCGAAAGGGATTACTGAAAGAGCTTTCATCATTTTTTAATGCCTTGGTGCGAGCACTGGGCTGCAGTCCAGACAAGTAAGTGCCCGGACAGTCGAAATATATACAGTGAGTATTTTAAGTGACAAAGTTGTCAGAGGTAGAATTCAAATAAACTGTTCTATATTGCTTTTTTTTCATGAGCTTGTTTCACATGTTTGACTGTCCGCTGCTTAACATTGATTTATTTCTCTTTTCTCATAAGGATATGTTCAGGCTAGTTCCACACTCAAAATGAGATGTTCTTTGCCTTCATGTTTCCACAATGAAATTCTGTATTAATGAAATGTCAATAATTCCCATATCTCTTTCTTCAGCATGATGAAAATATATTACAAGATGTGAACATATTTTAATAACCTTCTTGAAAATTTAAAGTTTTCTGACAATTCTTTTGTGGTAATGTGCTTGTTTCCAAGTTGAGGCATAAATTAAATTGTGTTACTGGATCATGATGCTTATGATTATACATTTTATGAAACTAAATATCATTCTTTCTAAGGAATTTTAAGCCTTCTGTGTCTCTGTTTACAAGCCTCCAAATGCTTATAAAGTTACTCAGACATCATTCTATGCCTTATTTAATTGAAATACAATTTGCCAACTCAAATTATGAATCCCAATAAAATAAAATATGCATCAAATGGCCTATTTTATGAACAATGTGATAAAGCATAACTGGTAAAGATGCATTTCAGAAAAAAACGACTAATGTGCATCTAACCATAGAATAGCATGCTTACATTTGCAGCTTTGATTATTATTTACGAATGCTACACTTGACCTCTCCGGCCCCCTTTTCAAGACAAAGCTTGGCAGCATCGAATGGTGTCCGTTGCCACCTTGCTGCTTTGCTGCTGGGTCGGCTGAAAGAAGCGGACAGCTCCGGATTCTACGAGCTGCCATCTCTGGAAGCCACACTGCGCGGCATGGCTCATGCCACGGCTCTGCCAGGATGGAGCGTCGCTTCTTCGGCCACGCAGTCAAACAACCTCCGCCTGCAGTATCTCGCCTCCCTCCAAGAGGCAGGCAGCTCTCTTCCCCAACCACCCCCCACCAATACTCGTCACCCCATTTTAACTCACTCGCCGCAGTGGCCAGATGTTAACTCCCTCAGCTGGTATGCAGGAGATGGTGGGTTCAATTCCAACCCTGACTGACCCCATGTTCTCCACGTGGTCGCGTGGGTTTTTATCTGAGTCCCCCCGGGTTTTCCCTCCACATTTAGAACGTGTTTAGAGCATTTGGCTGCTATAAATTTCCACGAGATGATACGCCACTTATTTGAGCTATCGTTGATGGCCAAGTGGCTTCTGAAAAATACCTAATAGCTCAGTGGGCCTTACCTGGTAACAATAAATGAAAAGAACAGTTTAATTTTTTTCAACATTGCCCATGAGACCTTGATGAATCTGAGAGCAGATATTTCTTGAGGAGAGTACTTCTGTTCCCTTCCTCTTGCTAATTCTACCCCTCTTGGTTGCTGGCTGCTTTACAGTATGGACCCTGGGCTTCTGTCTTGCGACTATGTTTATAAAGAGTTCGTTGTGCTTGCTCCACAGCCATGTACTGTCTCTGTTACAAATACAGTTATTCTTGTGAAAGCACTAGTTTCATGGAGTGCATGTCAAAAAAAGTGGGCAAACGCTGTTACAACTGTAAGGTCATGTCCTGTAAAAGTTGTCTCAGGTTGTCGGAGTGCACTTTTTGTTTGTGCAAATATGCTGACATATACTTCTAATTTCCTTGCCAGCAGGTTATCAGCAGAGCACATTCGTTTCGTTTATTTACACCTGCTAAGATTTAAGACCAGACACATAATGTACAATCATAATGATATGTGTATTTTATTTGCTTCATAATAAAGGATTTTTGGGTTAGATTGTGTAAGTATAAATGTGTCGTTAACCCGCCACTACCCGACACTACCCGACACAGCCAACCAGTAAGGTTTGTCACGTAAACAAAACATGCCAATTAGTTATTACTTCAATCCAACGTTGTGTTGGAGAGTAAATTCAGAACATTTATAATTTGAGTATGACGTTTCGCTGGTCATTACATCCAGGATCATCGGGCGATTTGGCTTGTTTAAACTCTTTTCAGTTTGATTTCCTGCGGGCAAATTGATCTGCTGATGAATAATTAACATGTAACATATCCTGTAATTTGAGTTCTATATGTGTATGCTTGCGTATTTGTTTGCACAGATTGTGTTGTCATTCAGCATTGGGCGAGAAGGGAATGGCCTCTCATTCCTTGGCAAAGGGGTCACCAAAAGTTCCGTGGTGTGCCTGCGACAGCTGGCTAGTGAGATGAGCGATCAGGCTGAAAACCAAGTGAGTGCCTTTTTCCCTTTAAAAGTATGACATCCTAAATTGGGAGAGATTGCCTCCTTTTGGAGTTTAATAATTCCATATTTTCCCCATAACTGCTGATGCTTAGCACACTTTTGGCTAATTATTGTGGTGTGTTTGCGTTGGCAGATAAATATTGGAATGAGATTCACATATTAATTTTAATATTGATGTAAATCCTGAATGGCTCTGCTATATACCTAAAAGGTCAATGCTTGGTGTGTCAATAATGATTAATTGTAGCAATATATAATTAATACAACGTAGTTTTCCATGTACTTATAACAGAAGCAATATGGACTATCATCATATGAAGGTGAATTGGAAATCTGGATAACAGTGCTTATATTGTATTGCATTGGAAGGCCCACTCACTTGGCCACTGAGTACCCACCAGTCAGTCTTAATGCATGGCACAAATCCAATGATGCAACACACACCAAAGCCTATGAGGCCCCAGAGAGTCGAAGTCACCATAGAAGTGTTTTTTTTACTTCATGTCATAAAATAGATTTCATTGACTTAAAGCTTTCGTGACTGCAGGAATTCATATTCTTTGGGTCTTTCGGTAAAGCCACGTAGATATAAAAATAATAAAACAATAATATAACGACGTTTCGATCGCAACACCAGCAATCGTCATCAGATGAAAAAATATAGTCGGAGAGCTGCTGAAGCAGGATGTTATATAGGTTTGAGATGGGTGTAGCCCAAGGGTAAGTGGGCGGGGCTAGAGATGGAATTTGCATGTCAATGTAAGATCGGAGAGCTGCTGAAGCAGGATGTTATATAGGTTTGAGATGGGTGTAGCCCAAGGGTAAGTGGGTGGGGCCAGAGATGGAATTTGCATGTAAATGTAAGATCGGAGAGCTGAAGCCATCCAGATATATAAACAGACAATTTCAATCGAGAAGATGGGTACAAACTGAGCAATCATTGGAAGGACGTTATTAACCAGGTAAAGTCTTAACTGGCTGTGATGTTTCCATCCTACCTGCTGATGTTAGCAGTTATTTCCGACTCTGAGTTACATTACCAGGTTAAATGTCTTTACATTAACAGGCTAAACGTCTCACTAACACAGCCACTGCTGCTCCTTTGCCTCGATGTGGCGGTGGCTCTCGTTTTTGAACAGGCTAAATGTCTCACTAACACAGTCACCGTTGCAGTGGTTCTATTACATTGACATGCTAATCTCTCACAATACAATGGCCACCTCCACAGCTTTGTTTTCCTCGATGTGGCAGTCGCGCCCGGTTTTCTTACATTGACATGCTAATCTCTCACAATACAATGGCTATATTTTTTTCCTGCCTCAGCAGCTCTCCCACTATATTTTTTAACCTGATGATGATTGGTTGTGTTGTGATCGAAACGTGATATTTTTATTAGTATTTTTCTATCTACGTGGCTTTACCGAAAGACCCAAAGAATAGATTTCATTGACTTGTGCACGCTGGGTCTTTGCTTTCTCTCCCTCCTCATTCCAGGATTGGGTGAGCCCTTGGTCTTGGTCTCGGAAGGGTAGTGGCCGCGGTGAAACAGCTGCGCAGCTAGGACTGACCTGGCTCATCTCTTTATGGGTGGACAGAGATCTGGAGGTGAGCTTGTCTGTTGTAGCATCCTTCCGATGCTGCACACGGGGGATTTCCACTTGAGAATGGGAACGAAAACATTGTTGTGTACTTGACCCTTAATGCCACCGTGGTGTGCTCACCAGGTGCGTTTGGCCAGCCTAGGCCTCGGGACGGCACTGACTTCGGAGGAGCAAGGCTGCATGGCCCTAGTTGCTGCATGCCAAAACATCTCAGGAGGCCTTTGGGGTACAGCACTGAAGATTCTGCTTGACCAGTACGAGTCCAGCATGGTCCGCTTGGAGGTAGATCAGAATCTTCCTCAGGGCCATGATACCACAAAGTAGTGTTGATCATTGTGATAGTGCACTACTACCACTTAAAAAATCTAACCCTTTATTATTTCAATGAATTCTAGATTTGAAGTTTTCGTGACTGCAAGGATTCATATTCTTTGTTTTTTTCGGTAAAGTCACGTAGGTAAAAAATTTAAATAAATTAAATGACGACGTTTCAGGCGCAACACAAGCATCCTTCTTCAGGTGGGGATAGCTTAGCGAAAGCACACCGCTAAATTATCCCCACCTGAAGAAGGACGCTTGTGTTGCGCCCAAAACGTCGTGATTTAATTTATTTAAATTTTTTACCTACGTGACTTTACCGAACAAACCAAAGAGTATTTCAATGAAACAATTAACTGTACATATGAACAAACAAAATCCAAATGTTGGAGATGTAATAAATGTGACCACTTGCTTACCAATTCTAAAACTTACGACGATGTACTCAATTATTTAAAAACCATGCAAAGGCATGTTTATACTGGAAGAGATTATCTCTTTGAAGTTTTGTGATTAATGTGCAAATTTGGATAAGTTTACACTTTTTTTTATAATACTTTAGATGCTATGGAATATTCAAGTAGAACTCACACTGCAGAATTTAAATGAGCTGGGTTTCATGTTAGTGACTTAATCTCATGCGTGTGCAGGCTGCCAGCATCCTGCAGAACCTTCTAGTTCTGCCAATGCCAGCGTCAGCGGTTGAAGCGGGGGATGGCTGCTGGCAGGTATTAATATAGAGCCTTAAACAAACTGTAATCATTTTGGAAAGTATGCTTTCCTATGTGTACACTCACAAGAAATGGGAGGGCTTTGTTGTGGATGAGCCATGATTAAGGCTATGTGTATTTATGCAGTTGTTTGTATATGCTATGTGTGCATGAGTATATGTGCATGTGAACAGCACTGGTGTGGCTTTTGGCACTTGGAATTGCATTTTCAGTGCTGTGCTTTTTATTTTTGGCCTCGCTATCAATCGCAGTGGTTGACTGTGCTCTGTCATGGTCGTCTCTGAGGCTGCTTCAGACCTAATTGAGTTTCGAGCTCACTGTGTGTTCACCAGAGTGGGAGAGGCAAAACCAGTCGTGTGTGACGCTGGTGAGCTCAACCCCCTGTGGTGCCAGACTCGCCCAAGTAAATTATTGATAACAGACTTATGACCTAGCGGATCATGAATAATTGAAGAAATTATATGTTTGCATCCTTTTATGTGTGTGTACGTGCATGCCATCTGGTTTTGAAATTGTCATCCAATTTGGTGTGCATGTTGGTAATCAGCACCTTTGTATGATGTTAAATTGTACGATATAAACTCATATTTAGGCACTAATGTTTTGAGTATGGAAAGTTGCCTGGGCATCACCCCATAGCACTTGCTATTTTAAGATCATTGCGTCCACTCTAGAATGCAGAATTCTCCGACAATGTACTAATGCACAGACACATTAAGTATACCAAGTAGACCACAAGTACCTGAATACGTGGTAACGAGCACACATGGAAAATGATACGTATATCATCATCATGTAATGTTGATGTGCAGCTTACAGGAAATGTGGACACCTTGCAATGACCTTTGCATGGCCTTGCAGGGCCCATGCGTGCACGATGAGGACACAGACCTCTCGCTTGTTGGGCTGCCAGCCTTGCTGGCCCTTCTCTACCACTGCCGCTTTTACCAACACTTTGCCGGCATGATCTCAAACTGTTGCCGAGAGGCGCGTCTGGTGTACGCCAGCCCACCACAGGACGGCAAGTCGTCAAACGGAGAATGCAGCTCGGCCTCTGCCGGTGTGACTTCCTTGTGTCCTGTCGGGTAAAAGTAGTGGCGCTCATCGTCACCATCATCATCACTTACTCATAACCTGGATTATGATTAGCAATATATCCTCATCATCAATCATTACCATGTGCAATTGCATTTCTTGTATTGGGATTCATGTAATATGTTTCCTTTCTTTGAGGACAACCTTATTGAGTCTCAAGAATGCCTTCAGGAAAGTCCTGCATTGGGGTGTCTGGCCACACGTACGAGAGGATAATAATGCTCAAATATGCATGTATATATGCCACAAACTCGTCATGCTGTTTTATTATCTTATGACCATCCTGAAGCCAGCATGTGTGGGATTCATAGCACAAGGTGATGTATGTGTGCTCCACCAACACTGCCTCCAAAGCGGTGCATTACCGGAATGTATCACCATGCCTAGCATATGTTTGCTTGTTATCAATGGTTGTGATGCTTTCCTGCGTAAATGTATATATAGATATGTATATATATATAACAATGGCATTGTATACTCATAATAAATGTTTTTGGGTTAGATCGCGTTATTTATAAATGTGGCGTAACCCTCCACCACCCGACATGGCCAAACAGTAAAAATGTGTCACGTTTACAAAAGACAAATAGTTAACTACTTTAGCCCACCGGTGTGTTGAGGAGTGAATCAACATCATTTACAATTTTGAGTACGACGTTTCGCTGGTAATTACATCCAGCATCATCGGGCAATTTGCCAGAATGGTGAAGTCCTCCACTTGCTCCCGGTGTTAAATAGAGCAGCACGGTGACGTCATCATTTAACCCAATTGGTGCAGTGATTTGAGGCGGGGAGGGTATTGTAATTATATAATAGATTGGTAATCATTCAATTGTTATTAATTAGAATTTGTATCCCCTATTAGGAATTGTAATTGTAATATATATTTTATTTAATAATACGCTTCCAGGTCACACTAAGCCTGTAGCTGTCAGAGCGATTAAAGTTATTTGTATTTCTCTCAATTTAGTCTTGGCCAGTAATAATTCGTTTTACACAACACTTCAACGTTATCAAAATCAATCGAGTGTCCTTGTTGACTGTTTGGCCATGTCGGGTGGTGGAGGGTTACGACACATTTATAAATAACGCGATCTAACCCAAAAACATTCATTATGAATAATGTTGGTCGCGAAAGCCTACGTGTTAAACTGGCATTGTATACATCTGCATTGGTGCTGTTCTCATTTATTTGTCAATGTTTGGTAATATAAACATTTGAATTAAATACCAATTTATCTATGCAGCCAGTTATACAAGGATACTTAAAAAAAAATCTGGCATTTGTAGAAATTTACCAATGGAAGGTGTCAACTTTGGCATCTTTAACACATTACAATTATTTTAAAACACATGCATAAAAAAACTATATATGAATAACTAATGTTTGTAATCCATCATTATAACCAAACATTTGACAGGGGTAGTCTGCCAACAAATGATCTTATATATTTAATAATCACACCTCCCTGGCCTTTCCAAACAACAGCTGGCTTTGTTGGTGACGAACTTTTTTTTAGATAAAGTATACTGTTGAGATTAAAATTGTCTTTCACCCTTGTCATTTTAATCTTCAAAATTTATTCTTGAAATAGACTGCACTGGTGCAAAAAAAAAGGTCCCACTTCACTAATTTTCTTTGGCTTAGCCGGGTAGCAGAATAATTGACTTCTGTCAGTTTTGCATATTGTCATCCTTGCAATAATAACCGTGCAGAGCTGAGTGATGCCCTCGGACGCCCGGGCAGTAGCCCAGCAGCATCCAACCCCTGCCCAGGGCCCAGCTGCCCATCCACCTCCTCCACGTGGGTGAGTACTTTTGACATCTTTGAGAAAACGAGCTTTGTATCTCATCGGATTCCTCCAGTATACATTCATAGTCTTATTCTAGTGTGATGGGAAGCAAGAGCAGAGCAAATATTCAGCATTGCAAAAGGTGAATTGTAAAATTGATCAACTGTTGATTTATGTGCTATAAAGAAAGGTCATTGCCCTAAACATCGCCTTTAAAAAAATAATAATTTATTGACGAATATGTTGGGGTTTGATTTATTGTGAGCATTGTTGATCAAATAACATTTTACATGTGATTATTTGCACGATTGCAAACTGAGAGTATTCTCCAAATTACGTGTATGAATCTGGCATGCCTATAGCTGAATTTTCCAGAATGCACCCCACCTCATCAAATCTCAGACTTTGCCCAGGATTGACCCTGGCTAGGGCTTGGATGGGTGACCACTGCACACCAGATTGTCTTCAGGCTTGTGGGCCTACACGGTGGGCGTCAGAGGGCAGTGCTGCAAAATACGTGATTGAACTATACGTTTATGCGACCACGTCTTTAACTCTCCACCTTCACCAACCTACACTGGCCAGTGTGGTCAAATGTGTGCATGTACATACATCTGGCATATGCTTTTCAAATAGAACGTGAATTTCTTGCAACATGTAGAATGCCATATGTGCCAGGCATAGTTACCCCTATATTTGTACAGATTTATTGCACTACTACGTTAATTTTTTCCAAAAACTCACACTACTGGGAAATGTGACCTGCTACCTTCCCTCTTACCAAATTAGTATTATTTTTGTATAGTAAGAACTATAAAAGTGGGAAGCTAGTGAATTCAGTAACAGAACAATGTAATATTATTAATGTATAGAAATAATATAAAAAGAATAATGATTAAAAAAAATGTTCAGACTGGATAATATTGCTGATTATTTTGGCTTATTGCTGCTCATTTTCCTTTGCAACATGAGTGAATATTGCCTGCTTCTTGCCACCTTTCTGACGTTTGTGGCCTGGGGCAGGATCATTTGATTCCTGGAAATGGTGTCGACGGCACCCGCGCCGGCAGATATCCCGCCAACAGACTTTCCGCGCAAGGTAAGAGCCAAACAACCTTGATTTGTTACTACACCAGTGTTGTTTTGATGTGTGCATACTGTTTGTAGATCAGAGATTGTGCAAATGCTTTTTTTTTACTTGTTTCAATTTTGTGCAACTGCAATTCACCTTGGAGACACACACTCTTTATGTTGCAGTGTTCCAGGGGGTTTTGATGTTTTCTTTCAAAGGCAACTTAAAGCAACCCTGAAATTAAAGTTAACACCTATAAATGTAGGCATACGTTTTGAAGAGATGTATGAAATTGATTTATGTAACACAAACATATTATGTATCTTGGAGAATATGTTTTTTTGTTGTAACTGCTGCATTATTCATAGAGTATATATTAATGTATGCATAAGTGTACGGTAGAGTATAGGTATGCATGTTTGTAATTTAGTTTCTAAGCCCAATGTTCTTAACTTTCTAAACCGAACACTCTTCATATCTGAATTCATAATAAGAACATTTTAAGATTAATACAATTGCAGAGCTGTGAATAGACAATTAAGACAAAATAATATGCAAAAAAAAAATGTAGAGAGATTATGGATGTAAATGTAAGGGATCTTGGTTCACTCTTGGATAGCTTGATTCAAATTTGAGCATGTATTTAATAATTATGTCATTTGGAGCATGTGAGTTAAGCTTTTAGTGTGAAAAACGGTGAGAGTGGTTGTTAAAGTGTTGGATGATTTATGCAGGTAAGCCACTGTAGGCCGTTTGAAGGGTAGATGAAGCGATCTTGCTTTAATAAAGGGTTGGCGAGATAGGCTGAATGGCATTAAGTCATTTCCCAATTTCTCACAGCAGCTCTTTAATGTCATCTATAAAAAAATAAGAAAACATATTTCAAGAGGCAAATGTGTTTTGCGTGTGTGCGTGTATATATGCCCATGTGTTTTTTTGTTCAATTTCTCAGGACAAAGTGAAAGTGAGGGGCAGGACTCTGTGAACAGTGAAGGCACTCAAGACGCCCAGTGGGAGCGGCGTGGCATGCATGCTGACAGTAGTGTAGTGACCCCCCACCTCGTCTCTGGCATGTGCCGACTTGTCCGCAACGTGCTTGCCCTTGCTCCCGAAATGACAGCCCACTCACTCCTCCAGCACCAGATCCTGTCCAGCCTCAACAGGTGTCTCACACACGCGCGAACAAAGACGGTCACCGCATCGTGCGCTTTCAGATGTGCTTCTGTGGCCGTGCCCGGAACGTTCTGCCTTCTGATATTAGGAAGCCACTGGAGCTATGCACTTTTAAATCTAGATTGAAAACTCATTTCTTTAGAACTGATTTTTGTGTTTAGTTTATTGTCATTCCCCTGCACCTCCGATTAACACTGTAAGGCTACGTACGGCATGAAATAAATTAAGCATACATAGATACACATACAACCATACCTTGCCACGTGCATGCTGGGACAGCTGCCACTGGGGATACCCTTAGAATGTTTGAGATGTGAGGAGATTTTGAGTTGTTGAGGCACTTAAGTATCATGTAATTGCAAAAGATTATTATTAAAACTAATTTAATATCAAATGTAAAATTGCCATAATGTAAACTTGGTAATAACAGAGTAATGTATTTATTTTATTCTTTATCATTATGATGTGTTTGTTTCACATCCAATTTCAGAATATCAAGTTTTTATTTCCACAAACGATTTGTTTTATAGTGTTGTGTTGTTATTTCTGGTGATCTGTTCTCAGTTCTGCACATTTACAGTCTTCAGATTTCATATAGTATAAGGGCCAAAAGCCGCAAAGTGCAACTTGTGGGATGTTTCCCTTGTGTCAGATGTGCAGATGCAGGCGTGTTGGGTGCCTCTGTCTGCGAGATCAAGAACCCCACGCAGACTCTGCACCTTGCCAGGGAGTCCAAAGCTCTGGTAAGAGGAATGTGTTCTTTGCTCATGCGGCAATCTCTCCTCCAAACTGCCCATAGACAACTTGCCTTGGGGGAGAAAGAAAAATTGAAACATGCTTTTGACAAAGTGGAATGGTAATGAAAACTGCTGTGTAAACGTGAATAGCCTCCAGCAAAGTGCTATCGCAAAGAGAAACTTGTGAGCGTACGCATTTCTGTGCACTTCTGTAAATGGCGACTTGCCCTGGAGAGAATGGTGAATGAATTCTGGCCCATCAACTGTTTTTTAAGAAGCAGGGTTCAGTTTGTAGAAATAGCAATATGAATATATGTATTTCGCCTCTCAGACAAGTACAACAGATGCATTTTGGTATTATGGATTGAATTGTTATTTGGGTTCATTTACGCAATGCAAAGTGCTTTGTGAAAGGTCTACAAAATTCCCCATGTGATTGAAAAATTACTGGGCCAAACTCATCGAAAAGTGCTGGCACAGTCGACAAAATAACTACATTATTCACTCTTGCTATTTTTGGCAAACACTATGCGTGGTTTGTGTCACACAACCATTTAAAGATACATTGCTTTGGATACATTTTGGGCAGAACAAACCTTTTTGAATTAATGCCGAATTGGCAAACGAATCGGTCTCGCGATGCCACACGGCTGCTGACACTACAATGAGCCATTTGGTCACTCGGAATTGAGGAAGGCTGCTGACACTACAATGAGCCATTTGGTTACTCGGAATTGAGGAAGGCTGCTGACACTACAATGAGCCATTTGGTCACTCGGAATTGAGGAAGCGCACTTATCGTGCAACTCGTTGGAACAGTTTATCCTTAATTGGGCACGTGTGTCTGAAACATGCAATACTCTACCATATAATGTGGTCCAGTAGGGGAGAAGGGTGGTCATTCATAAGCAAAGAAACAGCGTCTCTTGACTAATCATTCTGGTTGATCACCACAGAAAAGGTTGTTCACACAATTGGAAGCCAACTTGGAAAATATCATGCATTTAGGATTTAAGATATAATCCACAACACTCCTGAATGACGACTTAATGGTCACATGTATGATGTACTTCAAAGCATCTTCCATGGTCATACACAAGTACATGTACACTATTTATTAAATAATACAGAATAGTTGTCCTAATGGGTATACACATGTGCATCTTTCGATTTAAAGCTTTCGTAACTGCAATGATTCATCTTCTTTGGTTCTTTCGGTAAAGTCACGTAGAATGACAATAAAATAATAAATTGATAAAATAAAATAACACAATAATATTCTCACGACGTTTCGGCCACAACACAAGCGGCCTTCATCAGGTGAAGGGGCAAGACTGTCTGGTAGGACAGCGCTGGAGTGAAAGAGCCACGTTCAGATCAAGGCCTTTTTTGTTCCTCTCACACAGCTTAAAGGCCGTGATCTGAACGTGGCTCTTTCACTCCAGCGCTGTCCTACCAGACAGTCTCGCCCCTTCACCTGATGAAGGCCGCTTGTGTTGTGGCCGAAACGTCGTGAGAATATTATTGTGTTATTTTATTTTATCAATTTATTATTTTATTCTCATTCTACGTGACTTTACCGAAAGAACCAAAGAACATGTGCATCTATTCACTTTTCATTCAATTGCCATTGAATTTATCTTTGTTTATGACATCAAAACCTGATGTACCATCGATTTTCTTATTAAAAATGCAGTCCTATCATTTGTAACCAAGAGTACTTTATGCCATATTTCTGGGACAACCATGAAACGATTTTAGATGACTACATATCTGCAGACAACAAACTTAATTGTATATAAAAGGTCAGCAGTAAATGGATTTGTATGAATCCTTACCACTGCTGTAGCATGAGTATGTACTGATGACAGATCGGACATTGATGATTCTCAATCAATAAGCTCTCGATAAACTATCACAGCAAATATGCCCTGCGTGTTTTGTCCCTTCATGGTGATGAATGGCTGTTTTACATTCTGCCCGATCGTTTCTTCATTCAGAACTATGATTTACCCCCCCCCACAGCAGTGAACCACGTCTTTTGAATATTCACAGTAACAGCAATCTTTTATTACTTGCAATATGTTTAAACATGTATAAATCATTCTTATAATCTTGTGTTCGGTAATTTCGGTTATATACCTTTATGTTTCGGTCTTGGTCGAAAGTGTAGTCAAACTTTCGGCTTCAGTTTCGGCCGAAAGTAAATTTTTAACTTTTGGTCTGGTTTCAGTTTCGGCCGAAACCAGAAATTCAGTTTTGGTCGGCCTCTAGTTTGAATTATATTTTTTCACCAAGGTCCATACTCGAGGTTTTATCGTTGTTATGCCTGAATAAAAAAGCAATTCCAAAACCCAGAGCATGAGCAGGCCACCCATCACTGCAGATGAGCAATAGTTGAGCCATAGTGAGATGCGCTTTGCGTGGAATTGGACTACGGGACAGTACATAGAAAAATAGTTTTTCATTTGTATTTTTTTGTAAAAACTGAATATGATTTTAATTTTAACATTTGTAGCTAAAGTTGAAGAAAAAAACACGGATGTGACCTTTAGATTATTAAAGTAAATAGAATTGAGATGGTTCTTTTTTTTCTAAATGTTTATTTATGATTGGGATTGTTTCTAATCATTGAATAGAGCATAGCCTAAATCGAAGGGTGTTTATGAATTGCTACTGTGGTCCTAATTTTAAATAAGGACTGCTAGATTAAGAATACAGTCTACTGTTTAATCCAGGCAATTGAAAATAACTTTGCTTACAGTGCGGGGTTTCCATCGCCATCCTCGTCACGTCGTCAACCAGCGGCGTCGCCGAGTGAGGGCGGTGGGACCACGCTGAGTGATCGGCTGTGTGTAGCCAGTAGAGACATTAATATCTAAGTGTTGTACTCAGAGTAAGACGGATAAGGTTGGCCTGTGTTATGCCCGTGTGAGAAATAAAAGAAGAAATACCCTCTGCACGACGTGTCGCGGAAGTTGCTCATTACATATATATATTAATTCATGTTCGTAGACAATAGACTTCACCACCTCAAATGGAATCGGGTTTATTATATATTGTAAGCTCATTGGCACCTTTACAAGAATACCTTGAACCATTCCGGCTTACCTACCTATGATTTATTTTGGATTTAACCAGACTGATAATTATATAAGGAGCTCACAGATCCTTGCAATTCCATTCATGAGCACATGTAGTAGGATAGGATGCATCAATTGGGTTATGTTTCCTGCATTCCCAGCAACCAAATGTCCAAGCTGCTTATGTTTGGCCATATATATAGGCTAGAGAGATGAGCTGTAGTATGGGAAGAGGAATAATACCCACAAAAATTAGCTGTGTGGCTGGTAGCTAAAACACAACAAGCTTGCACAGTGGGTATCGCAGGTGATACATTGCAGTCCATTAACCTGTAATACTTGGATAAGTCCCATGACCTCATGCCAGTGAGTCTTTTAACACTTCACATGGCCTCATAGTGAACCTTGCCGAGCAAAAGTGATTTGGTAATGTCACCGCTACTTCGTGGCAAATGGTGGCTTATTGTAGGATTTGCATGTTTTATTGCCTCCTAAACATAGATATATATTCATATTCTATGGGTCTTTCGGTGAAGCCACGTAGATAGAAAAATAATAAGAATATCACGATGTTTCGATCGCAACACAAGCAATCGTCTTCAGGTGAGAGAGAGAGAGAAAACTGCTGAGACAAGGTCTTATCTAGGCCTGAGATGGGTGCATCAAGGTAGGTGGGTGGAGCTAGAGATGGTCCAACCACAGAGGCTGGGGCAGTGGCCTTTGTATTGTGAGAGGTTAGCCTGTAGGGCACCACCAAATCTGTGGAGGTGGCCATTGTATTGTGTGTACCCCAAGGGTAAGTGGGCGGGGCTAGAGATGGTATTTGCATGTGAATGTAAGATCAGAGGGCACCCTGAGGCTGTGGAGGTGGCCCATTGTATTGTGAGAGATTAGCATGTCAATGTAAGAGAACCACCGCAACGGTGGGTGTGCTAGTGAGACATTCAGCCCGGTGATTGTGTGTAGCCCAAGGGTAATTGGGAGGGGCTAGAGATGGTATTTGCATGTAAATGTAAGATCAGAGGGTGCCCTGAGGCTGTGGAGATGGCCATTGTATTGTGAGAGATTAGCATGTCAATGTAAGAGAACCACTGCAACGGTGGATGTGCTAGTGAGACATTCAGCCCGTTGAAAAAAAAACGAGAGCCATCGCCACATCGAGGGAAAGGAGCATCGGTGGCTGTGCTAGTGAGACATACAGCCTATCAATGCAAAGACATCCAACCTGGCAATGCAACTCAGAGTCGGAAATAACAGCTAACGTCGGCAGGTAGGATGGAAACATCATAGCCAATTATGACTTAAACTTGTTAATAACGTCCTTCAGATGGGATCTGATCACGAATTTTATGTACTGTGTTAAATCGAACCTGGATCTTGTGTTTGTTCGTGTTTTTGGAAATATTTTTGGTGACCCCTGCTATGTATGGCAAGGTAATGGTTTTCATTGGGTCCTCAGAAGGTTTTTTCCCAACGGTTGGGGTGATAGCTTTATGGATTGTGTAGTCCGTATATCCATTCATCTTGAGGACTTGGAGTACGTGCTCCAGTTCACTGGCTAGGTGGTGATGGTCGGAAATTCATCGAGCTCTATGGTATAGTTTTGATGAGGGAATTCTTCTGGGCTGGATGGTGGTGGGAGTCAGGTTTTAGGTACAGTGAGGGAAAAAAGTATTTGATCCCCTGCTGATTTTGTACGTTTGCCCACTGACAAAGAAAGTATCAGTCTATAATTTTAATGGTAGGTTTATTTGAACAGTGAGAGACAGAATAACAACAACAAAATCCAGAAAAACGCATGTCAAAATTTTTATAAATTGATTTGCATTTTAATGAGGGAAATAAGTATTTGACCCCCTCAGTCAGAAAGATTTCTGGCTCCCAGGTGTCTTTTATAGATTAGGAGCACACTCTTAAAGGGAGTGCTCCTAATCTCAGCTTGTTACCTGTATAAAAGATACCTGTCCACAGAAGCAATCAATCAGATTCCAAACTCTCCACCATGGCCAAGACCAAAGAGCTCTCCAAGGATGTCAGGGACAAGATTGTAGACCTACACAAGGCTGGAATGGGCTACAAGACCGTTGACAAGCAGCTTGGTGAGAAGGTGACAACAGTTGGTGCGATTATTCGCAAATGGAAGAAACACGAAAGAACTGTCAATCTCCCTCGGCCTGGGGCTCCATGCAAGATCTCACCTCGTGGAGTTGCAATGATCATGAGAACGGTGAGGAATCAGCCCAGAACTACACGGGAGGATCTTGTCAATGATCTCAAGGCAGCTGGGACCATAGTCACCAAGATAACAATTGGTAACACACTACGCCGTGAAGGACTGAAATCCTGCAGTGCCCGCAAGGTCCCCCTGCTCAAGAAAGCACATATACATGCCCGTTTGAAGTTTGCCAATTAACATTTGAATGATTCAGAGGACAACTGGGTGAAAGTGTTGTGGTCAGTTGAGACTAAAATGGAGCTCTTTGGCATCAACTTAACTCGCCGTGTTTGGAGGAGGAGGAATGCTGCCTATGACCCCAAGAACACCATCCCCACCGTCAAACATGGAGGTGGAAACATTATTCTTTGGGAGTGTTTTTCTGCTAAGGGGACAGGACAACTTCACCGCATCAAAGGGACGATGGACGGGGCCATGTACCGTCAAATCTTGGGTGAGAACCTCCTTCCCTCAGCCAGGGCATTGAAAATGGGTCGTGGATGGATATTCCAGCATAACAATGACCCAAAACACACGGCCAAGGCAACAAAGGAGTAGCTCACGAAGAAGCACATTAAGGTCCTGGAGTGGCCTAGCCAGTCTCCAGACCTTAATCCCATAGAAATTGTGTGGAGGGAGCTGAAGGTTCGAGTTGCCAAACGTCAGCCTCGAAACATTAATGACTTGGAGAACATCTGCAAAGAGGAGTAGGACAAAATCCCTCCTGAGATGTGTGCAAACCTAGTGGCCAACTACAAGAAACGTCTGACCTCTGTGATTGCCAACAAGGGTTTTGCCACCAAGTACTAAGTCATGTTTTGCAGAGGGGTTAAATACTAATTTCCCTCATTAAAATGCAAATCAATTTATAACATTTTTGACATGCGTTTTTCTGGATTTTTTTGTTATTCTGTCTCTCACTGTTCAAATAAACTTACCATTAAAATTATAGACTGATAATTTCTTTGTCAGTGGGCAAACGTACAAAATCAGCAGGGGATCAAATACTTTTTTCCCTCACTGTAGGCATCCGTATGGGTGGCTTTCCTGTAGACAAGAGTGTCTCATTGAGCCATCTGGTCTCTTTTCGATTAAAACATCCAAGAATGGTAACTTGCCATTCTTTTCCACCTCTATGGTGAATTTGATGGCTTGGGTGTATGGAATTGATGTGGTTGAAGAATTGGCCCAGCGCTGGTAGGCCATGTGGCCAGATGACGAACGTGTCATCTACGTATCTCTTCCACAAGGAAGGATGTAGAATGGATGCCTTAATGGCATCTGTCTCAAATTTCTCCGTGAAAATATTGGCTACAACTGGAGATAAGGGAGAACCCATTGCGGTACCTTCAACTTGTATGTAGAATGTTCCATTCCAAGTGACTTAAGTGTTGGTGAGGCAGTGTCTAACCAGGGCAGGTACATCAGCATTCAGTCCTTGTTGGACCAAATCTTCAATGATTGCAATGGTGTCGGGCACAGGAACTTTGGTAAACAAAGATACCACATCGAAACTGACAAGTAAGTCACCTGAAGATAGTGAGATGTCCTTAATTAGAGATACCAAGTGAACTGAGTTAAGTACCGCTGAGGTGGTCTTGCCAGTGAATAGATGTAAGGTCTCAGACAAAAATCGGCCCAGTTTGTAGATGGCTGAGTCAATGGTGGAGACGATAGGACGGAGTGGTGTACCTTTATGGATTTTTTGGTAAGCCAAAACATCTGGGTAGTCTAGCAGCAGAGGGTTTTAGAGAGAGCCGCTTGGTTGGTTCGATTAAAGATGCTGAATCAGTGATGATCTTGTTGTTTTTCGTAACCAGGCTATTGGTAGGATTTCTATTGATTTTGGTATAGCTGCCATCATTAAGTAGGTCCTGAATTTTGTTATTGTATGTGGTTTTGTCCATGATGACAGTGGCATTGCCATTGTCGGCTAAGAGGATGACTGTCATCTCTCTTTTTTAGTTGAGAAAGCTCAAAGCGCTCATCCTTGCTGATGTTGCTAATAGGTGTCTTAGCGTTTTTGAGGATTGCAGCGATTTCTGATCTTGCCACATCTGCAGGAATGTGTCCCAAACCCTTAAGGGCTACGTCGACCTGGGAAATGATATCGTCAACTAGGATGTGTTTATGGGTGACTGCAAAATTCAATCCTTTAGCTAGAACTTATTTTAGGCTGTCGGAAAATGGGCTGTTACTCTGATTGATCACAATCCTGTCACCGTCTAACTTTTTAATGTGTGGATCTGGCTTCTTCTTGGAAATCAGGTTATCTTTGCATTTAGCTGGCATTGAGGCGGCTGTAGATGCTTTCATGTTACATACATGGTCCCAATCAGATGTAGAATTTTTTTCTGTCAATGTTAAGTGTGATGGTAAGAGAGTCTTGTCTAAATTGTCTAGTTCAAATTGGAGCAATCTTATTCTCTCTGAGATCAGGGCTAGGCCGGCCCTGAACAAGATCCGTTTCGCATTAGGAGAAGTGACAGCAGCAGATGTCAGTGTGAAGGCTATCGGTATTACCTTAGTGTCACGGCATCTCTTCAGAAAAGTGAGTGGTAAAAGTGAGCTGGTAAATCGTTAACGGTTCAAACTGGTCATGTTTACCTAGCCTGCTGACCCATTGTATCTCTTGTCTGTTGCAGGTGCTGTCACTGCTGGATCTCCAGGCAGCTGTGTGCGAGCTGGTGGAGGCTTGTGCCATTCTCTCCCTCGGCACAGTGCTGGAGGGAAGTCTGCTGGGAGATCTTTTGCAGAACCTCCTTGCCGTCTTTTCCCAAACCAAGTCCAAGGTCTTGGGTTCGTATTCACTATTTTTCACACCACTTTCTGAAAGATTAGCCACTATTACTAATTTAGTCATTTTGTCTTCTTTGCTTCTTTCGGTAAAGTCACGTAGAATGAGAATAAAATAATAAATTGATAAAATAAAATTCTCACGATGTTTCGGCCACAACACAAGCAACCTTCATCAGGTGAAGGGACGAGACTGTTATTTTATTTTATCAATTTATTATTTTATTCTCATTCTACGTGACTTTACCGAAAGAACCAAAGAAGATGAATCCTTGCAGTCACGAAAGCTTCAAATCGAAATTTAGTCATTTTGCTTCAGTGTTGCGGCTTATGCCTGTATTCCAAAATAGGTTCTGTTTGATCCTGCTGAGATAATATTTTAAGATTGATATAAGAGGCATAATTCTTCCAATGGCAAAAATATCCCAAACTAAATTAAAAAAAAACATTCCAGGCAGACTCCTATTGATAAAGACTTTCCTGGCTAAACAAATAAACTGTTGTAAAAACCAAAACTAGTTTATGTGCATATTCTTAGTTTTTTCGGTAAAGTCACGTTGAAGAGAAACAACAAAATAACAAAATATATATAAAACAATAAAAAATTCTCACGACGTTTCGACCATGGTCGAAACGTCGTGAGAATTTTTATATGAATTATTGCAGTCACGAAAGCTTTAAATCAAAATTTAGTTTATGTGCATTCCCCTTTCCATGCAGAGGCTGCTTGGGTTACCCCATGGAAAGATAGTCTTTGGTTCTATGTAAAGTCTGTTGATCAATTGTGGCAATGAAATGATTTACGTGTACGGGCAGTCCTCGACTTACAAACAGGTTATGTTCCTGTGACCCGTTTCGTAAGTCGATTTGTTCGTTTCTCAGAACTCGTATGTACAATGTGTACAATATTTAATTGTACATACAGTCAGTGTTATAAAATCTGTTATGGTTCATCAAAAAAACGTAAGCATTCTTAAACTCATAAATAAGTATAAATATTGTATATTTGTATGTAATAAGTATAGTAAATAAAACATTAAATGAAGTAACGTGAAAAAATATATCTGTTTTAGTTTAATGTACCTTGAGTGCTGATGCTGGCTTGCTTATCAGAAGGGGCATTTTTATTGAATGCTGGAACTCATTACATCTCGCGGAGTATCGCTCCGCCAAACAAAACAGTTCTGCGGTTCGGTTCGTGAGTATGACTGAATGTTCGCAATTCAGATGGTTAAAAATAATATCTTGTGGTGATTCGTTCATAAGTATGGATGTTTGTAAGTCGGACGTTCGTATTTCGGAGAATGCCTATACTACAGTGGATATTGAGAATATTACATTCTGTTGTGTTAAGATTCATGATTATTACATCATGATTTATAAATATCCTGACAGTCTTACTGAAACTGCTGTATTTTCAGTATTTTCAAAATAAAACATTACCATATTTGCATCATTTAATACGGATATTACTGTTTCCAACGTTCAAAAACAATTCCATGGGATGATGTTATGTGTCTTTGCATTCTCTGTTAAAATGCAAACACAAGAAACTGTGTGATGTGACCACAAGCGGCCCCTGAGACAGAGTATAGTATACAGTGAGGGAAAAAAGTATTTGATCCCAAGCTGATTTTGTACGTTTTCCCACTGACAAAGAAATGATCAGTCTATAATTTTAATGGTAGGTTTATTTAAACAGTGAGAGACAGAATAACAACAACAAAATTCAGAAAAACGCATGTCATAAATGTTATAAATTGATTTGCATTTTAATGAGGGAAATAAGTATTTGACCCCCTCTCAATCAGAAAGATTTCTGGCTCCCAGGTGTCTTTTATACAGGTAACGAGCTGAGATTAGGAGCACACTCTTTAAGGGAGTGTTCCTAATCTCAGCTTATTACCTGTATAAAAGACACCTGTCCACAGAAGCAATCAATCAATCAATCAGATTCCAAACTCTCCACCATGGCCAAGACCAAAGAGCTCTCCAAGAATGTCAGGGACAAGATTGTAGACCTACACAAGGCTGGAATGGGCTACAAGACCATTGCCAAGCTTTAAAATGGCCTCTAAATGTATTATATGTAGTAAATATTGCTAGAATATATAAACAGGCAGTAAATAAATACACATAAAACATTTTTATTTGAACTCCAAAGACTATCAAAATAATTACGTCAAAAAGATTTCTAGATGATCTCCGTGTTAAGAGGTATGCAAATATCCTGTAATTTCACATTTCAAACTGATAAAATGGTGGCGGGGGGAGGTTTCTCAGGAGGTATTTTCTAATCGATAAACATATGTTTTGTTTGTTGTTGGTTTAAAGTGCCATTGGATAGGACCTGATTTTTATCTTCGCTGAATAGTGGAACATTAATATTTTCTAATCACTTTCCACCAGGACATAAGCTTTCTGCAGTGATAGGAATCATACCCATTAAAGCTCTCCCTTGGTGTCTTTAAATCACGTGTGTAATCTCCACTGACACGAGACCTGCTGAGGTTCGACAAACATGTGCGCGCATCCCATTAATACATGCGACAAGAGGCATGTGTTGTGTTAGGCTTTTTTATGAGCTTTTTTTCCCCTTCTTCAGGATGAGATCTTTAACTGAAATCTTGCTGAGCTTGGAAACACTAAATTTCCTCTGGCATTCATTGCTAAGCGCATGTAAGGTAACCCCTACTATCTTGGACAAAATCTCACTGCGAGTCAATAAAAAATATCGTGTGGCCAAATTCCACTTACTTGAAGTAATTCTCCAATAAATTCCCGGTTGCTCTTTGGTGGCTTATATCCCGTAATACCACCAGCTAACGCACGGTTTTTCTGGGGTGTACCTCGTCGAGACATGTTGTATGTGCGAGACACAATGCATGAAGGTGATTGTCGGCGATGACGATTGTGTTGTTACAGATGTGGAGGTACAGCAGGCAGTGCACAGAGTATGGGAGAAGTCGCTTAGTCTGCAGTGTGTGCTGCTAAGGAAGGCTGGACCCACCGTGCTTCCCTCGTTTGTCTCTGCTGCATGCCATCACTGGGGTGCTCTTGTCGGTGAGAAAAACAACACATTCCCCTATAAGTATATTCATATATACTGTACACATTACCTTTAATACTCAGAGCCACTAGTTTTCCGCCATTGCTAATACCAGCCTGGGCTTGAACACCTGTGATAAAGAACTCCACAGCTCAGCGGGTTCTGCCAGTTTAGTTATAAATGTCTGTCTAACTTAATATTCCTTGTCAAACTACTGAATATGCACCTATTGTGATCGGAGAGGTGTTGGGTTGTTTTACATGTACAATGAATGGGGAATGCAACGCTCTGCTTATAATAGAATAGCTTTCTTAAGTGGAGATATATTGCCTGCATGAACGCGGCAAATATATTGTAACCGTTTGCCTCAAAACAATATTTTTTCAGGGTGAATGTACACCATGTGTAGACTGTGGTGCCATTTTAATGCTAAATAAGCAATGTAACAGCCATATCTGTTAGCAAAACATTTTCATACAATTTTCAATTGTTCAGTGTTGTGCAACACGCTTAAGTTGCACATCATTTTGAATAACATTTGTAGTTATGTTGATTAAATAAGCACTTTTGCCTTTTTCAAATGCAACATAAAACATTTGTACTTTAAATCCAAACCACTAGCGCTGGGGCTGGAAACCCAAGATTTGTTTCTTCATTGGATATGGATTCTCTCCATTGAGCAATGAGTACATGGGAGTAAGTTGCATGGTATTTTGAGTTGGTAAAGCCTGAGTACCCCCACTTTTTCAAAAACGATTTCAGGGAAAATCAGCTCGTATTACTCTTGAAAACATAGAACTGGCCATCTGAAGCACAGATATTTCGGAAATTTACCATATAACACGTTATTTCTATGGTTTGTTAACATTTCTGTGAATGTTCTGTGAATGTGCTTTCCTTTATATGTTAGGATGCTTGAAGACGTGCCTCAAAATGTCTTTATCCAACCGCTCTCTGCATGTAGCCACCATGCAATTCCTGGCCATGCTGTTGGCAGAGGAAAGCAAAAGAAAGCTGAGTTTGAAATCACCAGAGAATGATGGCGATGAGGATGATGGAGTAGCACCTGAAGCAGAGGACGCCCACCCTCACAAACTCTGCCCTCAGAAAGCGGACGGGTCAACGAATGGCAAACCGATTTCGCTTGATACCGGTGACGTAAGTCGGAAGACAAGATCGGTACGAGTGGAGCGGTCAAGAGAATCTCGTACTCGTGTTGGAGAAGGCGAGCGGAGAGTTCGGTCATCGGCGAGGACGGGAGCAGTGTCTGGTGACCCAGCCACGCTGATGTGGCTGCTCGATAGAGATGGCTCATGGGAAGCGCCATTCGCTGGGAGACAGCTTTGCAAGATCATCTTGCAGGTGAAATAATAATAATAATAGGTTCATATGACAATGATTATTTGCAATGATTGTCAAAGTTACAGCTTTTATCACTTAGATTTGTGGTTGTCTCCTGCACCCGGTGTTATACATGTACAGCCCTTTGTCCGCTCGCTGCTGGAGGAGGGTCACTGCCGGATGAGCAGGTTAGTTGACGATACTTCACCACACAGGTTGTCGAAGGTAGGGAGCATAGATGTGGGGACGTAGTGTACAGTACAATCTAGATTTGAAGTTTTCGTGACTGCAGGAATCCATACTCTTTGGTTCTTTCGGTAAAGTCACGTAGGTATAAAATAAAATGAATTAAATCACGACGTTTTGGGCACAACACAAGCGTCCGTCATCAGGTGGGACAGCCACAGCAAGAAACAATTGCTGAAGTGGGCAAAGGGGCTGCTTGTAACAAGAGGCTATATAGGTAAGAGAGGGGGGAGGAGCCAGGGAGGAGAGATAGAGAGGGTGGGGTTATGGGGTAGGGGGAGGTTGAGTGCTTCAAGCTCCTACACGAGCACGACAAAACGCCGGGGCTGGGAAGTGAGCGGGGCTGGGGGTAGGGGGCTGAAGAAACTGGAGATGCGGATATGAAGGCACACTATAAAGCAGTTAAGGTTTTACCTGGTTAATAACATCCTTTCAATGATTGCTCAATTTGTATCCATCTTCTCGGTTGAAGTTATGTCTGTTTTTATATCTGGATGGCTTCATGAACATATCACTCAAACCTTTGATAGTAGGCCGAAGGTTTGCAGAGCACCTTTGTCTCGGAAAAACAATATCATGAGAGCCCACAGCATTATAGCAATGGTCAGCCATGGTGGAGGTATTAGGATTACAACCAATAATATTTTCCACACACACCCTCTGCTGGAACACAATGTAACTCACAGCCTATAACGACTGTTATGCATGGTGATCGCCCATCCAAGGACTGTCAAGACTCAACCTTGCTTACCGTCTGAGGTCTAATGAGATGGGGCACATTCCCGAAGATTCGGTCATGCACTTAGTAATTTCCTACCATATTTTAATTTTTTTTACAATATGCAGCATCTTTAGTATACATATGTATTCTATGTGTTTATACCTTGTATATGTTTGGTTTATAAAGACACCAGCAACACTACTTAATGTTGTTAAGGTTTGGCACACACTTTTAACACAGCCTCACACTGGTCACACATCTGTCCATACTCTAAAGCAAACTTTAGCATCTGCATTTAAGTAATGTCTAGTTTTGATTATAAATTACATAACCCACAGTTCCCAAAAAGTATCATCATCTATATTGTCTCTGTTGTGTTATGGATAATAATGAGATTGTTATGTTGGCATGCAATATATTGTGTTTGTTCTGTTCCTTCACCTGAAGAAGGCTACTTGTGTTGTGGCCGAAACGTCGTGATTTTTGTTGTTTTATTTTTTACCTACGTGACTTTACCGAATAGAGCCAAAGAGTATATTGTTTTTCTTTAGAAAAGTAAGTGAAAATCATTTCACCACACGAATCAGAGTGCATATGCATTTTTCTTTGGTTCTTTCGGTATAGTCACGTAGAGAGAAAAAAGAATAATAAAAAATGTGAATAAAAAAATATATAAAAAACAAAATAACCACTAATGTAGACTGTAGCCTGGTTCTTAATCAGAGTGAGTGTACTGGCAGTCTATAATGTAGACTGTAGCCTGGTTCTTAACATTGGTGAGCATACTGGCAGTCTATAATATAGACTGTAGCCTGGTTCTTAACTTCGGTAAATGTACTGGCAGTCTATAATGTAGACTGTAGCCTGGTTTTTAAGCTGGTGAGCAAGCCTGCTGGCTTTCAACAAAGATTCGTTCATGAAGCCATCCATATATACAGACACAGTTTCAACAGAGAGGATGGTTATAAATTTGGCAATCATTGGAAAGATGTCATCAACCACTTTGGGTCATGACTTGATTTGTGGTTTCTTGTTAACCTCCACCGTCAGCAGTGTGGGTGTGTGGAGCGAGGTGCAATGATTGCCTGGCAGCCCTTTGGTATAGTTGCAAGTCTTTCTCCTACATTAACATTAGCTGCCCTGCCCTTGCTGCTGACACACTTGGGCTACGCCCATCTCTAAACTTTTATAAACAGTTTTCCTTTAGAGGCTAACCCCCCTTTTCCTGATGACGACCTCTTGTGTTGACAGAACCTTGTGATGGATAACACACGCCCAACTGCATTGAGTATAACAACTAAAATGTGTACTTTTCTGTTTGGGTGTATAAACATTTATATTTAATTGGCCAATTTAATTTTTATTGCATGTACATATTTCTAAACGGAGTGGTGGTGCAGCCATTAGTTAATTGCACGATGAACTCAGCCACGTGAGTTGTGTTCCCAGTCATGGCTAACATCAGTTGTAAACGATATCTGAGCTGGTCCTGGACCTCTCTTCACCTGCCCGCACTAATTTGTGTGGTGAAGTATGATCACACAATCCCCATGACCGGACAAAGCTTGAAACTGCCTTCACGAAAATATATTTAACGAATTTTCTACTTTTTTTTCGTATAAAAGCGTGTATGTACAACATCAGTTTAAATCTCAAATTGAAAATGCGTGCATGTTGTTTGGACTAAATCACTTTTTCTGCATTTGTATGATTCTATGGTCCATCGTTGTGACCAGTGCTTTGAGTGCAGGTCTACTGATGAGCTACTTGGAGTGCATGCCACGTCTGCTCTCTGTTGTCTCCTCGCTGTCAGCGCATCAGCCAAGAATTATGCCCTTCAAGGTACAAAAAAAAACACATTTAATGCAGACTGCTTTTGTGAAAATTACAATGCACTACATTTATAGGAAGGCATTGAGGCGTGCACATGGCACGAATGGTACAATTTGGGTATAACAAATTTTTTAACATGATGGCGTTTTGAAATGCTAGAAGAAACATAGAAAGACAAATGGTTATTTATTTATGTACAGTTTATTAACGGCGTACAACTTGCCAAATAAGTTATCGACTCTGGGCAGCTGTAAATTGTTGCTTGCAATGACCCCCGTTGGGCTGTGTGCCGTGCTAACCGCAGCGGGCCTGATTGAGGGATGTGTGGAGCAAGCCAAGCAGGCTCACAGAAAACTCGAGTTGGACTCACTGGAGCAAGCAAAACCAGCCCCGAGGAAAAAGGTCAGTACTCTGCCCAGGTCAAAGGTGGACACGGCAGCAGTGCCGCTTAAATAAAGCATTGTCCCGTAAGCTGAACGCTCTTATGCAAGTCATATATGCCCAGAATCAAATGTCCTTCATAGTTTAACATGATCCTTTTCGAATGCCACTTGAGACCTCTAAGTTGAATTTCGATTTAAAGCTTTCGTGACTGCAATGATTCATCTTCTTTGGTTCTTTCGGTAAAGTCACGTAGAATGAGAATAAAATAATAAATTGATAAAATAAAATAACACAATAATATTCTCACGACGTTTCGGCCACAACACAAGTGGCCTTCATCAGGTGAAGGGACGAGACTGTCTGGTAGGACAGCGCTGGAGTGTCCTACCAGACAGTCTCGTCCCTTCACCTGATGAAGGCCGCTTGTGTTGTGGCCGAAACGTCATGAGAATATTATTGTGTTATTTTATTTGATCAATTTAATATTTTATTCTCATTCTACGTGACTTTACCGAAAGAACCAAAGAAGACCTCTAAGTTGATTTTGTCAGCAGGTCAGAGCATGAAGATATAAATGCTATGTTGGCTCCATTGTATATTTAATGTGGATATGGTCAGTGGTTTATTTTTTAATAACGACTACACATCTCTAATTCATGAATAGTTTGAACACCTCAAGCATTCTCATTTTGTTAATCACACTGAATTTAAAGGCATCCTTTCAATCATGCTTTATATGAACAGATACCTACAATTATAATTACATCCTTGTGAAATTTAAATCACCCATATGTGAGAAGCACGTTTGTAAGCATACAAATGTGTAGTTTCGGTTGGACTACAGATGTACATTAAATAAATAATTATTCCCACAATTGGAACATTCTGTTCTAATCCTATATTACGAGGGAAAACCAGAATGCATGCCTCCCGGTGGCACCAATTTAAAACGTGGTTACCTAATTGAGGCACGTCACAGTGGGGGACATGAACAGATTTGAATGTTAAGTAGCTCTTTAGGCAGTCCTGTCTTCGTACAAAATCACACTTTTTGATGTTGTTCAACACATTGGATGTTTTGCTCTGGGCTGTCCAGGAGGACCGACTGCTGAGAGAACTGAGGACACTTCTGGAGGTTTTGAGGAACTGTCTCTTTGAGAGCGAGGATTGCAAGGTAGCTTGCCCCAGGGGTTAATTGCATCTTAATTACATGTGTAGTTACCTATTCATCACATGGAAATTGACATCAAGTTAGATGCATCACAGCCACCAATGCATCGGATGCATTTTAAAACAAATGTGATTGAGATATCTGTTGAGGGGGTTATGCTATGTTATAAAAGGCTATTGTGAAAGGTTATGTTGCTCATAAAGAAAATCTATAATTAACATCTGGATTACATAAAAGTGTGTTCTTTAGCTTAAGTATAATTTGGTTAAGGCAATATGAGCCTGCTAAGTTTTTGATATCACAGTGAACTTTGCAACAGGTTTTTTACATTTAAGAGAATATGTTCAAATTCCATTCTCTGGAATATCAGCAGCAGCTTTTAATGTTTGAACAACTTTTGGCACACATCCTACTAAATAAACATATTTCGGTTATTGTTTAAACTTGTAGACCTCAGACAATGTGATTTTACTAAATATCTTGGGTAGCCTTTGGACGAAGAAGTACTTCTCAGTTTGGCCTCTTACATGTCTGCTTTTAGCTATACCTAAGCAGGGAAGTGGTCAAGTATATTTTTTTAACAAGCTAATGAACGGTAACAGCTTTACAGTAGTATGTACTCCCCCATAAAACAGCGGCACCATTAAAGCGTTGCTGCCAGGGACATTCCCACCAGCACACAGGTGAGAAGGTGCAGGAAATGTCACTCGGTGCATTGCTCAAATACGACATGCACTATTATGGGTAGTGAATGGGCCAGATCAGAAATCGGTACCACTGAAAGTGGCAAGCAAGTATTTATTCAGACCAGTTTCTGTGTATGTCTATGTGATAACATGCTGTCAAGTATGGTTATTGCATCTCAGATGGTACCAACAAGTAAAATATTTGTTGTAGGCAATGTACTAGGATCTACAATGTACATTTGCTGTGATGCGTTGAGTGTCCGTGCGTTCACTGGCTGACCATGTTGCCGTTCTCTGTAAATATTTGTTTACAATACATCGATCAAGCTGTCATATCATTTCATCACAATTCCTCCTGCCCATCCTAGCATGCTGGGTGCAGATTATGCAAGTCTGGTTATGCCTCTGGTTCTAGTAAAGTCTTTTGTAATTGAACATTTGGTTGTGTTTTATGTTTTTTGCACAGCTCTGCTTTTGTTCCTGGTCTAGCCACCAGCTTTTTAAAAATAAATTATTTTTACTACAGTAATTGCAATATCTAAAGGATGAAAGCATTTTAGGAAATGCATTTTGATTTCATCTATACTTTCAACAATTGCTTCTGCTGTGAAAGTTTTTTTTTACAATTCAAAGAAGATCAAGCTTATTCTTTGGGCAAAACAATGGCCTTAGGTCAAACATTTTATGAATGAGGCATTTTTACATTTTATTTCTATATAAGTAATGGCAGTCATGTAATTATTTACATGAGAAAATACTGTTGATGCAAAACTATTTTGTAACTTAATATTAACAAAGTATATTGAGCATTTTACTTAATGTACAATTGTGTACTCCAACCTGCTGTCATCTGCCTAAATGTAATCATTTTGATCATTGTCTATCATCAGTACACGCCCTACCTTTATATACTCAAAGGTGTGTTTTCCAGTTGTGTTCCTCTCCGACAGGTATCATCAGTTTTTTTGCCAACTTGTGTTTTGCAACTTTTGTCTTTCACATTTCTCTTAAGCTCGCCGTGCTGCCTTGTTTATTAATTTCCGCTCTCGTTTCCTTTTTAGGTTATTTCCATTAGTTGTTATAATGAATGTAATTTGGTTAATATATTCTCAACTTTGATTCCTTTGGTTCTCAATTCAATATCCCGACACCAACATTTAATGTTGCTTTGAATAACTTTGGACAAAGAATGTCTCCTTCTCCGACTCATTTGTATGTTTTTTTGTTAATTCATTCAATCTCATTGGAGCTGTTCCAGGTTTTTAGTTGCTTTTTTATTGTAAATATCATGTAGTCCTTGGTTTGTGACAGTTTGGATGACTGCATCACTCTCCACTGAGTGAAATACATTTTATTTGTTTGCAGAGGCTAGGCAAAACGGTGATCCATATTAATTTGTCTTTTCCAGTATCTGATTGATAGTGTGTTTGTGGTGATTGGTAGAGAATAAATGGCCTGCGGATCGATTGAGCGTCTACTGATAACACGACTGAAACACATTTAATACTTTCTTCATTTCTAGAATAACGTTCATTTTTAGCAAGTTCAATAGAATGCCATATAATCGAGTTGTGACGAAACATAGTAACTTATCCGTGATGCGGAATTATTGTGGGACGTATTGCGCTTAAAACATTTTAGTGCGATTGAAGCCACAGTGGTTCGTTTTACCACGATAGCCGACACGATTCATTGTCTGACTTCACTTGGGCCTTCAGGTTGCGGCATCGGATGAGCGTCTGGCCGTCGTGCTCCTGGCCCTCTGGCCCTACCTCCTCGCAGACGACTCCACTTTGTTGGCTGCCCTCCGCCTCCTCTGCATCTTTACAACCAGCTGTCGCGCAGGTACGAACCTCCGTGGTAACGCGACGTATCGATTTGTGAATTGGTGCCAGATTCTCGTGTGAGTGCACAACAAAATGGTGATGCAAGCTGGATCTGTAAATGGGTCTGAATATGGTGGCATTTCAAGATGCTCTGTTCGTGCGTATGAATCTGATTGCACGAGGTATTGATTTGTTCAAATTTGTATGTGACATACGGCAGGCTGAATACAACATCTTAATAGGGCGAGTGGTCGAGATGTGGATTTGAAAATAATTTCGGAGAACAATCAAAGATTTCTTGCAAAAGCCTGACATTTACGAGAGAACTTAAATTATGGGAGATGGAGGGATAGGTGTAGGGGCTTAATGTACAAGGGATATCCCAGGGATAATGCTTTTTATTCTAAAATTATTATGGTATCTTCATGCAGTGTTACATCATTTTGGGGACTTTGAAGGAATTTAAATTCCATATATGGCAAATTCATTTGAATGGTAGACAGTCCTCAGACAGTGCCAGACTATAAATGAGCCTAAGTAGATCACGGGCCATTGCACAGTTCAGGTAGAATGTGCTTGCCTCATCCACCATAGAGCCCAGAACTGGCACCATCAAAATTTCATCTGTTTGATCCTTGGAATGATGTTGCCTGCTTGGGAAACATTTTGAAAAGGACACTGCTTACAGGATGCTTTTTGAAATGGTTAAGTGACAGCCAAATACTTTTACAATCTGGAATATCTGCTTTGGTTCCTTGTTAGCACAAGTGCACAGTAAAATATTGAGAATATGTTGAAAAGTAGCAAATATGTATGACCTTTTTGGTAAAAATCAAAATCACTGAATACAATTATATTGAAGAAAAAAGTAGGAATACTTTTTGGATTATCCCTTATACCATTTTTCTTACCTCCAGTTACATAGATAAAGGTGGTATTAGTTATTATCATTTGCAAGTAACTATTCTGTTTGGAATGTTAGACTACTGCATAGAAGCATTGGCTTACCTTACTGCATTAAATGTCCCTCCAAAATTTCCAGCCTTTAGAATCTACTTTTCTCAAACTAACTTGGTGGCACATGCTCTAACCACCAGCTATTCAGCTTCCCAAAAGGGAGAAAATAACCAATCTCGGCTCTTTCAGTAACAATAACTTGAATTAATTCTCTGATTCAGTTACATTATAGGACAAGGTGTGTTCATGGTTCCTTTGCCTCAAGCTGTTTTGTAATGCCAAGCTTTGAAATAGGGTTGTGTATCCTTATAATTGGCTACATGTCAGCAGCTATTCCACTTGCACATACACGTATAGGCTTATTGCCTCTTGCAATATGGTTTAGTGCGTTCATAGTAAAACAATTAAAGCCACATTCATTTACAATTACACAGTCTCAATTGTAGTAGAACACAAAGCACTTCTCATAGAGGAGTGAACTCCTTTGCCACGTTTCTGTGATTTTATTATTTGTTTCATCGAGAAGGTAAAGAACAGATGTCCCATTTGCCAATGTATGTTCAAGATTTCACATTTCAAGATTAAACCAGTGTCCCACAGTCAATTGAAAGACTTGCAAAAAGCACTGTAATGTATCGCCACCTACTTAATAGAGTGCTGTTCAAATGATTGCATCGCTGCCTTGCGGAGTATTTAGCTAATAGAATGCACTATACAAATATATTGAATTTTTTTCACACTATGCAAATTTGCTTAGAGCATACATTGCCTGGTAATTTGATGGTCAAAGGTTTGTTTCAGTTTTATAATGAAAATGTATGAGTTTTTGTAGTGTTAGTCCAAAATATGTTTTTGTTATTGGGAACATAACAATGGGCAGAATAGGAAGTTTTTGGGAAAGTTATGTTTTATATATGAGTATTTTTTGGATATTCCAGTAAGTAATAAATCGTATCCCTTATATAGAATACTCATTTTTATTCAAAATTTGCAAGGTGATCCTGATATTAAGTCAGCGCAAAAATATGATGCACATACCACCTGTTATTTTTAATGTGGTAATTATAAACATTTATTTTACTCCATTGTATAATTCGTACGCGAAGATTGCTCCAAAATGAACCAAACATTGTTATGGGACCCCAAAGTCGTGCTAATGATGATGGCTTAGTGTGACTTGGTGTATTATACTCAATTATTTTTTATTGCCCCTAATATATGAACACGTTGTTGTTATTCTCACATTGTACATGAGCATTCTAATATTCCTTTGAAAGTTCTTACAATGCATATCACCTAGTTTGCATACAATAAAATCAGATTGTATCTTCATAGTATCTCAGTTCAGACCACATGCACACAAATCACGACAGATGCAGACACTTAATGCGCAAATGGAACATTAGAAAAATCTCCAGTGTGCAACTGCGGTCACCCAGAACAGAACCATGGAATGTTTAACGACTCCATGCACTATTCACAACTACAAAGGAAGCATCATAGCAATACACTCCGCACATCCGATTAGCACGGTTGGCTATGTACGGTGAAAAAGAAGTTCTACATACATGCATACATACATACGCCACTACTCGTGATACAATAATCTGGCTCAACCATCTTAACGTTATATTGTCGTCGTTTTGCTCTCCATCAACATCAGCCATACGAAGAAGAAGAAGTTCTGCCTAATGAAGATCTCCCCAGGCCAATTCTTATCCACACCATCCCGTGATGTCACAATTCATTTTCATGATATTTTAATGTATTATTTTGTGTCTCCTGCCTATACCAGCGTGTCTGTCCTGCTGCATTGGAGGCACTGGCACCTGTGCTACTGCAGGGGGTGGCTCCTCCCTGGTGCATGCGGTGATTCGCTTGTGCTCTGTGCGTGCGGGAGACTCCTCTGCCGTCGAGCGTCACGCCTTCACGTTGCTGTCCAACCTCCTGCTCTCGCATGAGGGCAAGGGGGTCCTGCAAAAGGTGAGGGTGTTTTAGTTTCATAAATGTGTTTAAAGTCGACTTTGTAATCGGTTAGTGATGACATGGTCAAATTTTGTTGGCGGCCTCTGGATATTGCAAATCCAAAGGTCGATCTCCTGGCGCACGGTAGTTGGAACAATGGGGCAGGTTTTTTCAATCCCTCCTGCCTCTGTCCACCCAGTAGTATAAATAGGTACAACACAGTTGATCGGCAAGTTATTTGTACTATCACCTCTTCGAAGATGTCTGGACAGGGTGGAAAGGAAGGTCACTGCACTCTTGAGGGGGGCTCTAGAGTACCCCAAGTGGAGGCTTTTCCACCAGCAGTGTCATGAACAAGAAAATTCAGTGCTGCGTCTTTATTGTAGTAAGATGTGTGCTCAATTGTCACAGTTCCCAAACTCCAGTGCTTGTGCCTCCTCAGATTCTTAATTTAATATTTAGCCAAACAATGTAATCGCACAATCGATATTATGTGTTCTCATTGAATTGGCGTGCATCAGTAAAAATGAAAACATCCTTGCACTTGATTTAAAGCTTTCGTGACTGCAGGGATTCATATTCTTGGTTCTTTCGGTAAAGTCACGTAGAAGGAAAACAATAAAATAATAAAAAATATGTGGTTTTTCACACCTGATGATGATTGCTTGTGTTGCAGTCGAAACATCGTGAGAATTTTATTGTTTTATATTTTTATTATTTTATTGTTTCCCTACTACGTGACTTTACCGAAAGAACCAAAAATATCCTTGCACTTGGTTTAGGTGGTATATTTAAGGACTGACGTTTGTAACTGCTGCTTTAATTATTTTTTAATGTTGAGCCTTTTTTACTTTAATTCTAGGTTATTTTCATTTTTACATTAGGCATAGTCGGCGAATGTAAAACTGCTATTTATTGCATGCAGTTGTTTGCAACAACAAGTAAAAATGGACAACCACTTGAGCTGGTTAGGCGACCGAACTGAAATTGAACACCCAATGGTTTATGAGAAAACTAAAATAGTTTTTTTTTGCCACCTGTACATTTGAGCAACAGCCTGGATGTTAGAGTGGCACAGGTGAGGCACATAAATTATGGAGAGTGTGATTTCTCAGAGGAGTGTTTGCTTTTCATTCCCTTGTGGATTTGCAACTGGCTCTATTCATCAGTGCAATCTCTGCTCAGCCTGCTCACTGAGCATTACACAGATGTGTGATTTATGGCTCACACACTTGATGGTTTTGCAGTCCCTTGCTTAGCATAAATAATTAAAATTTCCAATCCACAAGGAATCCAGCAACCTCTCTGCCTTTGGGCAGATAAAGTGTGAATGAGTGCCACTTCGCTCAGTGATAGCAACATGCCGTTAATGCCCGTGGTTTTCTGCTGCAGCCTTTGTTGTGACAAAAGAGGGGGTTAAAGAGTGCTGAGATTTGCATTACCGGTAATGGCTTCTGTGCCGTCTGGCAGCGAGCCCTAATCTCAGGATGAAATAGAAGTTTCATTGAGAGAAAAAAAATATTTAATTGATGCCAATCATCCTTAGCAGTAATATAGCAATGGTCTCGAAGAGGTTTAATTCAATCATTTAAATTATAGCCCTCTACAAATGGTATTCCCACAGACACCCACAAGCATACTGCACCTGTCATGAGTAATTTTACCTGACATGTCATTTACGTTATGTCACCTTTTGTCACTCATATTTAATATGCTTTGACTGTCATATACGAATGGCTGCAATCCAACCGAGAAAAATATATGTAATCTCAGATTGACATCTTTGAAAAAAAGATTCAGATGGGTGACTTCATACCTGAACGGGGATAAAAAATCATATCACAAGATTACCATAAAAGGAATTAAGGTTAATTAATTAAAGGCGTATAGCCTAAGGTCACCAATTCGATGCTTGAATAAGCAATTTATGATATTTAAAACAGTTATTACTGCACATCACTCAAAAATGGAACTAAGCAAACAATATTAATGCAGGACATTCCTGAAATTGTCTTAGAATCAGGATTTCCTAGAAATAACGAATGGCATTATTAATGTACCAAATAAAGGCATGTTACTTGTTTGAGGTAAGTATTTAAACCATATGGAAAAGTAGTATATTTTGTAAATGGTATAATTAGGTAATGTGTAGGGAAGGTGATGTTTATATCTAAAGCAAGCGGGAACGCAGGTGCCCTGAGTAAGAATGACTTGTACACTTCTAAAAATTGTGTGACCGAAAACTCCAATTCCATACAGGAATTATTCAAATAGAAATGATCTAAGTTTGAAGAAAATTTAAAGCTGATCTGGAGTACTCTTATATTGACTGTTAAAGAAAAAAAAATGTAAACCAATATTAAAACAAGATAATGATGGGCCTTAACATTAATTGCATTAATAATAATCTACTTACCTCGACCACAGACCAGTTGACGCGCACTTAGTGATGATGTCATGGGGGCCATGTTGCATGGGAACTTTACGGTGGCCAAGTTGGAAGGGGGTTGTCTTCCCAGTCGCTGATTGGCTGGGTGTAGTGGGAATCATGATGTAATTCCCAGCAACCACTGTTGTGAACCCATCGTTGTGATTTCGCAAGGATGAATACTTGATGGCTTGACCTACGCCATTTTGGATCTTACGACATTCGTTGCCTGTCACATTTTACGTGCACTCAGGCCCCACCTGCGTGGATAGCTCACCAAATATGAAATTAAACTCAGTTTCACTCTGCTTTTTTGTGTGTTTCTCTGACCGCTCAACTAAATTGCCATGACAGAGCAACTTCCTGCAGCAGTTTGCGAGTTTGCATCCTCCTAAGCTGAGCCGAGCTTCCAGCCCACTCGTGCTGCATTGGCTGGGCCTACTGGTCAATCTCACCACAGCGGAGGATGGGCAGCAGATGGTGCTGCGCCTGGGCGGTAGCCTGGAGCTGCTGCTGGAGATGGCAGGGCACCAGCAGGCTGCCTGCCACCGTGCCGCCACTCTTGTTCTGCACAACCTGTGCTTCAGCACAGCCAACAAGGCCATCATCCTGGCCAATGGTGCGTCCACCTGTTTTTAGCTGCTTCTCATGTTAAACTGCCAAAAGTTTAGTGTGGGAGGATACAAAATAACAAGAAATGCAGTCCGATGTACGTCGGACAAATAAAAAACACGTTATATATAACCTTTCCAACTGTTGTGCTATTAATGATCACTTGTTAAAATTAATAAAATGAATGAAAGAGTGGTGTAGCAAAGACTGCACTTAACCCACCTTTGTCTCATAATTGTACACGTTGATACCTTCACCAGTCAAACCGAAGGGAGGTAGGTCCAAGTTTGGATATGAATTGGCATGGGTACTATGGATGGCCACGAAGCCAACCCAGTTATCTGGGATCATTGTGAAATCTGCTAACTTATCCACCGCTCCTACCATGGTTTTTAATGCTTTTTGTGTTTAGTTTGTTGCCCTTCCCCCACACCTCCGATTAGCATGGTTGGCTACATACGGTGCGAAAGAAGTTCAACATGTGTAGGTTTCTAACGCTTAACATTTTGGTTGCCACAGAAAAAGCTGTCGCGTTCCTGGCCAGATGTCTGGAGAATGAGACCCTCGAGATGAGGTCCCTTGGGGCCAGTGCACTGTGGGCTCTGCTGTACAACTCACAGAAGGTCTATCCGTCCATATTCACATTGTCAACACGCATACAGGATTACATCTAACCTTACTTTTATATATATATATTTTAAAAAATCGTTTGTAATTTGTTTTTATTTTGAATGTGTGCTCTCTACCACCGCAGGCTAAAGTGAGCTTGAAAAATCCATCGATCAAGAGAAAAGTTGATGATGCATTAAAAGCACATCGAAAAGGTAAACACTATACATTAGAGTGAGTGGCTTCAGAATTGACTGCAAAGTTACTGTTTTTCAACTTATACGTGTTGTGAGTATATATGTGTACTGTCTTTCAAACCATTAAGTGTGACTTTTATCTGTCCAGGTGTGAGAGCAGAGGATTACAAGCTGTACACATATTGCCTCAAGAGCCTGGAGAATGTGTCTACCTTACTGAACACCTAGGCAGCGTAACTGTTCATCGATATTTTAAACAGTGTAGTATGCTTTCCTTGAATCAAATCCTGTGTCTGAAACTTAAAATAACGTGTATTTATATAAATGGTGTTTATATTTAAAATGATAAACTGCAAGTGTGATTGATTTTATTTTACAAACTATGTAGTTAATATGCGAATCATGATTATTAAACTGTGCTATTGAACGTTGTTGCCACTTGACTATTTTGTTAATGCAGGTCCAAGGAGAGATGAGACTAAATCAAGGGGCTCTCTTTATGGCTGCTGTAAATTGCTGGTGCCATTGTAAAATTATTGTGTAGTATTATACCTGCATAATCACATCCAGGTTATACAAGTATGACAACCAATGACGCACAAGGTTGGCCTTATGTGTGTACCGAGCTGGGTCTTGGTTCAATGTACGCTCCAAGGCAACAAGAGAAATTTAATATCACCAGTAAAGCAATCATTTATAAATCATATCTTCTGTAAATGAATATTTATTATCAACTCCACAGTTAAACAATGAAATTGAATATATAGTGACTGAAGCAGTAGACAACACATCATAAAAGATCGGATGTTTTTAAAACAATTACAAGTGGACACTAATTTACGTGATATTGACAAAGGTATCCTACCTTGGCCAACATTATAAGACCATGCATTACTCTATGCTATCTTCTGTTGCCCACAACACATTTCGGCAGTGTGATAATTGAGAAATCATATTTAATTCTTCGTTATGTACAAAATTAAACCACATCTCTACAACTCTAGGAACAAAAGGAAAATGTAAAATATCTACCTGGACACATCAGTTGTTTTTAGACATCACAGCTGTGCTCGTTGGTTTGCAGAAGAAGAAAAAAAGAGACTTATTTGAAAGTGGTATGAGCATACTAGAGTAAAAAGATAGCCATGAGGAATTTTTTTTAAAATTAATTAATGAGTGTAAATTAATGCTATCCCGCAAGTCAAATAATGGCCTGCTGATTTACTTCCAGTAACAACACAATTGCACGAACACCGAAAACCAAGCTTTCTCTTTGCTCAAACTGGGCTGGATCCAAATGCATTGCCATGGAAATACTCACAAGCCAAACTGATCCCAAGTGAGCTCAGCACACTTACCCCCCAGGAACAGTTAGTTAACCGAACCACATACTTTTATTAGGGCTGACCACTTGACACCAGTCATGATTTGACAACACAAGCAAAAACGTACTCTCCGTGACATCATCCGTTAACACACAGCGGAAATTACAAATTATCTCAAGTGGTCTTATGCTTGCCTACATTTGGCGTTAATACAACATTTTATTTCAAACATCTATTCCTGACCTCCACACTCCTTGACCACACAGGCTGTGGTTTGGGGAGGGACTCAGTCCCCATGGGTGAGCAGAAATGGTTTCCAGTGGTTGTTGATACGATGCATTGAGCTCCATTATATTGACAGTGCAGTGCTTGTGCATGATGGTTCTCGAGTCTGGAATTTCTAGTGATGGGTGGTGGTCATCACGGAGTGCCCATTTAGGCATGTAAATGGGTCTTAAAATGACATGTTGGGTTTTCTGCACTGCACATTACTTACTGAATGAGAGAGGTCTTGCAATAGACTATTTTGCTAAATTATATTAGGTTTCACTGTAGTAACAATTGGTTATGCTAACCATAACATCCCTACATTAAATTATTCAATTGCACTGTTAAAGCCAGTGCCACTGGGAATAGTCTACTGGATATATGGTGGTAAGTTGCCTGCACGATGCCAAGCTGCCTTTTGTCTATCAATCACTAAAAATAGCACCAGGTACTGGCTTCGCCTGACAGACATCGCTGATTGCAGAGCACAACCAAATCGTCTGTACATTTCGACCTACTGGCTGGAATCCAACCCAGAATAATGGACCAGCTGACATGCTTATGTTGGCCGCCCATAAGCACACAAACACATGAAAAGTAGCCAGCTGTGCCTTCGCATTTTTTAATGTTTCTGCGGTTACTGGCAAAAACTGATCGCATTACAACGAAGGGCCTTGCAATCTAAAGAAAAAACGGCGACCAATTTGAATACGTACGGTGGAGTATGGTATTTGAGATGTGACTGCCAGTGCAAGAAAAAAATCAGTCTTGGTAGCCACTGGTTTGTCTGCCTTAGGCTTGACTAACTAGTCACAGTAACCGCAGAATTTTATTGTTTTATATTTTTATTATTTTATTGTTTCCCTTCTACGTGACTTTACCGAAAGAACCAAGAATATAAATAGTCACAGACGATTATCTTTAACTTGTCTCAGTCAAATCGTATCTTAAATGGCACATTCTGTTATCAATTAATCGAACCCCTTTTGGTACAATATCCCGCTAAAACACTTCACATATCTCCCCTAGTTTTATGAACCACAGGCTAACATACTGATGTTACGTTGAGTATATTTAATTTTCCTACAAAAAAAAACAAAGTAACAACAGTAACAGTAATTCTACTTCTGTATTGTGAAAACTATCACCATCCATTTTAGGCATTCCTAATTCAACGGCTGTAGATGTATGTCACTTTCGAGATCCAAATATCTTTGCGTTAAATCAAACCGCCACAGTGCAGAATGGCAATTGTAGTTTCAAACACGTTTGAAATCCACATGCATTGTTCAAACAAAAGCCTCTGTCGAACAAGGTGCTTGATTATACCACTCAACTATTTACTCCCTCCACAAACCAAAAAAAATATGCCAACAGCACAGCCCAAGGCTTCTGCGCAAAGTGCACATCCGGAACTTTCCAAAATGTTTCAAACCCACTCCTTTGACTTGCTTGATCGAGGACGATACTTGTGTTGGCCTGCTTAACCTGTTGTCGCATTATCTATCCACCCGACACATCCGTATTACGCGTACGTGTCATCTCGGGCCTTTGTCTCGTCTGCCTGTTTTGTTATCGCGCCAACTACTAATAACTCTCATCACGCCTACGCGTGGAACATACAACTGCATCTGCCCATATGACCATACATTTGGATGTTTCAGGAAAATAATGACCGGATGGGGCATAATTGATATCTCAATTGTGTTGAATGTAATTTTCAATTGAGTCGGATTCAACTTGAATTAATTTAGTGATAGACAATTTTCCTATTTTAATTCACTCGTGCTAATGTTAAAATAAGCGTGGAAGTTTTGGCATTTAAAACACTGAGAATAGGATTTCCCCTTTTTTCTGGCAACAAACGTGTTAAGATGTTAAAACGCCAAACTGAAACCTTTTACAAGGAATCATGTCTGCATTAATCACGATACTTGTCAGAATGCAAACCAAAACACTGATAATATATGCATTGTCTTTGAAACTTATTGGTCCACACCAGAGACAGCTTTCTTTTGAGCCTAGTCTCAAAACGTTGTTGGACCAGAGGACGCCAAAAGGCGTACAGCACAAAGACAATGCACTCTCAGAGTAATGAGAGCTCGGGGTGAGCAGCTACATCATGGTACTGGCAAAGGAGGTCCCATGATCTAAAACACTGTCGTCACATCTCAAAATTGCAACACTTTTTGTTTTGTTTTGTTTCCACTAACATTGTATAACAGACCGAAGCCAAGGTTTAAGATGAGTAGGAATAGCGCTCCACACAAAAAAATATATTTCCAAGGTTCCCTTGACATCACCCACTAATCGGACGTCAAGCTACGCCTCATTTTAACTCGTTTCCGTGAACGCAACTTCGTGTGACAATGCCGTCAACTATGCCAAGGCTCTCTGGTGACATTTCAGTGCCACATGTGTCCTCCCGGGGTGGTGGTGGTGGTGGTTGTGGCTGCGGTGGACGTCATTCTGCCCCGGCTCTCGGTCGCAAAGTCCTGGAACGATCCTGCATGTCGTATCCTCAGCGACGAGTCTCCTGCAGCGGGAGGAGAGGCACACAAAGTCCCTTAATGTGTACAGTACGTGCAAGTAGGGTGGCGTGCATTGGAGCACGGATTCAGTTGTGGCCTTTTTAGCAATCACCATCGTCACCAAGTCTCATCAATATTGAGTTGGTAGTTCGCCATCACGCCGTGGAATGGTTGAGTAAATCCAACGGTAGGCAAACTTTGACATATATGTCCACTTATGATGTGGCCTGCATGGTACGGCTTTTTAAGCGAGACAAAATGCATTACATATATATCTAACTTTGGATTACGGAGATGGAGCAATTCGATCAGCCCATATGCAAGCCTGATATACTGTTACATCACGAGCCCATAAGGGACTGCAACAACATTGGGAGGCCATCGCTTAGCAGAGAATAGAGCGTTACATGATGGTCATGTACCATGCTACAATAGCTTTGTATTATTCTCTTAAATGTGTTTATGTATTTGTTCTAAGTGCTGACGTAGAAGTATGCAGTATGCAGGATGTAAATCAAAATAGAGATTTTAATCATATATTTTACATTTCACCATTTGATGTGTTGTACCGTATTACATCTTCAATCCAGCATGGAGTAAATTTAATTACTTTTCAATAAGCAACGTTAGCCAGCTCGGCTGCAACCATGGAGTTTAGGATGGAGTCAATAATAGATTCCGTGTAAATTGCATGGAAAACCCACACTCAATTGCACTGAAAGATAAGTAGTTTAGTCTTAGCTGTCTATTTAAAAGACAAAGGCTTAGAAACGATGCTTCATCATGATCAGTCTGGCAAATTGGAATCCGTTCCATGATTTTGTTCGTCCACAGCGTTGTAGGCAATCAGCTTTACACATCAACCAATCTTACAGACGGATATATGATGGAGACATTACGTATCTAATTTATTTATATTCTCCACAACGATACTAATACATATTTTGACTCAACTGTTTTACACATTTGCGTCGAAAAAGAAACCCTTAGCTTAAAGAGAAAGTATAAAATGTGGCGATTCACCAGCGATTGATTCAAGACGGCCTGACTGCTGATCAGACACTGTTATGTCTAAACCGGTTCAGCGTTTGCTTGTACTGAAATAACGCTGGTGACATTATGGGTTGTATAATATTTAAAAAATCATGTCAAGATACAGATATGTGAAGGAGACATTGTATACTTATTTATTTAATTGCATATAGGGGCCATCGTGGCCAAGAGTTGGCAAAACGAGATTCCTTATTGCTAATGAGATGTGATTATTATTAAACAGTGTATCTATGCAATGCTGATATTGGTTTGCCGCCCAATGCTTTTCCAGTTTAATAATTAAAATACAGCCAAGAGAGGTTTTTTTTTTCAAAGACATCGAAAAATACCAGCTTCATTGGCACGCCAAACGAATTTTAAATTGCTGTGGTGAGGCGCTTTTGAAGTGTGACCACGCATTTCTACGCGCAGTTCTGCAAGGTTTGCATCCACGAAACCACGTGCATTAAACTGCTTACTCTTCATAACCTGCGCACCATCGATTGGTGTGAAGCAGATATTGCACATATCCTGGGTGGACATGATCACGAATGTCAATGGACAAATTGGCCTTTAATCAGGTCAATATAAGAGACCCCAATTGTGTCTCCATATAAAAAATGTTTTTTTTATATATATAAACCATCAGCCTAAAGGCTTTCCAGACCGATCCTCTGCCAACAACGTATAATGAGTCTGTGTCCATTAATCACATCGGTCATCCACAGAATGTCGCCTGAGCTGGCTGGGCCACGCATAGGGCTGCATGACATTAGGGAGAAAGGTGGAGCATTATTTAACGTGAGTCGCCAAAAAAAAGGTGGCACTACAGACCAGGACGACCGCTCACAAACTGCAACCAAACCGCGCAGAACGTGTTCCGTGGGATGAGCTCCAAATTGATGGCACGAGACAACCCGTCGTGGTAAGTGGAGGCACAAAGTTGCCTGATGTGTGGGTAACATGGCTCATACTACAGTATTAATTAAGGGCATTTATCAGCAGAACTCTGTTCTGTTTCCACATGACTGCAATATTTGGGTTCACCAGCCTGGTGGCTAAGGATGGCACGTTCTTCTAATAATCAAAGAAGCTTATGTTTAACAAACCTGATTACTGATGAGACTGAGAACGTCAAAAATTTGGTCCAGGGCTCTCTTGCTAAAATTAAAAGCAGCTAGATAATATTTGTCTGATAACCGTTAAGCTGATGGTCTTGAACGTATATATATAGCCACAAAAACGCATCGACAAACGAGCTTAACAAGAACTAAGCGTAATCATGAGCAGTATGCCCACGCGTACATCTTTTGCCTATCATAACATGAAAAGGCATCAATGGATCGTTATAAAATGATTGGTTACACTGCGCAGAAGGCAAACACAATGCATTTACAGGAAAGTAATTAACTGCTGCAAAACCATCGAGCTGACAAAGCACCCCAGCACCAATGCACCATATGCGCTGCATTGTGTAGTATTTGAAAATGTGCCAATGTGCATGTGGGTCTGCCAACCCATTACACAGATCACAGTATAATAAATATGAAATCAGCATTCCATGAACTAATGGAATTTGTTGTGACTTGCAGATGAGTGGTTACAACAATCACGGCACTGGTCCAAGTGATGTTGGTGTACACAGTTAAGAGGTGCAAGTGGAAAATATTGACCCAACTGAAGACCTGTCACTTTGCAAGACGGATACATTATTATTGCGTCCTTTACGGTGAACATCCCGACATCACCCAATCCTTATTACTGTGCGCACTATACACGATAATTGTTATCTATAAAGTAAGCCGAGGGACAGAACGTGGCCGTGAGGGCTTAACAACTCGGAGATGAGAGTGATAAAATAGAGTTCGTACGAGTGCAGATGCTGGATGGATTACTGCGGCTTGGGGGTGGCTTTTTCAAGCAGTGGATTGATCATGGCGGCTGTCGTTATGACGATGATGATTACACAATATAAATCTCCCCCCCCCCCCCCCCCCCCCCCCTCCAATTAAGGTATGCGCACAGGAGAGGCGTGAAAGATTAAAAAGCTTCGTAAAACTGGTTAACCCCGCCCGCCCGCCACTGATCAAACGTGTTCCACAAGCGACAGTTTTATATTTAATTCACAAGGCGCGTCCGTATGTGTGATCCCTCCCAAGCATCTCGCGTTGGAAATGGGCAAAGCGCTAATTAAACCGCCCGCTCTTACGCCAACCGGGGACGTAAACACGTCCCCGGTTAAACACGTGGCGTGCTGCGAGCCAACGGAACGTTATTGGAGATGTCCTCGGCTCTCGCGCGATCTCATTCGCACGTTTTTCATGTACGTTGAGATTTTTGCCGGCGTGATGTAATTAATTATTGGCGCACACTGGACGTGCAATCCAGGTCCGCCGGTCCGTTTCGATCTCCAGGAAGTGGCGGTTGAAATAATGAGCAGTTTTCTTAAATTCTTAAATCCCACTCCCGCCGATTTTGATTTTCGCTAACGACCAATAAGAGTAATAGCAAAGCAATAGCCTCAAACACACTAAAACTCTCTGCTTGGTTTAGATACGTGGAGGCTCAACATTGGCGGTCTAGCCAACACGGGAGAGATACACTTAATGCATTTCTAAATCATCTCAACCAGCAAAAACCCGTTCATCCAGGTCACCATGGAAGTGAGAAATATTCTGCTCGGGCACGGCCGAAACGGTAAAATAACAGAGAGCGTTTACCGAAAAAAACCCGCACACTAACACCAACACATTTAACGATTTAAACCAAACCCCTCATGGATTATATTGGTCGCGAAAGCCTACGTGTTAAACTGAACAGTAATAACATATCTGAATCAATTCTAGGCCTCCCCTAGGTCGACTCAGGATTGAATGAACTCGGCATTAAACGAGCGCCTGGTGCGGTTAGCCAAACATCAACACTCGGGAGACAAAGACAGCTGGGGGCCTGGTGCTGGCCACCAACCCCTCTCGTGTTATGTGTTCGCCTTAATAGGTGCTCGCTAACCGCACTTTCCACCCCAGCGGCCTGTTATGGCTATACGGGGGATCTTTGTGTTCTGTGTGCTCGACGTGACTTAGAGAGATCACCGTCGATTCGAAACAGGTTTCCTGCACGTCACGTGGGACGTGTTTAACAACCATCAGGCGACTCCACGTGTAGCGACTCGATTGGTATTAGAATGCAAAAGATTCCTAGCACATGGAGAGGTGTGGAAACGTGCTGTCGCCGGAACTGGGAATTGAATAAACCAGCTTCTTTGGTTCTTTCGGTAAAGTCACGTATAATGAGAATAAAATAATAAATTGATAAAATAAAATAACACAATAATATTTATCAATTTATTATTTTATTCTCATTCTACGTGACTTTACCGAAAGAACCAAAGAAGATGAATCCTTGCAATCACGAAAGCTTTAAATCGAAATTGAATAAACCACGTTTTACTAAATAGTTTATCTATTTCGATTTAAAGCTTTCGTGACTGCAAGGATTCATCTTCTTTGGTTTTTTCGGTAAAGTCACGTAGAATGAGAATAAAATAATAAATTGATAAAATAAAATAACACAATAAAATTCTCACGACGTCTGGAGGACAGCGCTGTCCTCCAGACAGTCTCGTCCCTTCACCTAATGAAGGCCGCTTGTGTTGTGGCCGAAACGTCGTGAGATTTTTATTGTGTTATTTTATTTTATCAATTTATTATTTTATTCTCATTCTACGTGACTTTACCGAAAGAACCAAAGAAGATAGTTTATCTATCTTGATTTAAAGCTTTCGTGACTGCAGGGATTCATATTCTTGGTTCTTTCGGTAAAGTCACGTTGAAGGGAAACAATAAAATAATAATGTTTCCCTTCAACGTGGCTTTACCGAAAGCACCAAGAATATAGTTTATCTATCTTGATTTAAAGCTTTCGTGACTGCAGGGATTCATATTCTTGGTTCTTTCGGTAAAGTCACGTGACTTTACCGAAATAACCATGAATATAGTTTATCTATCATCAGTCCATTCTGTCTCTTTACACGCGCTCGCCTATTGGCATTGCAGACCAATGTTATCCAGCGGTATTTTGTTTAGATCGTTTTTTTATTGTTCGAACTTGTTGGACAAAATGATGCCGCTTGTTTAAGACAACAACAACAACATCAACATCTGCTGGGTTGCCGGATGTGATTAAGCAAGAGCTCTCGATCTAAACGACGGGCCCTATTTGAAAAACAAAACGCTGCCCTAGAAACATCGTGATGAGGCGTTGTTTGGGAGCAATGCGCGTAATAATATATTATTGCAATTAAAGCTAAGCTACGACTGTTTTCTCGATGGCACATAATCTCTCCCCCTCCATTCCAGACGGGGTCTCAAGAGCTCGCGTTTTTTTTTTTAGTAAAGTCACGTAGGTAGAAAAATAATAGATCACGACGTTGCGATCGCAACACAAGCAATCGTCATCAGGTGGGACAACCACAGCAAGAAAAAACTGTTGAAGTAGGCAGTCACGAAAGCTTCAAATCAAGATTGAGCTCGCGTTTGTTTCGCTGCTCCAGCAGGTGAACAAAAGCGCCAATTTGGTAATTTTGTTAATTGCTCGCCAACACACCTGTGCGTCGAAAATTGGTTTTGTTCACGTGACAACTTTATTAATTGGCTGCGTCGGGTGGAGGAGGACTGCACGACACACGTCATTTCACGTACGCGATTTGACCCGAAAAAATAACACCGTGCGCTTGAAAAAAAATATGTGAAAAATAACAATGCGGAGTAATTGTAAACTACTGAAAATAGATCGATAACACGTAGCAGGCTTTCACGACCAATATCCTCCATAATAGAGGTTTTTTGGGGTCGATCACGTAAATATATAAATGTGTTGTTAAACCCGCCACCACCTGACACAGCCAACTAGTAAGGTTCGTCACGTCAACAGAACGTGGCCAATTCGTCACTCGTACAGCACGCCGGTGTGTTGGAGAGCCAAGCCACAACATTTACAATCTTGAGTACGACGTTTCGCCAGTAATTACAACTAGCTTCATCAGGCGACAGCCGGATTTGTGGAGAAGTCCATCTGTTTCATTCCTTATATAGAGGCGTAGATGTGGTGACCACGCTTCTGCACTCTTGCGCCACGTGGGGGGGGGGGGGGATTACTGAGGCAACGTGCATTATGCATGTGCATTATGAGAGCCCTTTGAACTTGTCCTTCCTGCTCTCTCTATTTTGTGTATTAAAATAGCCGTACCAAAATAATTTGTTATTTGATGATTCGCTTCCACGCAGCACTAAGGCGGTAGCTATCCGAACGGTTAAAGTAATTTTTATTTATTTCAATTTCGATCAATTCTATAATTAGTCTTGGCCAGCAGTAGCTAAGTCACATAGATAGAGTTGATAGTTTTGCACAGAACTTCAACATTATCAAAATCAATTGAGTGTCCTTGTTGGCACGCGTGTTCTGCTACTGCTGACAGTTGTATTTTGGAGAATTTAATATTTCTCTGATGTTCTTTTAGTCTCGTGCTGATCATTCGTCCTGTTTGCCCAACATAACATTTACTGCACGTGCAGTTAATCCTGTACACACCTTCTGTTGATAGCTTCGGTAATACATCTTTTGTACCAGATATCAATTTCTGGATTTTATGTACCGTGCCAAATCTGACTCGTAATTTAGTTTTTCCAAACATCTGGATAGCTTATCAGCTACTCCCGCAATGTACAGTATTTTGATCGGTTTTAATTACTTGGGCAGCTTAAATGCTCGTGTTATTTGATTTGGTTTTGGCATTCAATGCCCTGTTGATTTGTGCATCATTGTAACCGTTCATTTGAAGCGCTTTTTTAACATGTTGAATTTCACTTCTCAGACTGTCACCATCTGACACTTTCTTAGCTCGATGAATGAGCGTCTTGATAAGAGCAGATTTCTGTGCGGGGTGATGGTGTGCCTGCATTCAGATAGGTGTCAGTATGCGTTTTTTTTTCGGTAAACACTGTTGTGTTATTTTACCATTTCGACCCCTATGTGTCCAGTTTGTGTGGGGCGTTGTCTATCCCCCCATGCCCCCCCCCCTCCCCGCAAAACTCCGCCCCATGGAAAAATAGCTTTACAGCTCATCGGATTCATCCAGTATAAATAAATATTCCGATTCTGAAAAAAAGGTAACTAGTGCGACGTTTCGTGCAATGGCCTTTCATTATAGCACAATAGTCCTGTCTAACACTTCGACTTTAGCGACCAATATCATCCGTAACACGTTTTGTGGGTTAGACCGCGTCAATATAAAGGTGTCGTTAAACCCGCCAACACCCGACACAGCCAAATGAATACGCTTTGTCACGTAAACAGAACATGCCAATTAATTACAATCACAGCACATCGCCGTATTGCAGAGTAAATCCGCAACAATTTACAATAGCCTCATGAAAGAGCTAAGAATATGAATAGCCTCATGATCATCATCATCACATCAGAAGCAGCAGCAGCAGCAGCAGATGTTGGCGTGCTTTCGGAGTCACCGTATTTGCTGTGCTGGCCGGAGGAGCCGTACGGCGTGATGCCGCAGCCACCGCCGCCGCCGCCGCCGCCGCTGCCGCTGCTGCTCAGCTCGCAGAGGTCGGAGGAGCTGCGCTGTCGCGTGATGTGCTGCCAGTATCCGCCGCGCGGCAGAGCCGTGGCCACCGCGACAGCCGCGCGGCAGGTCAAGAAGTCGCGCCCAGCCGGAGTCAGCAGCTGGGAGAGACCCGGTGGGGGGGGAGATGGGGAGCGAGAAGCCACGTTTTATGGAGCAGCAGTTGCATTTGCTCTGATAAGAACACCGCGTTGCCTGGGTTCAGAAGGTCCACAGGTTGATGGATCAATTGTGGGGTTTTTTTTTTAAGTTTACGTGTGTATGTTGAACTTCGTTGCACCGTACGTAGGGAGCGGGCCATCCATTTGGCACATACGCAAAAAATCTGTCAAAACTTGATCCCTCCCCCCTCCCTGTACCCCCCCCTCCCTGTACCCCCTCCTCCCTGTACCCCCCTCCCCCCGCCTGTGTACCAATATCCACAATACAGGGTTTTTTTGGGTTAGATCGCGTAAATATAAATGTGTCGTGAAAGCCGCCACCACCCGACGACCGAAACAGACCGGGGCAGGAGGAGGAGGTTTTCTCCACAACTCTGGCTGTCGCCTGTTGGTTGTAATTGCTGGCGAAACGTCGTACTCCAATTGTAAATGTCGTGGTTTAGTCGTAGCTTCTTCATTTAGCCACTGCTTAATCACAGTTTGAACAGGCGATATCCATATCCCCTTGTTTAGTCCTCCTGTAAGTTGCATGAAGCTGTTTCGTAGGAGTACAATACAGGGTACAATGGTATCTAGCACTTATTATGGATAGGCGCACGTTGCAATGTTGTGGCAGTGCCTTAACTATGCAAACGATCCTTGTTCGCGGCGTTCCGGTGAATATCGAGTGAGAAATTAAGCCTCGTGTGTCGTTCACGTACGCGGCGTGTGTACGAGATGAACATGAACAGCCTGACATCATCCGCTGTCGGGTAGAGACCTCCCCAAATCCGTGTCCGTCAGAGGCAGGGGTCGGCCACAGAGACGCATGCGGCTCTTTAAGGCCCGCTGCTTCGAATTTTTGATTTAAAGCTTTCGTGACTGCAGGGATTCATATTCTTGGTTCTTTCGGTAAAGTCATGTAGAAGGGAAACAATAAAGTAATAAAAATATAAAGCAGTATTTTTTATTATTTTATTGTTGTTTTATATTTTTATTATTTTATTGTTTCCCTTATACGTGACTTTACCGAAAGAACCAAGAATATAACCGCTGCTTCGTGACATTGTTTATCAAGGATCACCGTCTCGTATTGGCACGGAATTGCGGCTTTTGAAATATTTAAAAAAAAATGTTTTAACCAATTCTAAAAAAATGCTCTTCTTGTTATATTTTGGTTGCTGACTCCTGGTCGTCTAAGAGGTCGTTTGACCATACCTCACCTTGCTGGTCAGTCCCGGTTTCGTGAAAGGAGATAACGGGGACTCGGTTTAGATATTTCTAGCAAGTGACGTTACCAAGTCTTGGGGAATAGAATTCCGGTGAACGGGTTCAAAGCACGGCGCACTTAGCGCTGCGCCACAGATTGCTGTATTCTCGCTGTGGTTTCGCCACATTTTAAACCGCACCCCACCGCTTCAAAAGTAAACGTGTTCGGCGAATGCTGCGTCAGTGATGTTGTGTGGGAAGACTGTGTACTTGTTGCTGAGCAAAAGCATTGTTGTTATAGTGTACGTAGCCCCGCAGATAAGATGGCGGTAGCAACTTCATGCAAAGTGAAAGCATAACCCAACCACCATGAGAACATTATTGTACGTTCACAGCGCAATCTAAGTGAACATGTTTTTACTTTGGGAGATCGTACTTTGCCGTCTTGTCTCTTATCTGAACATTGCCAGTATTAATCTAAGTAACTGTGAAACACAACGATAAAGTGTAAAACGTAGGCTTTCGCGACCAATGTCATCCATAATACAGCAATTTTTGGGTTAGATCGCGCAAATATGAAACGAGAAACGTGTTTTATGAAACGAGAAAATTGTTTTCGGCTTGAATGAACAATCTTTTATAATGTTTTGAGATGTGATTTTTTTTTTTATAAGACGACTGCTGATAAAAACAATACGCGTGAAATAATTCTGCCATGTCACCCTCCATCAATGATGTTCTCAAGTTTAAAAAAAAACCCGCTCTTGTTCATGCACAGATGTGTGTTAGTCGCTGTGTGCCACGACATTCCGAACCTTAACGGAAGAAGAACAACCAAAACATTAGCTGTGAATACTTTTTTTGCATTTTGTTTAATTGTATAATTTTGTAGCACAAACCCGTCAGAAACGTATTCCTCCACTGCATAATTTATCCCGAGCAGACTGCAATATCTGCTAGATGCCTGAGAAATATTGCACACAACCCAGCCTATTTTGCATACACATACTAAACTATAATTGAATGTGTTATGCGCAATTCAATTATGCTAATGCCTGCATGCACGTGCTGTGTGTATACAAATCATGCAGGCAGTGCAAAGTGTAACAATAATTGTTGTGTCGGTTGCTCTAGAACGCAGACGTTCGGTTGGGAGTTGTTTTCATGATATAGTTTTACAATTTTAAGACATTTTCTACAACCGTTGTAATGAGAAAGCATTCGTTTAGGACTTAATTGTGCCCCGCACCTCCGATTAGCACATTTGGCTATGTATGGTGTGAAAGAAGTCCAACATACATACGGCCTAATATTGCTGATATGTTAATGCAGTTCGAGTCAGTTAAGCATTGCGTTTATTTTGCATTGAAAATTATCACCATGCACGATTATTAAATAACCTTGGAATGTAAATAGATTTTTTTTTATGGAAGGTAGTCATGAATGTATCCAGACTTTATCAAGGGATTTTCTGTTTTGAATGTGAAATCCATATTCTTCTGTGTATATCCCAGAGCTTGCAAGCATTCAGATGCAAATGCAATAATAATAATAATTTACACGCTTTTGTCAATATACGACTGGATCAAGGACTCCCTATGCTGTGGTGTCAGTCTTGAATCTCGACTTGAAGCTTTCGTGACTGCAGGAATTCATATTCTTTGGGTCTTTCGGTAAAGTCACGTAGAGAGGTTCAAAGAAGATAACACAAAAAACTACGACGTTTCGAAACTACGACTTTTGCCTCAGGATCTTTCCTCTCTTTTTTCAGCCTGATGATGACCGCTCGTGCTGCGATCGAAACGTCGTAGTTTCTTTTGTTATTTTCTTTGAACCTATCTACGTGACTTTACCGAAAGACACAAATAATATGGCGTCAGTCTTGTTCGACTATTCTTGACCGTAATCGTCAGTGGATTAGCGAAGGAGAATAGGGGAGGGTGCAAATTGTAAGACTGGTTCAGATGTCACTCATGTTAGTCGGGGCGGGAATCGAACTTAGATCGTGGGGTTATTGGCGCAATGCGCTAACCACCATGCAACTGCTCAAACCCAGGCGCATTCTGGTGGGTCTATAAGTCTCTCTGGGGCCTAATTGCCCACTCCAAAGCATCAATTATGCTTCCTGGTAATGTTTTTTTTGTAAATTGCGATTGAAATTTTCCTTGCCAAAATTAACTTGGGTCAAGCATTGGAGTGGTTATGGTATACCTGGGGTCACAACGTCAAAATTATAGTACAACCAGCACCTTATCTGTGTCTCTGAGGACTGAGATATCGGCAGATATGTGAGAAAGGAAAAACATGGCGATGTCAACATCCATAAAGCATTTCAGACCGAGCACAAATAGGCGAATTGACAGAAATAAACGTGGCGAATGTACGTGGGATTAAGAATACATTGGATGGGGGAAAAAAGGGTAAAATTCCTCACAACTCGGCATAAACAGGACAAAGGCGAAGATGAAGATAAAAATGTCTAGATTATGGACATCTTTAGCGAGTGACAGCTACACCACGTGCAAATATTGTACGGGGTGTGGGTGGTTCATTGGTCAAGATGAATGTGTAACGACTGGATAGATGACATGGAGTGGGTGTAAACAAAAAATCCGTCTCCGTGATGAAACCGGCACAAATGTCTTTGACTTAGTGGTAGAAATTTGACCTCCGTGGCTAGAGGATCGTTTCCATAACGACTTAAAGATGCATTGATTGTTGAATACAATTATTTCTAAGCTCGCAGTACATAACGTTGAATCATGCATGTCGGGATAATGTGATGTAAATGCAAATGCTATGCTAATATTATATTTAGGCTGCCCTAGCTGTCCTGGCTGTCTCCTGCAGCTCATTGTTGTTGCTGGGTCCCAGTTGCTTCTTCGAGGCTATCCTGCTGCAGTTTTGTGCCGTCTCCTCTCTCCCAATGTTTTCCAAGTTCCTGAGCCATCCAACGGCCAGCTTTATTAGTGTTGTAAAGCGTTTTGAGATTGCATTTGGATGCTCAATCAATTACAATTATGAATAATCATGGTGTTGTTTTTAGGCTAAGGAAATGGACGTAACTGTACAAACGAGACAAACCAAGAAGCAGGCCGAGTCTTAACCCTTTCCCATTTTTCTTCCGATGTCTTTCTGATGACGTACACTAAAATAAAATAACTTTATTGGTAACCGAGGCTCCCGCGAGACCATGTGACAGAGCGTCTGACACAGTTTGGCTCCAGCTATCATCGAGTGCGGTTCTGTCACTGGTTCTCCGCGGCGAGTACACTGTCTTTAAAAGCAACGGTGCTACGCTTCTCGAACCAAAATTTACGCTGGGCCGCTTGTGCGTTCCGAGATTCGGCGGTGACCGCGACACCCATCCTGCGACTTGCAGACGTCACCGGGACGGGAAAGGGTTAATGACACTGCCGCACGTCGTCAACGGCGACGCGCGACTCTCCGCGTCCGCGTGCGGCGCGACGGAGCCGCGGAGGGATTTACCCGAGCGTTCCGCTCCATCTCGAGCAGGACGCGCTCATGCTGCTCGGCTATGGCGAGCGTGGCCGTGTGGACCTTCTGATAAATGGCCTCTCCCTCGCGCGTCTGGAATGTGAAGAGGCCCTCGCCTGTGTCGCACATTCTGCCCCCCCCCCCCCCCCCCCGAGGAGAGAGGAGGCGATTATAGCGACAAGAAACGATGACGTGACAACGATTGTCTCAGTCCGTACCGAGGCAGCTGCCTCACCTGGAAAAAAATGCACAGCTTGTGATGAGTACAGCTTTTATGGGTTAACAATACGAACAATACGTTTAATATTCAAGTGAAACATAACAATGTCTACAAGTTCAAATGAGCATTGGGGAGGCTCAAGTACATTGGCAGCCTTCAGTTAGTGAAACACTTCCCACACAGCTCAGTTTCAGTTTAATTTATTTGGTATAGCCCTGTGAGCCATTCGGCTCTTGAAACCTAATAAGGGGAACCAGTCTATCCATATGATAAAAAAAATCTACTAAATTACCACAACGTAGAAAACATTTTGTTGACCGTAAAGTAGTTATTATTTTGTTGACCCCACTGGGATTTGGGGCTCACAATCCATTCAGTTTCGAGTTGGCACAAATTCTGTTCGTTCCATGCCACCCACATTAATACATGATACATATCTCCCATACATCGTGCCTGTTGTGGCATTTATTGGTAAAATGTCGCCCGATGTTTCCCCATGAAGGCCACGGTACACCGGGCCAATTTTCGGGTAATCGTTGGCAGCAATATTCACGGGCAACACATTTTGAGCAAGAACAGCAACTTGCTACAGCAATGGCATGGCGTGACGGAGTTCCGTCTCGCCAATGAAAACAGAATTTGTTTGAAAAGTTATGACTTATTGGGCATTCACGTGACCTTGGTGCGTGGGAAATTGCCATCTCGGTTATTTACGAGGCTTTACCCACGATCAGATTTGTCCATATTTGGACCATTTTGAACAACATAAAATAGCACGGCAACTATTGCTGGCGCCGCTCGGCAGCTAATAGCTCCCCAGATTGTCTGTTTTGTGTTTTTTTTTATATCACTTCCTGGACGTGTCGCGTGGCGCCCGCCGCGATGTCTGACGTTTCCCTCGATGCGCAGCACACAGTCGAAAAGCGCACGTAGGAGGGCTACACAGCAGGAGTTGGTGGCGATTGACCTTGACGCACGCTCGCTGACCTGCCGGACTCGAAGGTGAAGCGCGTTGGATCTCGGCCGTAGCGCCGTAGCGAGCTGAGCGGCCAGGAGACGAGGCGCACGCGCGGATTGTGCACGTCCCACAGGTAGATGTTCTCGTGGGTCACCTGCATGGTGCACTCCCCGAAGATCTCCAGGTATGGAGAGGGCAGCAGATACACGCTGAATCGTTCTGTAAGCCGCAGCACTTTTGTTGGATTTTGTTGTTATCATTTTTTTTATATCATCATCATCATCGTCATCGTCGTCATCGTCATCATTATGAATGTTGCAATTTTATTTGTATTGTTTAATGCTCAAATATTCTCAGTCGCCGAGTAGACAGTAAGAAACCAACTTTAATGTACACTGATATAATGCATATATACAAATATAACTGTGTGTGTGTGTATATATGCAGACTGTTGGGGCAAGTGCTGTTTGCTGTTAGCGAACACCTATGAAGGCCGGCACGGTACATGAGGGAGTTGGTGGCCATGCATCACGCCTGGCCGCATTTGTCTCCATAGTGGTGATGTTTACACACCTCACGAGGTACCGATTTAAGGCTGAGTCGACCTGGTGGAGGCCCAGGACCGATTCAGATAATCGTTACTGGTGTTGGCTGCGAGTAGGAATCGAACTCGGGTCACCAGGTTTCGTAGCGCAGCACGCTAACCGTTACACTACCACTATACGGGGGAAATTCGTTTTTTTGTATATATATACATGTGTATATATACACAAGAATATACAGTAGGTAGGTGCAGCCTTGCAATTACTTGCACGCGCCACTTCTCGCAGAAGGCCTCCACTCAAGCGAGTTTTTGAAAGCCCTGTCTCGAGTTTACATTTTTATTTTGGCAGACTCTTGCCCACCTGGTCCGACCTCCTTGGAAGAGGCGGGAGGGGGAGTAGCACTAGTTGACCCCTCCACCTGCGACTGTCGATCGACCAACCCATTCACACTTGGGTTGGACGGAGGGAGCAGGATTAATTAAACGTGACCATTATATTCGTGGTTCTTTCGGTAAAGTCACCACGTAGAAGGGAAACAATGAAATAATACAAATATAAAACAATACAATTCTCACGACGTTTCGACTGCAACACAAGCAACCATCATCAGTGGAAACGTCGTGAGAATTTTATTGTTTTATATTTTTATTATTTTATTGTTTCCCTTCTACGTGACTTTACCGAAAGAACCAAGAATATAATATGTGACTGTTATAATTGTACTCTCCATTTTGCTTCGTTCTACTACGAAGTTTCAAGTATTTTTTCATAGTTATAATTACTTTTAATATTTAATAATTATAGGAGAATTTCACTATAATATTCTGAACATCTGCAGTTTTAGTTAGACGTTGAATATTTTCAAGTGAATTTTATGCTAAATTTTCCAACACCTCCTTTTTAATACATGTTTTCTTCTACAATATCAGAGTGCAGCGCCACATTAAATACGCACTACAATGACAATAGTTGAAAGTGATTTGAAGCATGTTTTATTTTCGAAATGGAAATATGGTTTTGGGGAGGGGGCAAAGCTTTGTGACGCCATATTTGAGGGGGGTCTGACTTTTTGTGACGCCGTGCGACGAGGGGGTAGGGGGGGTCAAGGATCGGCCAAAATCGCGTGACGTCATTTATGGACGGCCCCATACGCAATGACATATATACACACGCACGAGCCGTAGTATATTACACGGATGTGAGGCCGAAATTGACAGGTGACTGAACGGACGCTGCAAGAGGTGTTTAAATGGGCGCGTCGGGGTTAGGTAGTTTGCTTCATCTGCTCCTGAGGTCCAACCGGGAGATACAGTTAAAAGGGTTTCGTGGTTGATGTGAACTAAAGCCTAAGGCACTCTGAATGAGGGTTTTTGGACCGCGGCACGGCTTGCCACGTTATTGACTAACCGTTCTGCTCACGCTGGACCCCAGCCGCTAGAAGGTCGGGGTCTCCAAGGCTGATGTCATTGAGTCTGGCTCCTAAGCACTCAACACATAGCGCCTTGCACCACTCCTCTGCCTCCAGCTCTGGGTACATACACATACGTACACATAAACACGGAGGTTGCCCACATACACTTTTCTCTTTGCTATTCATTTTCTTCAACGCAGTGGCTGAGCAGAGGCGCAATGGCCCCGAAAGCATCAAACGGCCAACATAAAGAACATTAACAAAGCTGTAATAGATTATTAGAGGTACCACGTTTATTTAATTCGGCAAGGTGAGGGGCCATCCATTTCGTAGGTACGCAAAAATCTGTTCAAACTTGACCCTCTCCCACCTCCCTGTGCGCACGCGGACTTTTTACCCCCCCCCCCCCACCTGCGTATGTACGCCTGACGTACCTCCCCCCCCCCGGAATCCTATAGAACGGCCGATATTTAATCGATCAAGGAGTAATAATATTAACGTGTTTAAGCAATTGAAGGCCAATGTAGACAAATTACTATCGAGGCTTCACCACACCACACCCCCCCCCCCTCCCCCACGTTTCCTATGCGTATGCACATTGTCAGTAGACCCCCCCCCCCCCCCCCCCATACGCAAGCGTACGCATTTGGGTTAACCCCGCCTCCCCCCTCCATGCGTACGTACTCAATGGATGGCCCCTTATAAAAGCGGTTGAGAAAAGAGATGTTACGGAATTCCCAAAGTCGAGCATTGTGAGGGAAGGGGGACTGAGAAATGTACGGTGCTCAACGGAGTACTCAAAATTTGATGGAGGAATCGATGAGTTACGTTTGCAGGAACAGTCACCATGGTTATTAGTGGTTGGGAATTGAACTTGGATCGCTGTTTGTGGTGCACTGCGTTATCTGCTGTATGAACACTCTCCACATTAGATGCGTCACCTCGCCTTATAGAATATTGCGTCTGCTTAACTATGTATTGGCTCGTTTTTTTTGCCGTGTACTTAAGACTGTTGGTTGGCTTGAAGGCCGGCTGTAGACTATCCAATTAGTGTAGCTGGCTCGCAATTTATGCTGGCGCTCATTGGTGGTCATTGGACAAGAGGATCCCAGGACATGAATTCACACAAAAAAAACAATTTATAAGAATAGACTATTCTGTACCAATATCATACATCAACTCTGAAAGGTGCCAACACATATTTAATAATAATAACAACAAAAAAACGATATCGCCCAGGTTTTGCTTGAAAAAATTACGAAGAGAGCAAGTGTGTTTTTGTAACCGACATCAATTAAAGTAATGACGTTCTACTGACCTTAACCAAATGGGGGGGGGGGGGGGGGGGTCACATTTCATTCGGCAAAGTCTGCACAGAACAGTTCTAGGAGATCAGCGTGGCTGCACAAGTTTAAAGGACCCTGAGCTCACCGGAGTCGCAGGAAAATATTCGTGACATCTCGTCGTGGAATATAATGGCCACCGCATGCTTTTTGGTGTCACGGGGCAATCGGCTTATGCTCCTCACATTGCTCAGCTCCGTTATCTGTAAGGGCGCGCACACACACAAGGGGAGCACACAGTTCCAATATGCAAATGCACTTACGCCTTAATGTCTGGGCAAGGGGTCAGGATTGTGTGAGTTTGTAATAAATAATGGGCGCGCTTAAGCACGGTCTTTTGTAAATAAGTCAAATGCAAACCACGTGACGACGACTGGTATAGTGGTGTTCTATAATTCAAGCATGTGCGGTTGTTTAATTTAATGAAGTGAATTTTGTTAAATTAGCAGATGGCTTTGCAATAGATTTGTCAACAACAAAAACATAATTTGAGTGATTTGTCTAGATGCCCATTCACAAAACGCCGTTTGTAAACTACGATGTGAAAATAGGTGCATTTTTAATACATGCAAGAATGGGGTAATATAATAAAGATTAACTTGCTTTCACAAATCTGGAAATTAAATGCCATAAGTCGCAATTTAACAATGGCTGTAATGGGAAGGTTGCGTATTGTCTCTTTTTAAAATACGTCTCGTTGTTTAACTATGCTGCCGCATTACCATTAACATCTAAATGTGGTTTAATAATAGCATATTAAATAATGAATAGAGCCGTAAAAGATTATTCAATTGCTGGCTTCTTTGGCACTAAAATAAAATGGCTTTAATTAAGAGGCTGTCCTCCAGGCACACACAAAATGTTTTTTTGGTGCTAAGAAGATGCGCATATTGGTGAAGCGGGCAGATAACGGCGCCCGGTAAAACACGGAACGGACTTCCTCACGGAACACGCGAGGTTGTTGTCTGTGTGTGTGGTGTGTGTGGTGGTGGGGGGTCACCTTGTGGTAATTGCTGAAGTACGCCGACCGTTCGTCGCAGAACTTCTCGATGCGACGGGGCCCCTTGCTCGATGCCTTCCTGAACACCATCCAGCAGCGCTTGTAGATCTGTGTCGTCAGGGGTCATGGCGTGAGCGCGAGACGGCAGGGACCGACGGCGCTGCAGAAGGGAGGAAGCCCTCTCCGCCCCACCGCCACCCCACCGACCGATGTTTTTGGGTTTTTTCGGGGGGGGGGGGGGGAGGATTTTATTGACGAATAAGAAGCGGCAGCGGCAACAGCAGCTTGTGTTGTATTCCAGAGGAGGAGTGTGTCCGTGTAAAACAAGACGTGCACGCCTGTCACACCTCACGATTTAGCACGGTTGGCTACATGCGGTGTGAAAGAAGTTCGATATATAGGAATAGGTTTCACCCTTTTAACTGGCACAAAAACTGACACCTTTATTCAAGGCATCATGTTTGCAATGACCACAACACAAGCAGTCAAAATGCAAACAAAAAAGACAACTCTGATAATAATATGCACTGTCCTTGAATTTGATTGGTCCACACCCGAGACAGCTTTTCTTAGAGCCTAGTCTCCATTGGTGTTTTTGTGCCAGTTAAAAGGGTAAAACCTATTCCTATATCTTGTTTCTGGCAAAGGAGGTCTCATAAGTTCGATATACATGCATACACACGCAATCATACCCGAATGAAAGTAAAAGAAAAATGTTAACACGCCTGCGTGTGAAATGTAGTAAATTTGTCCATAAAAAGGCACTATTGGTACATAAAAGCTTGGTGTTTATTTTTAATGTTATATAACAGAGGGATCGTACTACCACGAAGTGCATGACCCTATGCATGCATATATGACGGGTTTTTGTATACCCACTATCCTAAGATAGACTAATATCCAGTATATATACACACACACACACACTGTACATGATACATACGGGATGTCCCAGTAGTCCTTGTGTGTGCGTTGTGAAATGAAATTGCTCGATGTAATTTCCATCGCAAGGAGACATCACCGTTTTTGTGAACAGCAGGAGGGCATTTCAAAAATGTTTATTGTGCAAATTGCCAACTGCCCTGCTTCGTACACGCTGCACCCATGCATGAAATCACAAACTACCTCATTCCCCTCACTAGCCCCAGTAATGCACGGTAACTGTGCTTACTAAATGGCACGTCCAAACAAACAATAATAATAATACACGCCATGTGGATGTTCCCGTACACATTTATTTTCCACAAAGTAAAAGGTGCTGGCCCTCGTCTCGAGGTGTGTACCAGTGGCAACCCGTGGCTTGCGGCTTGTGCTATGAATCTGGTGATCCGAGGTAAATTCCCATCCAGTGGCTAACGATTGGTGAAGTATGGCCAAACAGCCCTCTGTGGCCAAAAGGTGCGGGGAGGCTTTCATCCAGCAGGAGATTGACAAATGGCTGTAAATTATTATTATTCAAATTTACCTTGTGTCAGAAAAATGCCACAGTGCTAACTTTGGAGTGGTCTTGCTCCATCAATAGGAAAACACGTGACACGTGGATGGTGATGGAGCGAACGGAGCGCTATACCATGCATGTTGCACTCATTATACAGGGTGACCCTCCACTAAGATGATAACGAAAACATTAAATAAACGCATTACTTTAAATTTAAAAAAATCATCCACATGCGTCTCTTCAGTCTGAATACACTTCTAAACTATATTAACACTCACCCGATACACTTTAGTCCAAATATGATCGTCGGTCTGGTTTTCTTACAAGAACGGGAGTTTTGCATATGAATAGGATATCAGTAAATAGATCACCTCCTGTTGCGTGGAACCTCCAAATGAGAAGTATTTTTAGCGGCACGTTCAGCCGTGTATGCTTTTGTCTGCTTGTCGCAAATGATGGACGAGGAATGACTTTGCAATCCCCACTCTCTTCACCTTTATTCAAACTGTTGGACACTTGTGTTATTGCTTTGTGACTCGCAGATGACAGTGAGATAGGCGGTGGTCAACTCGTCTTTTTATTTTTTGTGTTTAACTGGTCAATATACTGGCTTTTGGTTATTGTTGTAAGTGGAGTGATGGACAAATACAATGGTTCAAAATTAGAATGACAACAACGATACATTTTAAGATAAGTTTCTTCCATTTAAAACTTGCTCTATCCACTCAGGTCGAATGGTTCATTGCGTCTTGTAATGTAAGATACAGAGTATCCCACCTCTATAAATCCATTTCACCTTTCATAATGTCACTTATATGGGTTCAGGGATTAAGCCTTATTCTTTAGTGGTGGGTCCGTTAAAGTGCAGCGATGTATTTAACCTTCCATGTATTTTTTAGCAACAGCATACTCTCCCCCCCCCTCCCATTGTTTCATGTTCCTAGGCTGGTGCCATACATATATTTATTAGATAAAAGTGTATGCAAGCAGAGAACTGTTCATTTTCCGTATGAATAAAAGTTTTATTTAAGTGTGGAAATGAAATGGAGTTCTTCCTGTATTCTTTGAATCACAATGGTCCACAGAAACACGTAAAGAGTTTTTTTGTTTTAGTAATACTGTTTTAATGGATTTACCATTGCACTTGAGTAGTGCGTCGACACGCAGTCCTCTGGTGCACACACCCCCGCTCAATCTTGCACTTAAACCCCCTTCAAAACACCACGGCTGTGTGATTTGTGCTAAATATACACAAACAAAGGTATATTATCGGTCTCCGATGTCGAGGAATCGCAGCCTTCTACCGAATACATGTCCACTCACTATTACTGGAATTGGACGGCTAATCACTGAGCATTGGGACTTGCACTTGGACATTTACCAACAAGCAGATTTAACTCACTGTCAACATTTTAATGCCCCGTTCGTGCCAGCTGTCCACATATCTCTTGTCACCAAGATCTGTGTTGCCCATGCTCATGAATAATCGGACGGCTCACCGTTTTGGCTCCCACAGTTTTTGTATGAAAAAGTCGAAAAGTACCGAGCTTGGTGTCAGCTCTGCATGTTGCGTGGCACCGTTTGATGGATTATAATGCAACGCTTGCTATTATAGGTACTTCCAGCTGTGCGCAAACTAATGACACTATTATGGTAATACATTTTTATCTTTAATTCTCTGTTTAACTCTTCAAAGGAAACGTTTTTTTTCTCTCTCACATCGCCACATAAAAATATATATATCTCTGCTGTATAATACAGAATCACTTCCCCCCCACCCACCCTGTGGTGATCAGCTAATTAAGTCCACATGTGCACGAGGGTGGCACAGAAAGTTCTGATGATGTTTTGTATGCTCAAAACAGCAAGGTACCATATTCTAGATTTCCTTATTCCTTATTTATGATTCATCTATGGCAGCTAGGCTGCGATGAATGCTGAAAAATTGGAATGTCAAAACCTTGTGCTGCTGTAGAATTTTCGACACCCAGAGAAAACCGAACCGCAGGAAATGGACGGCTGCAAATTGAATGCGTGTGGGGACGATGCACCCACAAATATTCGACAGTCAAAAGGGCGGCTGCAAGGCTCTCTTTGTGGCGGGTCAGGGTGGCGTACAGATTCGGCGAAATGGGGGGGGGGAAAAAACCCGTCAAGGCTGCGTGAGACGCGGATTCGGAAGACCGCTCTGTTGCCCTTGCACAGTTGGCCGACATCCTTGGGCATCAGCGTGGGATCAGTGGAGACAATTCTTTTGCACGATCACCGCAATGACCGAGGTGAGCGCACGCTGGGTCCCCCAGAATTCTGACTTGCGACGTCAAGGGTGGCGCGTCTGATCACTTCCCCGTGACAATTTTAACCCCCGGTGAGGGCAGACCGAGGCAAATTTTACTTTATTCATTCAATTTATTCCCGGTGATGAGACCTGGCGCAGTGGTCATGGTACTGCACTCTGAACCTGGAAACCGACGTTTAATTTCTGGACACCGCTGACTTCGGTGGCGAGGTGGTATCTGTAATGAGACTGGCCCCAACCCGTCAACCAACCCACACTCACCGTGACTGACATGAGGAGGCCTACGTCCGGCAGTGGAATTACTAAGCACTGTATATTTCCTTTCTTTAGAAACAATGTTACGTGATACAGCATACTACACGACACGTATATTTATTGCAAATGGCACGGTGCCATTGTGTGTCGGATGCATGATGTGAGTTGATGAATCGCACAGTGTTTTAGATTCATGACGTCCCAGACAATGCAATAACATGTGGGTTTGCAGAACAGGTAGATGCAACTCGGCGTGAACAGTGGAGTTGGGTGCCATCTTGGCGAGATGTTTACTACCTCGCCTGGTATACAGGAGGTCATGGGTTCGATCCCACCCCTGACGCCTCTATATTTGGAGTTTGCATGTTCTCCCTGTGGCCGCGTAGATTTTTCTCTGGGTCCTCCGGTTTTTCCCTCGGAAATTAAAAAAAAACATCAATTTAGAGTATTTGGCTGCTATACATTTCCACATGATACGCCGCTTCATTCAGCAATCATTTGTGGCCAGGTCGCTTCTGAAAAAAAGCTACATTGCTCAGTGGGCCTTACCTAGTAAAATAGCAATGAGTTAGTAGTTAGCGCACTCTGCTATAAAGCCATCAACCTGGATTTATAATTTCTGGTCACAGATAACACCAGTGGCGAGGAATATTTGAACTGCTCTTGACCCCCACCCCCGAATCTGTACTCATGAGCATTGCTCGGGATTTGGGTTTGTCATTTATCCTACTCGGGTTTCAACTCAACTGGGATTGCACGCGGTAACGTCGCCGCCTACTGCAAAAAAGACTTGGCAGGACCCTCCTGAAAAAGAGTCGTGAGGCTTTCCCGCATAATAATACAGCAGTCTATGATTTTGTATGTGTAACGTACAATGTCGAACCGATTGGAGCGGTGGTGCAGTGGGGTTAGTGCCCTCCGCTGTGAACCCGGCATCCTGAGTTTGCATTAGGAGCTATGGCTAATAGCAGTGAAGAGCGAGATCAGAGCTGGTCCTGGGGCTTCCTCTTTCATCAACCTACACTGAGCAGTCTGGCGAGGTTTGGTCAAACTGCCCCCATAACCTCCACCTTGTAGTGTATTGACTTGGCTTTAAATTCACATAATTATATGTTG